TGGGCATACAATTGTGCCGACTACTCGTTTCTAACAGACAATGCGTAATGTAAACGATAGGTGGACCAAAGCAACCAAGGACAAAAAATAATTAGCAGTGGGAAAGTTCTTACAAGAAGCGAATAAGGAACATCAAGTAAGCAATAAGACAATCATATTGAACTGTAGGTAAACAAAATACACAGCTAGAAACTGGGGATGGAAAAATGGAATCGAAAATTCAACAGAAACATGTGGTTTATCATAGATCCGTGCATGCGTTGACTCTGCTATCGTTCACGGCGGGAATAAAGTATCATATGCAGGCTTTTGGGTGCGCTCTTCAGTGAAACATGATGTGTAAGACTTGTCGTCGCTGTATGGATTTTAGTGAGTAAGGAGCGCAGGCCCGATGGTCAAATCTGATAGACAGGTGGGTGTGACATTCAGCTCATTGAATGATTGGATACATCATTTAGTTCTCTCCCATATCCCAGCTGCGCTGATTGAGATGACGCATGGCGCGACGCTGGGGAGGGGCCGCCTTCTCCGGCGACTGCTCAGGGTCATCCCAGGACGACTGCATGTTCTTTAGAGCCTTCTGGCGATCTCCCGGAACAGGCTTCATGTTCTCACTGCTGACCTTGCTGTTCTGGGGCGACTCGGCGGTGATATTCCAGTGGGTTTCGTAGTCCTTCTTGCGGTTGGGGCCGTTGTTGACAACAGACAGAGGGGCGTTCTCGTCAGCGGCTTCCTCCTCATCTTGGAATAGGTGGTTCTTATAGAGACTCAGACCCTTGTTCTGGAAGGAACTGATGATACGAGGGGCGTTCTTGTCCTCCTCGGGGTCGTCTGTTAGGACGAAGTGGGTTTCGGCATCGCGACGGGGACGGTGCACCGGGGGATGGGCCGGAGGCGAAGTGAGGTCCGGCTCATCATCGCTCCAGCCAAAGTGACGGATTTGTTCCCCACGAAGCGGACGCTTGGGCTTCTCGGGCGTCACGAAATCATCGAAGTCCCAGTGAGGTGCCTGGCGCGACACAGGACGGCTGGGCTTTTCCTTGATCTCCCGCTCACTGTTGTCCCCACCGAGCTCGAAGTGTTCGAAGCGCTTCGGGTTAGCCCGATAGGCAATCTGCTCGTGACCACCTTCCGCAGCAACCGTCTCATCATCATCGAAGATACGCTGGCGCTGGAAGTTCTTGCTAGCACCAGCCTTGGGAGCGATCCTACTCCGAGACGGTGTGTCGGGAACATCAGCGTCTTCATGGAAGATTTCCTTGGGATCGCGGGGCGGGGGCTTTGCAGATGCAGGAGCACGAGGTGCGCGAACTGGGTCGCTTCGGTCCTTTTCAGGGGAGAGGAGCTCGAAGAGTGACTCAGCGGCGTGGGGATCTTTGATATGTCTCTTTCCGGGGGAACCCTTCTTGCTACGTTCCTCGCTGCTCTCGGTTGTTGCGGGGAATGAGGTTGCAGGTCCGTCGTCGCCTGGGTTGGAGGAAATAGCGGACTTGATCAGGCGAATCTGATCCTTGGGTTCGCGAATCGGCCAGCTGCGACTACGGGAACCGATCACTTCGACTTGTTTCAGTAGCGACGCTTGGTCCCAGTAGATTCGGACATTCTGGATCTGATTCTGCGAATTGAAGCGAACGATATGGATCTGCGCAAAGAAAGGGAAGGCAATGTTAGGAGACGGATGGAGGAAGACTGAGGTCACAAGGCGCCCGACGTACCGTGGGGAAAGTTGCGACGTGGTCAGCCAGGAAGTTATCGTCAAGTGAGGGAAGATAGGCCCCGCCTCCAGACACGAACTCTAGGGTAGTCTCAATGTCCAAGCAGAGGGAGTTGGCGCTCTCGATCACATCCAGAACATTCTCCGACCTGGTTTTGACGACTCTCTGCTGCTTGGTGAGGTGGCTGACCACCGCGGATGCGCCATCCAGCTTGGTGGTGGTGGTGATATAGATCAAGGACGCATCGGAGGCCAGGGGCGCCGAGTTGGGGTTGGCCAAAAAGCGCTGATACACGTCTTTCAAAGACATGGTGGATTTGGGTGGATTAATATGTCAGAAACGAATGTGAGGGGGGTTGGGTTGGGGCAAAGGAGGGACAAAACACGGGCAATGGTTTAGCAGTAGGGATGTGGTCGTTTGATGACAGGCCGAGGGAAAGTGAGAGAAAGATGCGAGTAGAAGGGGAAACCGCCCGTCGCAGATTGGCGCGAACCACGGTTTGGGGGGAGTTTCAGAGCTCGATTAACTTTCGAGCACAGAGTAAACCTGGACTAAGACTAGACCAAATACAATGAATGAATGAAGGATAAAATGAATGGCTGAGGATGGGAGTCTTGAGAGAAGAGGAATGCAGGCAGAAATCGAATCCAAACAGAGGGAGAAAATCAATCACCACAGAGGGGGTGGGTTGACTGAAGTTGTTGTTATTGTTATTATTATAAGGGCCAGATTCACAGCGACCAAATTGACTTCTCCAAGGGGTCTGGCGGATTCACCGTGAGCTATTCTTATACCTACAAACTGCACCACCAAATGATTGATTAAGAGCTATTCTTCCAATGAGAAAGAGTGTGCCAATCCAACTACGGGGCCCGATTTGCCTGCCGACACAGTAGACTACTGTTACTAGTGAGGATGATAACACAAACATACGTCTTCACATTGCAAAGCCCCAGTTGGGGGCATTGCAGTCAATGGCTTGCTTGAGTCCATTCGGGTCCATCACAATCTCGCGAGAAATCTCCCACGACGCTAAGGACTGGGGAAAGCCACGCGCACGGCTCCGACGATGGACACACCAGCGTTTCACGATGGGCCACCACTACCCGCGTCTCTCCGGCAACTGCGCTTGGGCTCGGGTTTGGTCTTTATTCGTGCTGCCTGCCTGCATGCATAATTCGGCTCACTGCACTGCACTACGTAAGAGTATACTTGGCTAAGTAGGGAGTAGTAGAGCCCTAGATATACTACTAGACTCAAGTCCAGAACTCGTCGTCTTTCATCTATGAATTAGTTCTTTCTTTCTTTCTTTTATTTTAGACCCTCAGTCCGGCAAGCCAAATTCGGAATTTTCCGCCTTAGATATACAGACATATAGCTATCCTCCTAACTGGCATGGGGAAACCTATGCCTTCCCGGTCGTGGGTTTTCTCTCAGGTGCAGTTAGTGCCTGGTTTCGCAGCAATCAGTCAGCCCCGTTCGCCTGCGCGGGTTTCTGCAAAGTAAAAGCCACGATATCATGCCGGTGGATGATATCCACGCCCAAGACTCTGCCTTGGGCGCGCTCTCATCATTCTACCCATGGGCGCACCTCCTTGCAAGGCAGATTTCTTTCAACATGGTTGTTCTTGTGTTAGAAATTGTATAGTTAGGCAGGATATCAACGATCCTCTCAGTCACGCGATATCAATCATTAGTATAAATGGGGGAGGTAAACGGCACATCACAAAAGGCATTACAATGGTCTGGAAAGGAAAGAAAAATAGAATGTCAGTACATCTGTGTTGGACACCAATTCCCAGAGAGGTTTGGGAGACTCACCCGAGATAATCTTCCTTGATCGTTCCAATGGCATTGATCGCCGCAACGTCGGGCTTCACACCAAGAATCTTAAGCCGTAAACTGGTTCCCTTCTCGATGACTTGGTCCGCATGGTCCGTATATTGCGGCGGTACTGTGTTCGGTTCCCACTTGATGTCGGAAGGAATGTTCTTGCCAACTCGTTAGCAACCGATAAGGCTAAGTGATCCAACTCAAACTCGGTCGTTGACATACTTTCCGTGCAATAAAAACAGACAATGGACCGGCCAAAGTAAATATACCGGTGGGCTTGACAGACGTAACAATCGCATCGACCTACAAGGCTATGGTCAGAATCAAATGCAGCCCTGTTCAATGCAACTCCAAGACGTACGGTCTCTCCGCGGAAGGGCTTCCAGATGATTGCCCGATACTTGATAGTATATTCTGCCTGTCCGCTGCCTGGGAGCACCCGTCCTTCGCCAATATCAACCATGTCCATCACACAGATTACGAAGTGGTCGCCCGTACAACGTCCTTCCTCCTCCTCGTTTAACCGGTTGATGAGATACTCGCGCATGTTGGGCCCGAAGTAGGACGGGTGCAAGGTGATGACCTTGACCTCTTCTTTAAGGAAAAACATGTCGTACACTTGCGATCGTCGATAGTATGATACAAAATTTCGTTTCAACAGCCGGTGCGCGGGGGGTGTGCGATTCACGCGATTGATCAAGCTTCAGCTAGTATCTTACTGTTTCCCGGGGATTGGATGCGTGCGGTTCGAATATTTCCAGTGGCCCGTGTCGTTAGTCCAGAGTAAGTCGAATCGCTATGAATGAGTGAAGCGATGAACTAGATTTGCGACAAATGGACGAGCCCTTGCCGCCAACACTCGATGACAAGATATCAACGACTGGGAAAGACCAGAAAACTGATTCAGCGAGTCAACAGAAGCAGGGAGCGCACGTTCAGAATAAAGAGCGCAGAACAGAACAATTGCAGCAGATGAACCCTGCCTTCAAACAAGATCGGACAGAAGAAGGGGCAGTCACCCGTTAATTCGACACCAAAGTCATAGCGGTCACGGATTTCCGTCTGATCAGCTCGAGCTGGATGCTCTCACGTGACCATCTGGAGCACCCCACGACGGTTATTAATTACACCGCGATACACAGTTACAAGACTCATATAGTGTAGCTCCGCGCACTGCCGGTCACGACGAGACACCGCGTGTAATTAATCACGATATCCTCGGCCCTACCTTTGGGTGCAACGAGTTTACCTAGGCCGGGATGACGTCTGCACAAGCATAAAGCCAGGAACAAATCATAGAATGTCCTATCTCCCCACCTGCTGATCGGGTCAGATCAGGCAATATCCCCAGACAGAAAAAAACATAGGAGCTGGTCTCACGTTCGCCAGTATTCTTTTGTTGCGCCCCATCTACAGCGGACTTTCGAGCCATAGCAATAATAGCATTTCAAGATGGCCCTGAATCTCGAAAAGCAGCTTCTGTTTGTAAGCCTCTGCCGTATCACCTATCACAGTGTTTGGTGCAAGATGTCCATGCTAACGAGCCTCGCAGTATGGAGCTTATCACAATAACCCAGTATGTTATGCTCTTTGCCCCGTTTGTGGCTTGCTCTAATGGTCCCGTCCAGGTCAATGTTGCGATACACATCACATGCGTGCCGATACTCCTGTTCACGGGAATCGCTCTGGTACGAAATGCTATTCCCTCGACCCTTCATAGTGATGGACTACTAACGAGTTATGAATCAACTAGGCGTCGAATACACCGGCCTTCGTGAACCTGCCCAATGCGCTCCAGATCGAAAACCTTCCTCCTAATCTCGGAACGATCGCAGCCGTCGTATACTCCACGTTCTACATCCTCCTCGAACCTGTTGCTGGGGCACTGATCGCTCCCCTTATAATTGCGGGTGCAGCCTGGGCGAACCATCTACTGGCTACATATGGCACCAGCGTCAACTACTGGTTTGCTGGGATCCATGTAGTGTCCTGGCTGGCTCAGTTTGTGGGCCATGGTGCCTTTGAGCGCAGGGCTCCGGCCTTGCTGGACAACCTGGTCCAAGCACTTCTTCTTGCACCTCTCTTCGTCTGGATGGAAGTGCTCTTCTTTTTCGGCTACCGTCCCGAACTGAAAGCCAGATACGATGAGAATGTGGAGAAGGAGATTGCAGCTTTCAAGGCGCAGAAGGGCAAGACTGCCAAATAAGTGAAGCTATATGGTAGGATGGCCCGAACTCTATTTTTACTTGGGGATTGCATGGCTAGTGGCGGTAATCTACTGCGTTTTATGCTGCCACGCCAATGGTTTGGAATGAGAGCATTGCTCTTCGTTATCATTAGTTTTTGGTAACTCTGGAGTTGAGTTTTGAGATTGATGTTTGCAGAGTTCATCAATGTCTGTCAGCGCTACAGTAATATCATACTACGTCGGTAATTGAGGTTAATCAATAATAAAGAGCGAAAGTTTTCAAGATGTGAGTGAATAATTCGATTTGATGCAGGCTTGACATTCATGCATCCAGAGTGGATCATGATGTAAGCCCGGAGGTACGGAGTAGAGACCTGGGCAGTGAGGACTGTAAGGAGGAAAAATGGGGAAGGGGAAATAGGAAAAAGGTCGGGTATGTTGGTATGTGACTTATAAGAGAGGGGGGGGGTTGTCATGCACATAAGAAGTGAAGAACAAGAGAGACTAATTACTCATAGTTAAGAGGGAAAGAAAAGATTGGGTCAACTCTTGGGACTGACGGGCAGAAGGAGGAGAAAAAGAGGAGAGGTCAGTATATGCTGGGTAGCGGTAACATACGAACGAACCACTTGCTGGCAGCCATGGGAAGGGCCCATGTCGAGCCGGTGTTTCCCACCGGGACAACCGGTCAAAGCAGTGCGGTGTCGAGCAGAACGGGGCGGGTGGTTGTTGGCAGGGCCCTGCGGGCGGTTGCTGCGACGAAAATGAACTGAGTAAGCCAGCCAACCAGCAGTATCCGCAGATCCGAGAAAAGGAACAAATGAAAAATGGGATGGCCAGGTGGCCCGGAGAAACAAGCGGTTACCGCTTTGCTCACCCCGTCACTTCTTCCAGAGCAACGTTGGATAATTCTCTACCATCATAATTTCATGGAAAGGGTTTAAAGTGAATAGGAACTAATAATAATAAATTTATGGACTAAAAATTATGTAGTAGTAGATCGGTGGGAAAAAATAGAGACCAGAAGTGATGGAATACATCACCCGGCAACGACTTTCTTTGGGGTGGAGTGGGTGTCCCGTGAGCGCACTAGGGCGGCTTCGGAGGTTGGTGAGGTCTCGGCAAACTAGGATTAGTGGCAGTCCTGAGAATCCTCCCAACCCCGACGACAAAGCTCTCCTTCCATCCATCCACAATCCTTTCTCCTCTTCCTCCCTCCCCCCAATTACATCTCTCCTTCAGAGAAACCACTCTCCCACTCCTCTGAACCCCCATCACAATGTTCAGAAACGCTTTGCGGCAGTCTAGCCGCACCGTCGCGGCTGCCTCTGCCACTGGCAGGATCGCTTCGGTGAGTCCTATCCCTGTCCAGGTCGACCATGCCTTCGCCATCTGGCCGATTCCATCCAAGAAGTCATCTCAATGATGCTTGCTATCGCCTCTCTACACATCGCAATGCTTGCTGCTTCGCTTTGACGCGTTTTGATTGCGTGGTCGTGATGTTGACAAATTTTGCGTACGACTACAGGCTCGCGCGGCTGTTCCCGGCCCCCTCTCTGGCGCCTCCAAGCAGATCCGTTCCTACGCTGCTGAGGCCAAGGCTGCTCCCACTGAGGTCTCTTCCATCCTTGAGCAGAGAATCCGTGGTGTTCAGGAGGAGGCTGGTCTTGCCGAGACTGGACGTGTCCTTTCCGTCGGGTACGTGACGAATTCTCCCTCGGTTGAAAATTTTGGCCGCCGCTTCAATTCCATCGATATCATCGAAATATTCGAAAATCCGGCCATTATTTGACGCTCTCCATCGAAATCAATTGAAACTAATATCAAAAACAGTGACGGTATCGCTCGTGTCCATGGCATGACCAACGTCCAGGCTGAGGAGCTGGTCGAGTAGGTGGCCCCGTTTTTTTATATGCCTTGTTTATGTTCCAATCAATTGACAAATCATCAGGTTCGCCTCCGGCGTCAAGGGTATGTGCATGAACCTCGAAGCCGGCCAGGTCGGTGTCGTGCTTTTCGGTTCCGACCGTCTCGTCAAGGAGGGTGAGACTGTCAAGCGTACCGGAGAGATTGTATGTTTTTTTTTTTTCCACGCCCAGATATCAGCATTTTTTACTTACAGACCCATCTAGGTCGATGTCCCCGTTGGTCCTGAGATGCTCGGCCGTGTCGTCGACGCTCTCGGTAACCCCATCGATGGCAAGGGTCCCATTCCCACCAAGGTCAAGAGCCGTGCTCAGCTCAAGGCCCCTGGTATCCTGCCCCGTCGCTCCGTCAACCAGCCCGTCCAGACTGGTCTGAAGTGTGTCGACTCCATGGTCCCCATCGGCCGTGGTCAGCGTGAGTTGATCATTGGTGACCGTCAGACCGGTAAGACCGCTGTCGCCCTTGATGCCATGCTGAACCAGAAGCGCTGGAACAACACCTCCGACGAGAGCAAGAAGCTTTACTGCATCTACGTTGCCGTCGGTCAGAAGCGTTCCACCGTCGCTCAGCTCGTCAAGACCCTCGAGGAGAACGACGCCATGAAGTACTCCATTGTCGTTGCTGCTACTGCTTCCGAGGCTGCTCCTCTGCAGTACCTTGCTCCCTTCACTGGCTGTGCCATGGGTGAGTGGTTCCGTGACAACGGCCGCCACGCCGTCATCATCTACGATGACCTTTCCAAGCAGGCCGTCGCCTACCGTCAGATGTCCCTGCTGCTCCGTCGTCCCCCTGGTCGTGAGGCCTACCCCGGTGACGTTTTCTACCTCCACTCTCGTCTCCTTGAGCGTGCCGCCAAGATGAACGAGAAGCACGGTGGTGGTTCCCTCACTGCCCTCCCCGTCATTGAGACCCAGGGTGGTGATGTCTCCGCCTACATTCCCACCAACGTCATCTCCATCACTGACGGTCAGATCTTCTTGGAGTCTGAGCTGTTCTACAAGGGTATCCGTCCCGCCATTAACGTCGGTCTGTCCGTCTCCCGTGTCGGTTCCGCTGCCCAGGTCAAGGCCATGAAGCAGGTCGCCGGTTCCCTGAAGCTGTTCTTGGCTCAGTACCGTGAGGTTGCTGCCTTCGCCCAGTTCGGTTCCGATCTCGATGCCTCCACCAAGCAGACCCTCAACCGTGGTGAGCGTCTCACCGAGCTCCTCAAGCAGAAGCAGTACTCCCCCATGGCTGTTTCCGACATGGTTCCCCTGATCTTCGCTGGTGTCAACGGTTTCCTTGACAGCATCCCCGTCGCCAAGATCCTCCAGTGGGAGTCTGACTTCCTTGCTCACCTCAAGAGCAACCACCCCGAGATCCAGGAGACCATCGAGAAGGAGGGCCAGGTCTCCAAGGAGCTCGAGGCTCAGCTCAAGGAGATCATCCCCACCTTCAACAAGTCCTTCAACGCATAGGTGAGCAACACAATGCTCTTGGGCGAGTAGCCCGCCATGTACCGATTCAATCCTGACTCTATGTGTATAGACAAGATAGCTTGTACAATTTGAACCCACTGTTTTATTTTTTTTCTGTTAAACCAGAGCTTCGGGTCGGTCGAGATATTGGATGAGGTGTAGTTTGCAACTCTGCGATGATATTTTACTGCCAGATCTATGTAGCTTATGGGACGACGGAGAGCAGGGTAAAACGGTGGTGCGGAGAAAGGCAAAAAAGATACGATTAATATCCTGTACGTTTAGATCATTTCGCGCGACAAGGGAACGGAATTGGACGGATTAACTGGTTTGGCGTGTAATACCCTCCAGCTGGTCTCGACTTATGAAACCTTTGTCTACATATATGCAGCCTGAATATGATTTCCTTTGTTTGATTAACTCGGTACTCGGAATGGTGTCTATGCTGTAGAGAGTAGTAGTATTAGTAGTAACGAAGTAAAACAATCCAACCCGGATCTCTGGCGGTCATAGCGGCCAGTCTGGGGTAACTCGACCCAGCATGAACCCATGGCATTAGATGGGGGTCAAGTAGGATATATATAGAAGCCATTGGGGTCCGTCTCAATGCCGCGTGGCGCCTCCTTCCCCAGTCCTAATGGTAGGAATATAAGTAGCACTGATGGTACGTGCATCCGGGTTAGGAACTGCACCTACTATTCTTATACATTCGTGTGAATGTCATATAGCTACTAATCTGATGTCAGAAGCATGCTATCTGGGGACCCATGGGACAATCGCAGCGAATTTGCGGGGAATAGACAGGATGAAGCTGTGCTGCTCGCCATCTGGAGCCGATGGGATGGGCCGAATGCGGGCATGCGTTTATCGATAAGCGAGCAGCCTTTTCCGTCCCAAAATTTCTTTTAATGCCCCTCCGCCGTAGCCCACCTTGAAGTAGAGAGAGTATTCCCCGTATTCCCTCCCACTCCAATTGCTTCGATACATTCTTCCCTCCCATTCGCAAAGATGGCTACCACTTCTGACTCGGTTCCGGCCTCTTGCAAGGTCATGCTCTCCAAGCATGTCGCCAACGGCTTGCTTGCGGAGGTCCAGCAGGGCGTCCATACCCTGGAGAAACCGCCCCATCTGGTGGGATTCCTCGCCAACAACGACCCTGCGGCGTTGATGTATGCCCAGATGACGGAGAAGACGTGTCAGGAAAAGTGAGCATTCTCCCAATCTTCACTCCCAGTTGCGTCCATCGTGCCCCCTGTGGTTACTGTGCCTGGGAACCCCTCGGTGCATATGACTCAACCCTGCGATGTCGGAGCTTTCCTGGCACACAGGCAGTATTGTGGGATTTCACTTCGTAGCTAACGTAGTCTTTTTATCCATTGCACAGTGGCTTCCGCTACTCCCTCCGTGAAGTTGCCCGCGATGATCTCGAGCAGGCTATCCTCGCTGCCAATGCCGATTCCGATGTCAACGGCATCATCGTATACTACCCCATTTTCAACAACCGCCAGGACCAGTACCTGCAGCAGATTGTCGACATAAATAAGGATGTAGAGGGTCTGAGCCACCGTTACATTTTCAACATGTACCAGAACATTCGTTTCCTTGATCCCGAGACCAAGAGACAGAAGTGCATCCTCCCCTGCACCCCGCTCGCTGTCATTAAGATCCTCGAATACCTCAACATCTACAACACGATATTGCCGTACGGTAACCGCCTCTTCGGACACACTATCTGTGTTGTGAACCGCTCCGAGGTGGTTGGTCGCCCTCTCGCTGCTCTGCTGGCCAACGACGGTGCCTGCGTCTACAGTGTCGATATCACCGGTGTTCAGAAGTTCACTCGCGGTGAGGGTCTGAAGAAGGGCAGACACGAGGTCGTCGACCTCGAGGGTAAGACCTTGAAGGATGTGGCACCTCTGTGTGATGTTGTCATCTCCGGTGTTCCCGGAGAGAAGTACAAGTTCGATACCAGCCTCCTCAGAGAGGGTGCTGTGTGTGTCAACTTCTCCAGCGAGAAGGTACGTTTCTTAGCAATTTACCATCGTACCTTATCTCAAGGGCTAACACAAAGTGTGAACAGAACTTCGGACCCGAGGTGAAGGAGAAGGCCTCCATTTTCGTGCCTTCCATTGGAAAGGTGACCATTGTTGTCCTGCTCCGCAACTTGCTGGTAAGTGATCCTTTATATCTTCGCCGAAGGGACTTCAGTTACTAATTATTTTCTGCAGAGACTCATCCAGAACAGCCGTGTGGATGACGTGAAGCCCGCTGAAGCCACCGAGCGTCCGGGAACCCTGGAAGCCGCTAACTAACCTACTACACTACGACCATTATTCTCTAAAACGTGCCACGGGAGACGAGTTAAGAAGAGCCAGTCATAGATTCCGTTTTACTTCCACTTCTTCTATTGTATCTTTTCCACTGAAGCCATATATCATGCGACTCAATCATTCTTGTATAAAAAAAAGACAAAAAGCTATGCCCCATTTTGGTTAAAATTCGCCGTATTTGTCTCGTTTCTTGAGCCTTTCCAAGCATGAGAAACGAAAAGAATATACATACATGTATTATGCCGAATATATTGCTCCTACGTTCAAACCACTACTGAATCCTCTGAACGACAAGACACTTTCATATCTGGAAAGAAAAGACTAATGCAACCAAGGACAAGAAACTCCTATTTCCTTTCCAACTCTCTAGATTACCCGCAACCAACACCCCATGTACATTTCACTTCCTCCTCTTGACATCCTTGCTTTCCTCCTCAACACCCACTAAACTGGCAACACCGCCGGTCTTCTTCTGCGTTTCCTTGGCTGCCAACCCCAGAACCTCGATCTCACCAGCCAGCCAGGCCCTCAACGGCTCGGGATGAAATGTCCCATCCGCAGCAAACCACTTAGTGAACGAGGTCTCAATCTCCTTCTCCTGCAGCATCTTGCCCTGCGCCGACTTATACTGGACCTGCAGCTTGTACAACGGGGAGTGCTTCTGCACGGACGACCGAATGATAATCTAGCATATCATATTAGCACGCAACCAAATTAACCCGCCTTTCGGCGATAGAAAAAGCGTACCGTTTCACCCGACTTTCGCTTCCCATGGAATACCTCACCCGCCTCGACAGCCCAAACCCAGTACGTGAGGAGCGAGTTCAAGGTAAAGTACGACAAAACGGCTGCGATGATCCATGGCGAATGTGTCGCCTCCCAGTTGAGTTTGCGTTCAGCATAGAAGCTGAAGCCGGCAATTGCGACGGCAGCATAGCCCAAGAATAGGTGGACATTGGTCTTGGTGTGGTCTTGGGCGAATGTGTAGGGTTGGGGGAGGGAGCCAAGGTAGGGAGCTAGGGCGTCATCGGTTGTTGATTTTATGTCTGTTCAATGAAGTAATTAGTGAGTTTTGTTGACCAATACATAGATCTATGAGTGTAGCAAGTATTGCGTCGCAGTAATATCTTGGATGTATGTAGTAATAGTGATGTTTATCGCGCGAACTAACCATTGACCGAGTAAACGGGCACTTTCTGGACTTCTGCGGACGCCATCTGGATTTTTTGTTTAAGGTCCGAATAAGACAAAATAGGTTAATAGCCTCCCCAGCTTCCTAATGTAAAGTAATTCAGTTAAAGGTGGAAGAATACTTCGTGGAGCTTCGATCTAAGCCGGGGAAGAGTTGCGGCGAGCTGTCCCTTTCGCAAGCTAAAGCGGCGGCAATGGTATGCGCCAAGGCAAGTCAATCAAGTCAGTCAGCCCGCCGCGCCCCATCCAACTTCCGTGGGGAGCTCCGTGTGTCTTTCTCTGCCTCCGAACCACAACTCGAGGGATTAGACCACATCTATTCTTGTTCAATTCTGCTCACAATGGCTCTGCAAGGCGTTGAGCAGACGATCCTTCGGGATCCGGCTCTATTGTGAGTTTATTGCTCCAGACTGGGCGTGATTTGATGTGAAATGCTGATGTGATCGACTCGCACCTCTAGCTACTGGATTGTGTTCCCTATCACTGTTGTTATGGTATGCGAGCCCTCCTCTACTCTATAAGAGACAGGGATATATGCTAATCGTATATTCCACAGATTCTGACAGGTATCCTCCGTCACTATGCCACCGTCCTGATGAACAACCCCCCGAAGCCGGCTTCGACGCTGGCCGAATCCCGCGAACGTCTCGGACTCATTCGCGGCGTCAACCTCCGGAACAACGCCTCCGTGCTCTCGAAGGAGTCCTTCGAGATGCGGAAGAACTACCTCGTTTCTGCCTACCAGAGCGGCGCTTTCCTCAAGGACCCTGCTAGTCGCGGCCAGCCGCCTGCAAATCCAATGACCGATCCTGCTGGCATGGAGGCCATGATGGGCATGATGAAGGGGAATATGATGATGATGATCCCACAGACGCTGATTATGAGCTGGATTAATGCGTTCTTTTCGGGTTTCGTGATTTGTAGGTCTTATCTGATATGTTTTTGGAAAGGGAGTGAGCTGACAAGAGTGCTAGTGAAATTGCCCTTCCCGCTTACCATTCGGTTCAAGTCAATGCTGCAGTCTGGTGTTATGACCCGGGATTTGGATGTTAGATGGGTGTCCAGTCTTTCGTGGTATTTCTTGAACTTGTTTGGACTGCAGTCGGTCTTTGGGTTTATTTTGGGCAGTGATAATGGTTAGTTCACTGTGTTTGCCTCATTATCGTTTCTATTATCTTTGTTTGAGTGTGCTGACAGTTTGCTTTAGCGGCCAACCACATGGCTTCGCAGATGGCGTCGATGAACCCTGCCGCTGGGATTAACCCGTTCCAGCCGGGCCAGGATCCCGATAAGTTGTACCAGAGCGAGGCTGAGAACCTGGAGGTCATTGAGCACTTTTGCATTCTGGACGGCGTTGAGGAGAGAGTGCTGGCTCATTACGCGGGTAGGAAAAGCTATTAGGCTACGATGGTCTGGCTTCTGGGTGCCTTTGGACTCTACTTGCTGAATATATTAGATGAAGTGCAGATGTATCAATATGACATACTAGTAATATAAGTGCAGACCGTGAGTACTAAGACGGGTGTGTCCTCATTAGAGCCTCTGCCAAGAGACCTTATCCAGCATCCATCAATCATAACAGAATCATCATCAGCATGAAGAACATCATAATGAAATATATAGCCATCGCAGCCCAATTGAACCCAATGAACCTAGGTATAATTGACCACCCCATTCAGAATCCACAATTCCCCATTCGAAACCTTCTCAGCAATACTATCCACCTCCACATTCCCTGGTTGAATCTACCACAAACAGTCAGTCAGCGTATCCCTAAATCACCCACCGCCCGGAAAGGACCCAGAAGAACATACATAAATCTTCCCCCCCTCCCCCCTATTCCACCTCACCTTCTCTCCAGCAAGGGTAACCCCCTCATCGCCCTCCCCCCAAGGACTCCCGACAACAACATGCGCCTTGACAAACCTCTCCAGATTCTTCGTTGCCCGATCCTGCCCCTCATCGCCCTCATACGCCCCGGCCTGCCCAAACCGCTCATAGTCCTCGGGATTCTCCCACGGCTTGCGCGGCAGGTTCTGGATCGCGCTGTTCCGCGGCGCCAGGACTGTTACGTTGCTTGAGGGATCATTGAAGCGGGACTCCACCGAGTCGAATTGCCGGGTTAGGGAGGCGTAGATGTTAATGAGGCGGTTCTTGGGCAGGACGTCGGAGATTATGGGGTTCTCGTGGGAGGAGGATTGACTGCCCATTTTGTTGGTGGAGGGTTGCTGGGATAGCCACTCTTTTAGGTCGGCGAGGTAATTGTTGGTGGTGTCTTGGAGGTGGAGGTCGTGACGGAGGTGTGGTGCGGAGACGAAGGGACGGGGAAGACGCTTTCGGAGAGGGAAGCTGTTGGCTGTGGTTAAGGTGGTGAGGATGATTATGATTAAGGTGAGGGAGGATGCTATGAGGAAGAAGGGTTTCTTGGTCATTTTGATATTGGGGGTTTTATATAGATTAGGTTAGTAGATAGAGGATATGGTATTGTGGTGGAGGTGATCGGCCTGTCAGCCGGACTGGGGGATGACGCAACGCCAACTGCCAGTAAGTTAACTACTTTGTAATAACTGGAGAGTGACATGGTCAATGTAGCAGCACGTGACCCATATCGATAAGGGCAATCAATGGGCGGGCCACAAACGGCGTCATGTTCCGGTCGCGGAGAAGATAGAGAGAGGCACTTGACTAGTTGCTTTCCCCCCCTCCATTTGCCCCTCATCTGCGATTTCCGACGTCTCACTTGTCACAAGATGTCGGCGCTGCAGACATTCCTGCTGGTCGTGGACCATGATAAGCAGGAGGCCAAGCAGATCGCGGAACGAATTGCTCAAGGTACGTTATGTGATGTTCCCATGCACCCCCGCCGCTGCCGCAGCAGATCGTTAGATGATGGACTGGGACTAACTACTATTGCTGGAACAAAAAAGATGTGGAGACCAAGAAGACCACGCTCATTGAAGTCGTGCAGTCGCTAGGAGAGTACATCAATGACGAGGACTCGATTCTGCGCGGCAAGGCCGTTTCCTATCTCACGGCCGTGATCCGGGCGCTCCCTCCGAAGTTCCTGTCGAGACAACAGATTCAGGTTCTGACAACTTTTTTCTGTGAACGGATTGAGGATGGAGGGGCTGTCCCCGGGTTGGAGACTTTGCAGAAGCTGGATCGGTTCAATAAGGCGTTGGCTGAAGAAGTTGCGCAAGCGTGAGTGCATCTGATATTGATAAGGTCATGCGTCGACCTCGGACGGGATTTAGCTGACTTGTGCAGGATCTTCGAGCGCTTCGAGGAGCTACAGTCTCGCTCGCAGTCTCAGAGGTTCCAGGTTTACCAATTGCTGAACGAATTGATGATCAATCATCGTGCCGGTGCGTTTCCATCCATACTTCCTTCGACGTGGTTTTGCGGGAATTGACTAGTGCAGCCCTCCATGATATGGGTGACGAGTCCCTGGTTGGCATAGTGAACCTGATGACGGGTGAGAAGGACCCGCGCAACCTGATGCTGGTCTTCTCGATCCTCAAGGTGGTGATGGTGGAGTGGGATGTGTCCAACCATGCTGAAGTATGTATTACATGTGGTCTGGATATAGTCTTCTGATAACTGACATGTGAAGGCTCTGTTCGACTCCGTCTACAACTACTTCCCCATCACCTTCAGACCCCCGCCGAATGATCCATACGGTATTACTGCTCAGGATCTGAAAGACCGCTTGCAAGACTGTATCTCGGCGAACAGCCTGTTTGCTCCGCATGCTGTTCCTTCTCTGTTGGATAAGCTTGACTCGACGTCGCCCAATGTCAAGGTACGTGCTGACAAGGCCACAACCCTTATACATTCTAACGATCCTCCAGAAAGATGCGCTTAATGCCCTTATTGCTTGCGTCAAGCTGTACGATCCAAACACGGTGTCCAAGTATTCGATCACCATTTGGGAAACTCTGAAATTCGAGATCCTCAACGCCCAGGAGGAATTCCTTTCTGAGCTCTCTCTTCAAGTCTTGAGCAGTATTGCGCAGCGGTTGTCGGAGGGCGTCACGCAGATCTCCGACCAGCTGCCTCTTGCACAGTTCTTGCGCCCGATTACCAAGGAGTGCAGCGAGCAATTGCAGGAGCCTCAGCAAAAACAAGCGAAGCCTGCTCAGCAAATCCTCAGCTCTACTTCCGCAGCATCTGCAGCGTCGTTCACGCTCATCGTGCAAACTGTCGTCGCACCACTCTTGACGATCTACCAAGAAGCCGATGGAATCGCCAAGCAGAGAGCTCTGCTGGATACGTTGACCGTCCTCTTCGATTCTGCTATCCAGGTATTTGGCGCATGGACATCGCGGGACTCGGAGCCTAGCCTCAGCAACCCCTTGCTCGAGTTCAAGGATCAGTTCTCGGACATCTTCGGCCAGGCGCTCATGGGCGTTATCAAGGAGGAAGTCTTGTTCCGCATCTCCGCCCTGAAGGGATTTCTGCGCTTGTCCACCCTGCGCAACTACTTCCAAGATAACGAAGTTGGACTCTTCGTCCAGTACCTTGACGAAATCCTCCTAAAGGAGGAATCAGTCGGCCGTGACGACCTGAAGAAGGAAGCAATTGCTGCCCTGACAGAAATTTCGAAGTACAAGCCGCGTCTGATCTTGGACATTACTTTCCCTGCTTTTGTAGCCACACTTCCTGACTCCGATGATGGGTCGAACCCCGAGTATATCACCACCCTCGAGACTCTCGCACAGATCAGTGTTGAGAGAGACATCTTCGACACCCTGGTCCGGCGTCTGCTCAGCAAGCTGAGCATACTTTTGCAGAAGGATGATCCAGGATCTGTGGACTACCCCAGGGCCATCCTCTTGACTATCCTTTATGTCATGAACCAAAGGAAACTCGACGAAACCCCTAACCTGGACCTCTACTACGACAAAATCGTCGTGAGCCTGTGCCGTAGCGCAGCAACAGCAGCTCTAGGCAAAGCCCCGAACAACATCCTAACCGACGCCACAGTCCTTGATGTCCTCGGAAGACTATGCAATGTCATCATTAGGTCCCTCCCACAGAGCAAGCACGACGAAGTCGTATCTAATATCTACACCCTCTTCGCCTCAGCGGACGGCTTCCAACAGGTGCCCTTCACTCCCTCGCCAACTGACAGCCACCGCCGCACCATGATCCTCTCGACCTACCTCCTCGCCAGCCTCCCCCGAGACACGAAGAACCTACCCCCCTGCACACCCCCCGTGATGTCCGATCTCCTCACAGACATCGCAACCCGCTGCACGACCGAGACCGAGACCGCCACCCAACTGGCCTTCCTCCGCCATCTGGCCCTCTACATTAACAAGCATCTCAGTAAGGAAGACCTCGACCTCGCAACAACCCTCTTCGACTCCCTCCTCCCACAAACCACCCAAGACCCCCACCTCACCACCTCCACCATCAAAACCCTCTTCTGGATCTCCAAAGCCCTCATCCTGCGCCTCTCCCCCAAGACGACCCAAATCCTCACCACCCTCCTCAACCTCCTCTCCTCCTCCTCCGAAGCCACCAGCACAACCGCAGCCCGCGGCTTCGCCATCCTCCTCAAAGACGACGAAGTCCTCTCCCCAACCAACCACGCCAACGTCCGCCTCCTCTCCAAACAACGCGTCTTCACCACTTTAACCCCTCTCATCTCCGCCCGCATCCGCGAAGTCAACGTCGCCGGAACCGCATCCACCACACACATTAAACCCGCCCACCTAACCGCCCTCTCCGGCATTCTCTCCACCATTCCTCCCACCCTCGTCATGCCCGAACTCCCCACCCTCCTCCCTCTCCTCCTTCAAAGTCTGGACCTCCAATCCGCCGACTCCCAGCCCGTCCGCGCCGCCACCCTCGAAACCCTCGCAGTGATCATCCGCGACAACGGCGTCAGTGTGATCGAAGAGTGCGGGCACGTGCAGAGCCTCGTCACTCGACTCCTGAAGACGGCCGAGCACGCGCCGACTACTGGAGCTATTAACGGACCCAGACTGCGCGTCGACGCCCTCAAGTGTCTGTTCTTGCTTGCGCAGACGCCGGATTCGGGTGCTGCGGATGCTCCGAAGGTAGCTAAGGCGGGCAAGCTGTCGCCGCTTTTGCCGGTGAAGAACCAGGTGTTGAGGGCGTTGAGAATGGTGCTGGATGATCCCAAACGGGATGTTAGGAAGGCCGCGGTTGATGCTAGGGGGGCTTGGCTTAGGGGCGTGGATGATGCCGCGGAGGATGATTGATTTGTTTCTTTCTTTTCTCTTCTATCTATTTCTGTATCTTTTTTGTTAGATGGAGGGGGGTATATTTTGTTCGCTGGTTTTTGTTGCCCTTTTTGGTTGCAATCTTGCTACGTGATACGTGCTGCATGCTGCATGCTGCATGCTACAGGCTGCTTCTGCTGCTCAACATAACATACGTCTTAGGGTTTGGTGGTGGCATTAAAGGCAGAGTATTAGATGATGATGCTTTGGGAATGTATAGATGATTGGATACAGTGCATACCACTCAGGTCGAATTGACATTCTTGAAGATAATTGCATGTCTAGATCCTAGCAAGCGGGTGGGTCTCTTGACCTACGCAGGCTTTTCGTATCTAAAAGTAGAAGTGTTGTAACTACAATTAGAGAGAAGGGAATTTGACGGTAGCACAGAAAACCCGGTCACATCAACTAGATTTCACCTGCAATTTGAATCCTTCGACACCTTTGACACTTCCTCCGCACTGAACCCCAACTTCACCAAAATTCTCGCTCCAGCCCTTGGAGAGTATCTTTCGGTGGGCAGGCGCTACCCAGGTCTTTGACGCTCTCTATGTCATCGAATTCGAGGCCCTTTGGAGCGGGTACAATCTGCAGTGCCCCGGAGTGGACTGATTCTTTGGATGAGACGCTGAACCCTTGATTAAAGTAGCCAACACCATCTGCCTTCTCAACCACCATGATAGTGAGACGGAGGAGATCCCCAAGCCCCCCGGTCCCAATGGCCATGGCGACTGGACTTAGTGGCGCATCTGGGGTTATAAGATGTGCATCTCTCCCGAGTAAGTCGACGCTACTCCAGTCTTCTGCACGCTCACCAACCTCCAGGTCGACATTGCTTTTCAATAGAGATTCAATAGCTGGACTCACGAGCGAAGCTTCATACCAGAGCCTCCCCCGTCTGATCATCTCTTGGGGTTGCACCGCACGGGCTCGCACGGCTGTTCCTTCAGCGGCGCTGGTCCCGACAATCAGATCCTGAGTCTCTAGTACCTGCAGATATAGATCTCCGTTGGTCTCACTCTCACCGTTTGGCTCCTTTCCGGTGATGTCACTTGAGGGGACCACATCTGAGCGAATGAACTTATGCCGAGTCCAACGCTTCATGTATACCTTCTCAATCGAGATTGTGTGCCCGGCTGGGAGGCGGGTGAAGATTCGCAGGAGTGGTTTGTCCGCGGGAATCCAGAGATGGTCAACCATATATTGAGCTGCTGATGCAAGTTCCGGTCCATGATCGGTGACACAGTTGAGACTGATATTTGCATCCCAGATTTGCAGTGGGATATGTAAGTTAACGCCCCCAAGCGATAAGGTCGGCTTCCTCAAACAATGACCACCCTGTTCGTCAATGACAAGAACAAGCGATTGACCAGCTTTCGTTCGGCAATGAAACTCATAGGATACATTGTATTCGTCGTACTCTTGTTCGAACAGGCGGCGTTTTCCTTGCGCCTTGGACGTCCTCAGGTCAACAAGATGATCGATGTCCGCACCAGACGTCGTCAATCTATTCATGAACTTCGTAGTCGGTGCGGCCAAGCCCGTCCGTGGCTTGAAAATCTTCTCCCAATCGCTAAAGGTTATTACTTGCTCGCAGCATGACTTTGGAAGGAGTGGTATCAAGAGTAGTCCGATCTGCACCTCCAAAGTGATTGCTCCTGGGAATGTTTCAGCGGCCTCTAGAGTGGGCTTCAAGGCCTCATAAAGCCTTTTTATATCTTCGTCCAGGTTCCTGTCCACCTCGATTTGTTGTTCTTCTTGTTCCTGGCTCACCAGTGTTGCTATTCTCTCCTTGATCGGTCCAGAGCCATGTTGACTCCCTGAAACATCGACTGATGGCTTCTTGGCGTGCTTGGGGAGTATTCCCCAAGCATCTTCGAGGGTTTTCTGTTTCTTAACCTTGGCCTCGGCCTTGCTGTTCACCTTGTCTTTGCTACTCGGATTAGGTGCCTTCTGAGTCATAGTACGGCGGAAGGCTCTCGTCACGACTTCACCATCGAGGTGTTTTGCTGCCCCGTGGGATCTCTCAATTTCTGTAACTTTGTCATGAGCCAGGCTCCCCTGTGCCTGGCGCAGAGTTGATGCATTCTTGTAAGCCTCTTTAACGATCAGTGATTCGCCTTCGTTGCTTTCATTATAGACCATGGTCAAAGAAGCCAGTCGATTTGTCTGCTCAAACACCTTCTCGCTGCTGTCTGCAGTAGCTCTTGCGTTGCTGAAAGGTGCCACCCTGTCACCGCTGAGTGAAGCGTCTCTGGTTTTGCCGGAGGAAGTGGCCGTTTCATTGCTATGAAGAGGGTTTCTGCCATGGCCTGGTGAAGTATATCTGACATTGCATGAAGAAGTCGCTTCTTGCATGGATTCCGTGCTGCTAAGCTCTAAGGGGGCCCCAGATGCCTCGAAAACTAAACCGGCAAGATCAAGGCTATTGCCTCTGTTGTGTCCGACTACTTCTTCGGAGGCCAGGGTTGGGGAGACCGCGCTTTGACTACAAGACAGACTCGATGGCACTAAGGCCGGCTGATAGAAGGAAATCGTAGGTTGGATACTGGTACCTCCGGTTGTTACCGGCCCAAGAATATCAACAAGCTCCTTCCGTTTGTTAATCTTCTTCTCCAGCCCTGATCGGGTGTGTGGATAGGTGCGGTGGTCGCTTTTCGTAGCCTGGGGGGTGCTTTTGTTGAGACCATACTTTGTAGTGTCAAATCCCTGGGGAAGATGCGGCTTGTCCTCTGGTACTTTTTGGAGGGTTGTTGAGGCTATATGAGCTTGTGGCGCCTGAGCCTCAGCCACCGGGTCTGCTGTAACATGCTGGCCTTCAGTGCCACTTCCAGTATTATAGATCATTTTCCACTTTTTACGAGGTTTAGAGACACAAGCCTCCGTTGTTTGAACCACAGTATCCTTGGGCTTTGGCTCTGCACACTCCCGGGCTGACGATGGCTGTACCTCGTCGGTTATAAGTCTGCGCTGTTTGATACCAGGTGGCCTCTTGGTTGTTGGGGCACAAGGTTTAATAGCTGACTGCCCGGAATGAGGCATAATTCTCATGTCCGCGTCGGATACAGGAGTAGGTCTTTCAGCGCCAGTTCCCTCAACAACCCACCGATTCCATTGGTCCACTTGTTTTGCCTTCTCGGGAGTCAAATAAGGATGTGTAGCAGGGTCGCTGGAAGCTGTTGCCGTAGCTCTGGTTCTAACAAGTTCATCAACTGTGCTCAAGGCAAGATATTCATCGCCTTTTCCAATCCCCTGGAAGGTGAAGTCATTCCAGAGACGGGATCTTCCGGGCTCCTCGGTTATATGAGGCGGATTAGTGATATTTCTGGGCTCTTTGAATGCATGGGTCTCCTCGTCGTAGGGAAGTGGCACAGTGACGAACATCTGACCGAGTTCCCAGCTGAGATTCATGTCTGGGTCGGTCAAAAGGCGTTGAGGAGCAGTACTGTTCAGACTGCCGTATCTCTGCATACGAAAACGTATGCGACCGTTATCTGGAGTAGCGTTCAGATTTGCCACTCCCGCAATCGTAATAAAGCTCTGTTTCATAAGTAAGATAATGGCTGCTACTCTAGTGAGGCGGACACTTACCAGGGGCTTCTCAATCCGAGTGAGCTTCGCCAAAGCATCTTGTACATCTTCGACGGACTTCCCGATCACTTGGACGCCACGGCCTTCGACGACACAAGCCTCAGTCCCAGTCAAAGCCGCTATCTGCGAGAGAAAGTCACGGAACCTGTTGTCTGAAAAGCAGCCCACTCCCCCATTGGATGATAGCCAGAACCTAGTGACAAGAGCAGCGGGATTAGGTATCAACTCCTGGTCAGAGCTGTCTGACAGGGCTAGAAGTCCACCTTCCTCGTCCTTGTCTGTATCAGAAACCACCGGGTCTTCATCGACAGGCATAATGGCAGACACATCCAGCTGATTGATCCGAGTCATCTAATGTTTATGCCTGTCAGCGAGATTTTTGTTGGGATTGCGGGAACAAGAAATCCCCAAGACATACATCTAGCAAATCCTTATTTTCCTGACCATCGATGAAGCTTGATACAACCTTCGCAATTTGAGACGCGCCGCCCTCCAGATTACCCTTGAACTCGAGAACCTAGACAAGCGGATTTTGTTAGCATGATGAAACAAGCTCTACCAGGTAGGCTATTTACACACATTATCATGTTTGTGGTAATGGCATTCACTGTCACCATGATTTTTCAGTTTCCTACAGCTGTCAGTTTCAATCGCAGACGAAGTGTGCGTTGGCTAGGGTCTTTACTTGATCTGATCTGTGACTTCCTCCACCTGTTATGTTGTGTTAATGCGGAGCACGAACTAATGACACAGGGTTTTGCTTACCCCGATGTCTTCAAACGCCCACATAGACGCCAGCGTGACCCGCTGCCTTGCAGACATTCTGTGGATCGAAGCTGTGAAAGATAGTGTGGATGGACTCTAAGTTGGGTCCTGTCAAGAGAACAGAACGAGACTGATGGAGATAACCGATGAACTGTGAACCAGTCAGGGGACGAACCAAGATGGAAAGAAGAAGGGGGAGGAAAGAAGAAAGTGGGAAAGAGAACAAGAGGGAGGTAGTGCCTGGGGGGAAGATGGCGGGGCAAAGGGTGGTCAGTAAATTCCCATGGCAATGAAACCCCGGGGAAAGAGCCAAAGTGAATGGCCGGTGGTTAGCAATAACACTGGGCGAACTCTAACGGAATCAACACAGAGAGACTCGCACAAACACAGAGCGGGTGGATGCAGCTCGAATTCCCTGCGAGTGGACGCCACTGGAACAGTCACGGTCCCATTGAAGTCAACAGAAGTACGGTCTGGACAGAAGAAGGCAAAACTTTTGGTCTGTAAACGTGGACAGAAACTGCATCAAAGACACAAAAGTGAATTCCCTGATCCAGAAGAAATATAAATACTCCTGAAAGGATGATGATGATAGGGGAGATGCGACGTTAGCAGCACAAGGTGAGACATCCAGGCTTTTCGAAGGAGAGTTCCGTCCCGTAGGAAGTTATTGCATTACTGTAAGATTGCATTGGCATGCAAAGAAGAAAAAGTATATCTACACGGATATCGCCGTTCTGGTCATCCGAACACTCTAAACACAGGGTGACACGCAAGGACATGATGGTCTATTCTTCCGGGGTATCGAGCAATCCCAAACTCCAGCTCTCATCCAGAGATACTGTGGAGTGTGAATATGAGAGGAAAAGGAAACATTGAAGGGAAAGAGAAAGGGAAGTAAAGAGAGGACAAGAGGGGTGAAGGAAAAGCAAAAGACTGAAAAGAAAAAGAAGAAAATAAAAGAAATTACAAGAAAATTAAAAAGGGCCCACGGCCGGAAATTTCCGTCTTCGCTGACCAGACGCAGACATGGCCAGTAACCTCCGTGCTGAAGGCAAAAGAGAGCCGATTAAAGGGAGGAAGATTGAGTCGAATATGCCAGATCAATGTACCCGCCATTGAATCGAAGCTGCGTAGGTAGCCCAAGGCGTATTCTGCCCAGCAGCAGCTTTCCCAGGTACGTTCCCTTGGATCGTTATTGACAGGGGGTTATCGTTCATTCGGCATCCTTGATTTGTTGCTTGACTTGAATGGCCCATTTCATCTGCCCCTGGGTTTCTTGCAGCGCAGCAAGAGCCGCATTGATTTTGGCCTCACCCTCACGGCCGCTTTCAATCAGTGATCTCAATTCTTCGTCCTGGGTGCGTTTGTAGGCTTCGTACTCGGCGAAGAGGGCCTCGAACTTCTGCCTGCTGCTCTCAAGCTCGCGATCCTTCTCAGCCATCAGTTCGTCCAGGCGCTCTACATGACTGTCTTTTTCGTCACTTCGTTTCTTGAGAGCGACAAAATCATCCCGGAGCACCTTGAGCTTCTTCAGATGTTCAGCTCGTTCCCGTTGCCCGGTCTTTGCCAGCACATCATACTGAGTTCGGGAATGGTGAGAAATTTCTTGGAGCTCGGCGCATTTCCGATGAAAATCGTCTCGAGCTTCATCCATCAACTGAGTTGTCTTCCGGGCCTCTCCTTCAGCCTGAGATCTCCGATCTTTCTCGCCTTGAATTTCCAACCGAAGCTCTTCAATTTTCTTGTCCTTTCGTGAAATGGAATGCAGATTGGTCTCATTCGCCTGTTCGAGGTTGCGGAGTCGTTCGGTCATATTCTGGACTTGGATCTTGAAGGCATCGTTCATTCGCTGGGTCTCCTCGGCCCTCGAGCGATAGACGCTACAGTCGCGGGTCAGGCGCGCAACTTCCTCCTGTAGATTGTGTATCACCCGCCCCGACTTTCCCGTCGCTGCGTGGCCGACAGCGGATGACCATTCGGTTGCCGGAACATCGCCAGATATGGAATTATGAATGCCGTTCGTGCCGTTTGATGAGGGGGCAACTACCGTTTCTACGCACGTGCACACAAATTAGCTGGGGTCAAGGGCATGGAAAAGGGGAGGGGGGGCGGAGAGGCTTACCTGTGGACGACTCTTCGGCTGCGGATGCCTTCTGACGCTCAGAGGTACCAATCTCAAACAGGCCATTGTACTGATGCATGTTCAATTCCGTTTCCACATGGGGTAAGCTCACACGAGGCGCTCGTTGGGGATCTGACGTAGGTAGCACAAGCATGTCCGAGTCAGCATTTTTTGTTCCTGCCTTAGGGGACTTCTTGACCCGACCGAATCGGGCCATTCCGAGCAAAGCGGATAGGGTTGGAATGTTGGCTAAAAGGCAGGATATCCGCAAAAGGCAAAGCGACAATGAAGGGAACGGAGTAGGTATCCAAGCAGCAACCTATTCCCTTGGGGGGGGAAGGAAGACCACGTAGGATGCCACTCCGTAGCCAGAGTTGGGGCCGCAGCAAGGAGCAAGCAGCAACTCAAATCAACGAAACGAACACCGCCAATGACAACAGCTAAATTGTACAAAAGCAAATCAAGGGCGAGGTAAGCACTACTACTAGTAGATCTAGTAGTAAAGGCGTGCTCACAGACTTCCTGATCCCGGAATTGACAAACGAGCACGTCGCGGGGAAGATTGGGAACTTAAGTGGCAGATGATGATAGGGATGCATGGAAAGGCAGAAAGCACAAAAATGACCAGGAAGAAGGGGAAGAAAAAGCGCAGCACATACCACGAAGTGGATCAATGCTTGTTTGCAGATCTGCAGCACGAATATTATTGCGATGAAGATTAGAATGGTGCTTATTCATCGCCGAGACATCAGAAAAAAATCCGAGATTGCGGTGGAAGAAGTGAACTCGATGGATGCAGAAGAAAAGGCGGCAAGTGCTGAAACAAGTAGACAATGACAGGGTCTGGCTCACTCAACGCACCTAGTATTTTACCCGCTGATCCGCGTCGACAGCAGCACGAACCATAAACCCGCGCAACTGGGTGAATATCGCAGGGTGCACAGGGGACGAGAGGCTGAGTGATATGATATATATATATATATATATATAGTATCAACTAGTATGAACAGTGATAAGGGAGGGGCAGTATGGTCGGTTCAGTCGAGTACCGAGAGTTTAAAAGGAAATGACCGGTGATACTCTGCTAGTTGGTAGTAGAAATAAATAAAACCTGGGAAGACGAGAGAGATCCCCGCACTTAATAAAGATGCAGCCGGGACTGCTGGGCAGCAAAAAAAAGAAAAGAATGAACTAATAGGGATCCAGATGATGATGTGAGCTGTCTGCCTGTCACCCACACTGCCTGGCAGCAAAGAACAATACCAATAATAATACTACTAATAAATGAATCAGATGAATTAAGAATAGTAGCGCCCGACCTGGGACTGCCGCCGCTAACCACGGCCGCTAGAAGCAAAACCTGTCCTTCGGATCCAATCCCCTCTGCTCGCCTCCCCCCATCGATCATCCACTTGAAACAATCTAGCCTCACTGTCAATAATATGACTAGTAGGAATAGTCCGATTGATGATGCGAGCAGTTTCGCCCAACTCCAGACTTGTAACTATACTAACGATTGGCCAGTGGACATGCTACATGACGTAATCAAATCGTTGTTTGCTACTGACTACACTAACTAGAAAAGCTGGCCGTCGAAATCCATCCCAAAGAGAAAACCCCCATCACTCGTAATATCCAAACGAACCTATTCTTCGCCTCCAAAAATCGTCTTAAGCCTGCCCATTCAAAAAGCCCATAATCATGAAACCTCATTATGTACAAAGGAAAATTGACCAAAGGAGTGACTCACACCAAGGAAAAGAAAGGGTAAGGATGGGAAGGTTTCGATCTAGAATAAGAAAACACCCAATGTGAATAGAGGTTCTGTCGTCAGATGACCGATGTCAACATCACTGGCAGTTCCCTAACTTCAGAACTGAAATAGACGATTTAAATCCCAATGCTCATTCCATCTATTTTGAAGGCATCAGTCCATCCCTCGTCAGATTCAGCAGACGAGATAGAAGCCCATAGCCACGATGCCAAGGACCAGATCAAGCGAGACCATCTGGAAGGGTGCGCCACCATTCTGCATTGCCGCCGCCATGGCACTCTTGCTGGAAACATTGGAGCTACTGTCGTGGTTGGCATCCAAAGTAAAATTCGTTGTCGCATTGTTGCCAGGCAGAACACTGTTCACTTCATCACGGGGAGCAGTATCGGTGGGAGTGGGAGTTGGTGTGGTTTCCGTCTGGGATGGTGTTGTCGTCTCCTGTGTGGAGGTAACTGAGCTTGCAGTTGAAGTTGTAGCGACTCTCTGCGAGTCATTGTTCAATGACACAAGCCCCGAATAGTTTACCTGCCCATCCTGGTCGATTTGAAAGGCATAGTCTGAGCCTGGTGCTAGGGAGTCGTCAGGTGTCCATGTGTAAGAGCCTCCCTTTGCATCTTTTGTCAAGACTTGGACAGTGTCGAGGTCCGCAGCTGCTCCTTTGCGTAGGGTGATTGTAACAGGCTAGTGTTTCATCAGCAATTTGCACCAGAAAGGCTCAAGGAATGAAGAAGGGATCGTACAGCATCAGAGTCAGTCTCCCAGTTCAAGGTTGTAGGGACGCCGGCATCCAAAGAAGACGGCCAATGCGTGAAAGCCAACGCTGCCTGAGCAATCTGGACTTGAGCCAGACATGCTGCAAAAGCAACAATTGCTTCTGTAAAGCGCATAGTTGCCGTAGTACCAACGATTGTAGATTAGGTTTAAGTGAACGCGATGCCGTGAGTCTCGGAGGTAGCACTGGTTGATGCAAGCCGCTGCCGATGATGACTCCCCCGTTGGCAGTTCACTTCTTCCTGCAAAGATCTTCAAAAGATCTCAGTAAGTTGACACACCTTGGGATTCTCTAGTGAGTACCGTCACGGTATCCTATACTTACCCTTTTCTGTGTAGAGCTACCGTCCAGAACGTCCAGAATACGGTGTGGCTCGTACAGAATAGAGATCCCCAGAGGTGAGGATGGCATCAGAGCTGGACGATGGACTTTTATTTCCTCCTTTACCCGTGCTTTGTTTACCTCCGAGTATGCTAGCATACCAGGAGAAAGGCGCGACAAAAATGCCGGCATTGAGCCCTAGCATTCCGACAATGCTGCTCATGACTGGTAAAAGCTCATGTGTAGGAATGTAGCCGGAGTACCGAGTCGAGGCTCTACATTCCCTCTGCGCCTTTCACAAGGGGTGGGACTGTGACAGCCCAACGGCCTATCTAGCTGGATCTCTCCGGGCTGGCTTGACTGTGGGCGCGAGATTGAGGTAGATGTCAATAAACTATGTCTGCAGTACCTGCTCTCATCCGCCTCAAGGGCGTCAGGAAGGTTACTTTGAGCCGTGTTGCAACTTAATAAATTGCCTCGCCACATGTTGAAGTCATCGAAACATTCAAGTATGTGTCCTTCATTCGAACGTTTCAATGACTCTAGGCGCATAATCTTAGATTCTTTTTGCTAGAGGGAAGGGCGGTTATGTCACGGCTCTACATAGTTGTGTTTCCCAACCTAAGGCCATAATTCCCCAGAAAGTTGCACCATATCGAGTAATCTATCCTGCCATCCACAGGGGAGAAATTAGCTTCGCGTGGTAAGCGGACTACAAATCTGCAAGGGGCAGGATCCCAAGGGACGCGAAACACTGAATCGGGTATGGACTGATAGAACATCATCATATCTTCTTTAGCTTGCATTAACCGAATTACAGCATGTGCCGATTGCCCGATCAGTCTCGGTTTTGCGACTCGAAACAATCGTACAGCATCAGAGCCACTGATTCACCGAGAGCTTATCAAACCCCCCTGAAGATGCCCGATACCGTAGAAACAGGACGGAGACGATTTCCCGAAGTGAACCATGGTTTCCAGTTTCCAAAAATATCAGAGAGCGAACAATCGTCTGGTCTTCCACGAGAATCGCAACGGTGACACTCGATCCTGATTGTTCGATTACCGAAAGCGGAAACCAGTTGAGCTTCGTCTGTATCCACATCGATAAACTACAACCTAAACGGTCTGTGAAGAATACAGATCCCGATAAGCGATACGTGAAAAGCGTTATCCGGATGCATCCTGTTCTATTCTCTGCTGAAGTTACTGTTGCTTCCACCTCGACGCCGGGTGGATAGGTTCGTTCCTTCCCTGGGGCTTATGGATCCATCCATTGAACAAGAAAAGCAAGTTAAGACCCCCAGGCGGGAAGGACTTCGATTTGACTTGCTGCCTCATTCATTTATGTTCGTTTCTCCGGCCATAAAACTGTAATATCATTGCCGTCCTATTCCTAGCAAATGACATAGACTGTCAAGTCGCTCGTTAACACCACACTCGTTTTATAAAAGCTTCCCTTCTCTCTTACTCAGCTATTCTGCGTCTTCGAAACTGCAAATTGAGTTTATTTACCTTCTAACCTGGTATCTTCTTTAATGCTGCAATCTCTGCTTGGAATGTTGCAAGCGACCTTGCCCGTCTCTCTCAAGCGCAGTGCGTCCTCTTCGCTAGTGTGTGAAGCTGAGCCAGCACAGTCGACCGCAAGATCAACAGACCCTGGCATCTCGCAACGGTTCTATCGATCAGTAGAATGTGAAAGCCGACATGAGACAGCCGAGTTCCCCGACCAAACGCTAGCACAGTCACCTGCCGTCCCGCATCAAGAGTCGCTCGAGCATACACGGGAAACAGCACTGCATACGCTATCACTTTGTCGCAATGTGATTGCTAGCCTCGAAATAACCCGACTCAGCAAGTCTCGAACCGGGCTTCATTACTGGCTGGGCTTTTGGGACCGAATCTATGGCCGACAATTCTCTCGTTTACTTGCCTTTCGAGTGACCAACACATTAGCCAGGATCGATGCGCTGTTTCGTGCAGTCTCCGGCGACCTTCATGAGCTCACACGGCGAATGCAACATGCTGTCACCTATGCTACATCGGAGAAGGAAATCCTCCGTCTCCTTGAGCGAATGGAAGACGAAGTCAGTGTACGTCGAAAGCGGAGACGGAAGAAGGCACAGATTATAATGAACAAACTACGTGCCAGCCTCGAAGCCGTTCCCATTAAAGTTACGGATGAGCTTTTTGATGACTTGAAGCGCGGTGTGTTTGCCTTGGATGTATTTTGTGATTACCACCCGGGCGATCCCGAGGCAGAAGAGCATGAACGCCAGGCATTACAACCAATGAATATGGTGACAGTATCGCCGTACGTGCAACCGTGGCACGAATCAGCAGCGGCTGGAGCGTACATGCCTCTATCAGCATACACGGAGATCCATCCGGACTGGACGGAGTATGCAGGGGACTGGATGCATAGGGTAGATTATCGCAGTCGGCAACCTCCTCCAAACAATCCTGCGACGCACCATAGGTAGATCGAGTCTAATTCTGGGTGCAGAATTTGAAATGACGGTCCTGGATAGATTTGATCATCTCCTACAGTGGCCGCTCACGGTCAGGTTGACCCATGACACCATTATTGTTCTTATAGATTAGACCGCAAACTATTGTGATTCATGCTTCGATGGCAGATAGATAAACTTAACTTTTAATGACTTTTTTGAACCTATCCGTGTCCCGCCAAAATCTAATTATGTACGCTAATAAATGTCAAGTCTAAAAAAAAGGCACAGCCGTAGAAATAAACAGTATATACTTTGCCCATCAAGCAAAATCCCACAATCCTCGGACAAAGCTACCAGGACCCGAATCCTGGCCACCATCTTCCTCCAACAACCGATCCGTGAAGATCCGCCTGGGTATTTGATACTCCACCACCGGCGTCCTCTTGAACGGCTTGTCCTCAGTCCCCAGCTCTCCCTGCAACATACCCTGGTAAGTGTAATCCAAGAAATCCTCCAAATTATAGAATTGTTTCGTGAACTGCTCAGAAATAATGTTTGCAATAGCAGCCACATTAGGATGATAATGAGACTGAAGAGTCTCGATTTCCCATAAACTGCTCTCGATGGCGTTTGTGCGGGTCGGATCGGGCTCAGTAGGATCAAAGGGATCATCCATGCCCTCTGCTTCTATCTGAGCCTTGAGCCCTTCGTCGCGAATGTTGCGGTGCATCATGAAGGCGCAGGTAGGGTGTTCTTTGAGGAGGTTGTACATGAAGGGGACAATGGCCACGATGGCAGTCGGGGGCGCGTTGAGAGAGAGGCGAGAGAGACGCTTGAGGAAGCTAGCGATCAGGGCGGCGGGCAAGTGGGTAGAGGCGAGGAAGGTGTTCATGAGGCGGAAGAAGCGGGAGCGGTGCTTGGAGTGGAGGAGGTCGGCGTCGAGGAGCGAGTAGAGCTTTTGGTAGAATTGGGGGTAGTCGAGGTTCTTCTCTTGGATGAGGTAGAAGAGACCCGAGAGGGCAAGGAGAGAGGTTGCTCCTCCGACGTTGTAGGAATCTGTTAAGAAGTCCATGAGGAGTTCGGGGCGGTTGAACCACGGCTCGATGTTGTGGACCATGATGCGCAGGAGGGTTTTACGCTGCGATTGGGAGAGGTTGTTGCGCAGGATGGCGAGCCAGGCGTCTTGGGCTCGTTTCTTGTGCGAGTTCACGGAGAGGACCTTTTTGTTCTGCTTGCTGGATTCGGTGTAGAAGCTTTCGAATTCGTGCTCCGGGCCTGGTACGGAATCGCATGCTGAGAGTATGGAGATTAGGACGTCGAGGGTCTCGGATGTTTGTTCGGTGTCTGCGTATTCGCTGTTTTGTGTGTCAGTGGATTTGGACTGCTGTAAAGGCTCCTTTTTGGTTCTGTGCAGGTGGACATACGCAAGCTGCATGAATGTGTAGTACCGCACGTCTTCGAATTCCTTTGTCTTCTCGATGAATTCGGAGAGCACTGCTTGTCCGTTCTTGGCTTCAACAACCGCCTCGAAAATTCCCTTGAATAAGCCCGATGTCCATTCCTGAGTATTGTCGCCGGGGAGGTGGGTGGCACGTTCGTTGATGAGGCACAGGCACAAGGTCAAGGCGCTGATCTGCTGGGTGTTAGTACCGTGTGGATATGGCCAGTTGGAATATATACGGACCTGAGATGAGGAGTCAGATTCGCGAATGATGGACAGCAAGAGCTTCTGGTATTCCCGGCAGCGTTCTTTCAACCAAGCTACAATGATTTTCTCATTCTCTGCAGCGCGACTAGTCTCCGTCAAATTCCCACCAGCGATCAGACGACTGAAAACCCGGCAAAGGGCAACGGCAACAGTCATGTTCGGTTTCGACGAGCCATCGACATTGAGCATGGAAATCAGGGTCGCAATGTTGTTGTAGTATTTTCGCGACTCGGAAATTTGGTCTTCCAGCTGCTGGATATCGGCAATCGCATTGGGGCTCTCAGTCTCAGCGACTGCGCGGCGCTTAGAGGAGGGAACGGCGCTCGACTTGACATTTTTCCTCTTCTTGGAGGTGACTGCTGCAGTCGTAGGGGCAGGCATGGTCGATAGAACTGCAGATATCGCGCAAAATCGGGGAGACTTGACCGACAGGCAGCACAGCAGTTCCGACATCAACCATGAATTTTTGGAGATCCCTCGGTTAGCGGTTTTTCCGCCCACTGGCGCTATGCCCGAGCGGGTTAGAGTCTTCCGCACCGTCCCAACCGCCATCCCGACCTCAGTCTCCTCATTTCCGTTCATCCATCACATCCTGTCAAGGTCTGAACACTGCTACAATGGCTTCGCGTTTGGCTAAGAGCGCCCTTGGTATGCCGAACTAGACTCTTTTCGGCTTGCTTTATCAACTGGCTATGATTGTTAACGCCCCCTAGGTGCTGCCCGGCTCCGGCCGACCCTTCCCACGCGCAACGTCGCTCCCATCACTGCCACCTTGACCGCGTCTCGCTCGGTCTCCAACGTTCCCACCGAGGACCCCAAGAAGAAGGCTCAGTCCATCATCGATGCCCTCCCCGGCAACTCCCTGGTCTCCAAGACCGCCGTCCTCTCTGCCGCTGCCGGTATCTCCATCGCTGCCATCAGCAACGAGCTCTATGTTATGAACGAGGAAACCGTTGCTGCTTTCTGTCTTCTCAGCGTCTTCACTGCCGTTGCCAAGTACGGTGGTCCTGCTTACCGTGAGTGGGCTGAGGGTCAGGTTCAGAAGCACAAGGACATCCTGAACGCTGCCCGTGCCGACCACACCAACGCCGTTAAGCAGCGTATGGAGAACGTCCAGGAGCTCTCCAGCGTTGTTGAGCTCACTAAGCAGCTGTTCGCTGTTTCCAAGGTACATTCAGATCCTTTCCATACTCATCCGATCGAAACGTGGTCGGGTTAGCGGACGCAGGAAGCTAATGGTATATAAAGGAAACCGCTCAGCTTGAGGCTCAGGCCTACGAGCTTGAGCAGCGCACTGCTCTGGCTACCGAGGCTAAGCAGGTTCTCGACTCCTGGGTTCGCTACGAGGGCCAGGTTAAGCAGCGCCAGCAGCGTGAGCTTGCCGAGAGCGTCATCGGCAAGATCCAGAAGGAGCTTGAGAACCCCAAGGTTCTCCAGCAGATCCTTCAGCAGAGCGTTGCTGATGTTGAGCGTAAGTTGATTTCTTGTGAGCAGCATTTTTTTGATACAATGCTTACGACTATTTACAGGTATCATGTCCTCCAAGGCCCAGTAAATGGACTAGCATGATTAGCCCCGCCGTCAGCCTATGTACAAATTAAAGATCTTTTCTGTTGTCATTAGACATACCAATACCAATGTGGTCAGTTTAAGAGACGTATACTCGAGTAGCTAGACTTAGGTTTGTCGGTCTACATCCGTATTAGAGCTTTGCTCGATGAGCTCCTGGAATCTGCTGTCATTGTGCCATGGAGAAATATGGCTCGCACCAAACTGTATATTTACGTAGTTGAACGCTTTTAGCATCCAATATATGCTATTCATACTCCTACTGGGCTTGTACTATAAGTCTCTGTTGTTCGGCAATTCCAGAATGTGGTGGCTCCAGCACGACGGTTTTGGTGGTTACTATGCAATTTGATATGATGCATCAACAAGCCAACACTGCGGTGGAGTATCTGGGCTGTGCCCTGCAGGGCTGACGAAAGTCATCCGCTGACGACAAACTTCAATATTCTTATTATAAAATCCGTCTTCTTTCTTCTACTGGAACATGAAACCCCTACGAAGCAACTGCGGCCGTGGTTGTTGGAGAGGAACAATGAGGGACGCTCTTTCACTTGCCGGGAATTCATCATTCAGGACATTAACCAGGGGTGTCGTGTGGAGCATCTACGACAACCAGCGCCATCAATTCACAACGCTCGTCCAGCAGCATCAAACCAATCAGCCAGGCGCAGTTGCTCGAGTCTTTATGTGTGACATGACAAGATGAAGAAATTGCCGCCGCGGAGGCCAAGACGCAAGCCAAACCACGGTTTGGCTGTGATTTGAGGAACGATAAAAATAACCATGACAGGCAATCCGTCATCAAACAAAGTTCACAGCCTCAACTCAGCGCCTGTGCCCTGCCACCATCCTTGTATAAGGCTGAAGAGTCTGTTATTTCAAGACTTGATCCCCTCTCACAGACTGTCTTCTCCGAGTCCTCTCCTCATCATCTTCTCCCCATCTTTCTTTACGGTTGTGGCGCTGAGTCTCCACCCTCCGCGATAAGCCGCCGCGAAACGATGCCGCTCCGCGAGATACTTCACAAGAAGGACGCCCTCAACAACACGGCGGACCACTATGCGTCTAACGCCGTTCCCACGACATCCGGGAGGAATGTGCCTCAGATCACCTTTATCCGAACCGACACAACCTCACAAGAAGTTATCCGTCCGCCTGTCTTCGACGGAGATGCCGATCACCCCGACGATCGATATTTAGAACCCGTTCCTCCCTCTCCTTCGCATCGCATTTCGTTGAATCCGTTCCGTCGCTCGCGTGCGCCCTCAGAGTCCTCGGGTGCAAACTCACCAACGCGCCCGCGCGGAGAAAGACGGCTGACGCACCTGCTGCACTTGGATCGCTCGGGGTCGCGGAACTCCAGCTCGTCATCAGTCAACGTCCCATCCGACCTTCCGCAGATCGACTGTGATAGAGGCGATGAGCAAGAAAGGGAGGCACAATGGGAGAAGAGGGCCACTGTACTGGCGCAGCGCAGCCCGCAGGCCGGAGCTTCGTGCCTGTCGCCTACTTCACCGACAGGCTTCGGACTGGATGGCGCCCCATCGAGGTCGCGGAGTTCTAGTCGGAGCCGGATAAACGATCCAGAAGGGGATGTGAGTGGTCAGATTGCGTGACCTCAATGCATGCATCTAACTGTGGCATAGATCAATGTACAGGAGGCGATCCGACTTCATGAAGCTGGAGGTATGGACATAACTTGGAGATTGGCTGTCCGCTTGCTTAGTTGCTTACACCTGGATTACAGAACTCGAACGGTCGACAAAGATGTTTGAGCACCTGGCGGATCCTAACGGTGCCAACAATGCACTCAGTCAAGTGCTCTATGGGCTAGCACTCCGGTAAGTAGCAACCGTACCTTTGTTGAGCTTCGTTTACGCCCGACTCCTATCGTGGGCTGCACATTTGGTGGACACTATTGCTACATGATGCTGATTTGGGCTTGATATAGACATGGTTGGGGCTGCTCGCCAGATCCTGATAGAGCCGTCATGTATCTCTCGGCCGCAGCGTCCAACTCGGCATCGATAGAGTCCCAGGCGCTCCAGGCCGGCATCAAGAAGGGCGGATCTGCCAAGGGAGAGCTAGTGTTGGCTATTTTTGAGCTGGGAAACTGCTTCCGTAACGGCTGGGGTGTCAAGAAGGACCCAGTCGCAGCGCGACAATACTTCGAAACGGCAGCCAATCTGGGCGATACCGATGCGATGAACGAAGTTGCTTGGTGCTACCTAGAAGGGTTTGGAGGGAAAAAGGACAAGGTTAGTGTAGTTTGCGTAATGGACCGTTCGTGATGATTATCTCGACATGACCTGCCCGTGTCCCGAGGGCCTCGCAGCTCGGGCATCAATGCTTGAAGCCCGCATCACTCTTTGGATCCAGCGGTGCTATCTGATCATCTGTCGGAGCAGTTGACTGACTCGCAACCACCATGTTTTAGTTCACGGCCGCCAAATACTACCGATTGGCCGAAGAGAAAGGCAACAAATTAGTGGGAAATTCCTGGTGCGTTAAATTGTCCCTTTTCAGCGTTGCATTTTCATTGTTTGATGCCCATTTCTGGATCCTCCACGGGGCCAGTGTGACGAGCATTGCCTCAGACCCCAGCGCTCTGCATCCGGCTCTCCTCACTTGCAGGTGTTGTTGCGGGATGCATTGATAGGCGCTCGGAGTTTCCGCTTCCCTGCGCCATGCAAACCAGCGTCACGCTCTCCGCCAACCAGAGCCCCATTTCCCCCCATCAGCGGGTTTCTCGAGTTTAGGCTGACATGATCTTGTTCAACGACAGGATATGGAAGGACAAGTACAACCCGCACTGAGCCGTTAGGGCTGTGTACCTGCTGTTTCTACTTTCTCTACGACCTTTCACCCGCACCGTCCCATCAGATGACGATGGCGTTTTGGACCGAGCTGAAGCAAGGCTAGAATGCTTCCACTTTCTTAGTCGGCTTCTTGCGGCCAGACGCCCTTGTCCTTCCCAGTTCGTATCCAGGCTTTGGGACACGGGCCCCCTTACTTACTACCGTTGCCGATTAATTTTCTTCCATTCTTCGCTACCATCACCATGAAGGGAACGGCAGCGATGATGACCCAAACCTCCAGCCTCATCTTTCTTCCTTACTGACACCCAATCTCAAAGCGTACTTTTGCTTGCTTCCCTTCCCCCGGATGTTCATACTACTTCCTTTCTTGGACTTTTCTTCTTCTGATGTTACATACATGCATACATACCCACTCAGTCTGTGTCACAGCACAGAAAAAATAATCGCTATCATTATACCGATACCCACACACCCTCTTCTGTCCTCCCAGGACCCACAAAGTACCTTGCATTGAGTAACGTGTATGTGCATAGCATAGCGTCGCTTCGCATCATGTTGTTTGCGTTCGCCCGGCTTGCATGGTCGCAGCTATATCCTTTACGGAATACCCTAGTCTCACCTGTCACGTTGCATATGTAACTACAAGGTAGAATGCTACTAGCGTAGGTAAATTGGTAGGAAGATACGTAGTACTGTTTACTGCCTGAACTATATGCATTAATCAATCAGTACATCAAATATATGATTAATTGCCTGATATGATATAATAAGATCAACCAAAGTAGACATCATAATTAGTAATTTGTTGATTAATGCACACCGCCAGATACCATATCCATTCCCATGTTGTCATCAATGACGACTATGCACATAGCATAACCACCAACACAACAACCCTACCATCCCAATAAGCGCACAACCCCTTGAACGTGATGGTAGACGGACTTCAAACCCCTGCCTGCGAGGCGGAGTTTATTCCCACAAGAAATGTAGCGCGATTGTAGTAGTTGTACTTTCCCCCCCAGCGACGGTCCATCCATCTATCCAGAGTAGCGTATCTATATACAGCTTTGCCAAGTTCACGCTTGGATACTATACTGTGTTTGCAACCCCTCAACCCTTGTATTTGGTACCGAGTGCAATCTCTTAGCGAGATGAGATTCTCCTCAAGCCGACCATGTTGATCGTTCCCGGATTGATGCCTTTGAACGTCATGGTTCCCATATGGGTGGTATTCCATGCATGTTGATATTTAACTTCTATTAGGAAGCAGACGAAGCACAGCAGACACCATGTTTTCTTTTTGTTGATCATGGCTGGTCAAATGGCGTCGCACAGCTGCTGTCGAGTTGAGGTACATGTGGAATGTCTTTGAGGTTGCACCATATGGTAATTCTGTCTGAAGGTAGTCGATGCAAGGAAGGAGGTTGGGGATGTTCTCTGTTCAATGAGAGATAATTTCCCTCGGGTAAGAAGGGAAGAAATCGAGTTAATATGACACCATTTGTTGTTTAAAAGCGTAGCTGGCGAATTGGCTCCGCGCAGCTGCTGTCGAGGTTGATGTGGAATATCTTGTAAGAGTCGTAGTTATCTTGTTCTTGAAAGTTTATATGTTGACTTCAAGGAACTAGCTTGACGGATTTAGTGGGTGTCTTTTCTTCTGTCGGTTGGATCAGGTTGGAACCTTTATTGGAGTCCTAGGTTTCTTTCAATGTGCTGGAGTAGCACTGTTAGAGTTATAATATAGGATGAGAAGATGGTCTCTTCTTTAGAGTATTCTTCTGGGTGTGTGTTGGCACAAGGTGAGAGGGTGCTTGAAAGGTTGGATGAATGACTCTTTCTTTCTGATGGTCGGGTGAGCTCAAAGTAGTCGTGTCTCTTCCGATATTCTGGAGTTATATTGTTGGACATTCTGTCCAGTATGCGAAGATGGTCTTTCCGTCTGAAGTGTCTTCTAGTATGTGCGTTTGACACAAGGAGGTGGATCGAAAAGTGGGATGGATAGCATGTCTGTCGGTTGCTTGAGCTCGAGATAACCATTTCCATTTCGTTGTACTGGAGTGATACTGTTGGAAGTGTAGTATGAAATGGGAAGGTAATCTCTCCATCAGAAGAGTCTTCCGGGTGTGTGTTAAAGATAAGAAGATGCTTGACTGTTTAGACAGACGGCCTTTTCTGTCGGTTGGGTAGTCTTTGAAAAAGTCGTATCTCCCTCATCAATGTGCTGTAGTAATATTATCGAAAGTATATGGGGCGATGCTGAATTCCTCGAGACATAAGTGTCTTCTGCGTGTGTGCATGTGAGAAAATGATGAAAGCAAATACAAAGTAGCAGAAATCACTTTAGATACTGTAAGGGAAGGTGCCGCTCGTTTCTGTCATCTTTGAGCTTCTTAATAACTTCCTGCTAACTTATTCTCCTTGCTCATCGGCAATTGAATCTTAGATCCCGTTCTGACTTTCAGCAGGCAGCGCTTCATCATCTGATATTATTAGAATAGCTTTTCGAGACCCGGGGTCTCCAGAATGGTCTGTCGTTGAAGCTTTCCTCCTAGTCGCTGGAGTAGTTTTATATTCCTCTCCAGTTGGGCCGATCTTGTTATTGAGCATCCTTCGCGTTGAAGGAAGGCAGAGGGATACCATCTTTTATCTTCTTCTTACATGGACCCACCACAGGTAGGCATATTAACAGCCAGTGGACTAGAGAATATCTTGTTTATGCTCATGCCGTATATGCAATTCTTCATCGACTTCTTCGAGACGATTGTACGGGACCATTCACATATGCAAGATGGCATGTGGTCAAGGAGTCCCCTTAGGTCTTGTAAGGGAGTGTAGACGGTAAACATCCGGTGTCGATGTTCTGTTCCGCAGGATTTAACATGTGTTGGAATAATAGACCAGCAACATTCTCTGCGCAAATCTCCATTCTCCTCTTCAACCGGGTAGGAAAAGCAATCTACTCTTGTCTTGATGATTTGTACCGCATCAAGACCGTCAGATTCTTCCAACCACCAGACAGGCAGTCGACGCACTTGTTCCAGGTGTGATCAAGACGAGAGTAGCATCGTATATAGCAATGACCCCGTACATTGGCTTGAGAGCTTTTCCCTCGGAGGGCCATTCTTTATTCGAGAAGCGGTCCAAGTGCTGCTCAACGTGGATCGTTCGGTAAAGGACAACCCCAATTTCGAGAGGAAGATTTTGCTGGTAAATATATAGGCTAAGAGGTGCAAGTCTTCTAGCTCCGCCAGCGCTATATCGGAGAAAGGTGTGACTGGTCATTTGCTTCAGGAATTGACTTTCCTCCGGATCTGACTCTTAGCCATCATTGCACGAATGTATCGTACAGCGCCCAGACAGCGTTGGCTGATGAACTTCGTCGCATCCATCACGCTTCTGGTGTATCAGAAGCAGGAAAACCAGTGGCTTTCTGTCAGCTGCAGACAGGCAGTGGAAGAACACCAATCTGAACTGGTTGGATCCCAGGGGAGATGTTCTGTAGACATACCCTTTGTCTGCTTCGTCTAAGCCATTCCTTGAACACACCCGGCATTCGGAAATGGTACCGGGAATAGGAAGGACACCGTGCTACTTCGCGAGGAAAAGCTTGTGACCTTGAGCTTCGCGTATCAAGCAGACGATGCCCACCTCTGCTGGCAAATTCCATTGGCAATGAGGTGTGAAGGGTACTGACAACGAAGAGGCATGCCTTCAGTACCGAGGCATCAATGCCGGTGCACATGAGAATCGTGCACCAACCTCCACTATCGCTCATGGGCGATATCTCCTTCGGATACAGAGGGAGATTTCCTTCTCATCCGGCCATTGTTCCTTCTTTGGCATTGGAACGGACGGGCTGATCCCAACAGCCCAGGATTTCCTATTTCGTGATAGTCATATCCAAGGGGTATAGAGGTGACCCAGTCAGATTGCGAAAAATATAAAGGGCGTGTTAAAGCGGGGAGCTGGAAATGAAGCGTTCATAGATGGCCTGTACCTTGGTCGTATAAATCATCTTCGGTTGCTTTCGGTGGTGTACGATGCATCCATTGCTCGGAGTAATATGCTTGCTGGTCATAAGCCGGATCTTGCATGACGGGGATTAGCTCTCGTACACATGCATGCTCAAGGGCACAATACGCAACCATTCCGGAGAGATTTGCCATTGCCTTTTGAAGCTCCCAGTATGAGCTGATGACTGACGATGTCGAGGAACGCTTCATTTGAGGAGTGGAAGGTGGGCTGATATCCCAGAGGCATTTGAAGATACGCAGGCTAGTGCCTCGGATGTATTAGGGATAGTATCGTATAAATTGGCTCTGTTCAGGTCAATGTCTTTGGCAGCACTGCTTGCCAACACGTTTTTGCCCTGTTTTCGTGGATCTTGTCCAAGGCGAAGATTTGATGGTAAGATGGGATGATGTCCATATTGACTGGAATCGCGGTGGTTGGCATGATTGAGTACCGATGGGCTGTCGTTAATGCCTATTGCGGCCATATTGAACGCCTTTGAAAGTATCAGCTGATGCGCTTGGCGGGGTAAGTAATGCAAGGTACGTACGTCGAAGCTTGCTAGAGCACGAAGCTGAATTGTTGTTCACATTGAGTGAACAACAAGTCTTGGTCACAGGGAACAAATGGTACTTTCATACCGCCAGCCACTGCTCGAGCAGTTGCCAGAGGAAGCGAGTGAGTATGTGAATCTAAGGCATTTTGACTGCCTAAACCGACATTGACTCTTTCCTCTTCTGCGTCGCTGACCGATTAGTCTGTTGGTATTGATCACAGAGACAATCACCCAGTCTACTCGTCACGCAAACGAGACAACATCGCAGTGTCGTAGCTTGAAGAACACCAGTGTATATATACCAGCATTAAGAGGGATCGTCTGCAAGCTCCTCTTTATCGTTAGTCGATGGTTTAATACGCATGCAACTCGTCTTGTTGAATGGAGTCGTAGACAAGGACTCCAAGAACGCGTAACGAAGTGATCGAGTAGCTCATTGCTGGCTTGAAAGACCCGAATGTATCCAGAATCGTTGCTCTTTTCAATATTGCCTTGGTTGACCAGCCGCTTCTTGAAGCCATCCATAACTGTATCTGCTTGGGAGTGATTTGGCAACGGAACCAGCAGGCTGTTTTCAACGGTGTAGCCCGTTTTGGAGTGTGCTTCGCGGTGTTTCATACATCGGGTGATTCGATGAAGCCCTCATTGCAAAGCCCCTTTTATCGTCATCATATTAATCTTATGTATGAAGCAGTTCCCGAACACGTTGCTTCTTGGCCGGGTTGGAAAATGGTATATAATCACACCCATCGTAGAATTGAGACATTCTAGTTTGGGAGGTTATTGCAAGACAACTATGCAAATCATATACAATGACCTTGGGTCGAAGTATGGCTGTCCAGTCTCCGTATGAAATTGATCTGTTCAATATCGGACAGCAAGCCAGGAAAGAATCGGGTGAATTTCCAGCGAAGCAGCGGTTGAAAACACCCAGTATTCGGGCATCTATTTATGCTTTGATCTTTTTATCGGAACCGGTGGGCGTATATGGAAAGAGAGAAACATACTGAAGAGTTGCTTCATAATTCAAAGTAGAAAGATACCAACTGTGCTCTTTTGGAGAATGCAGGGATGGCACCCTTCGGTATTGTCATATCGCATAACTTCGGTGTATTAACATCGCTGGTCACTCCACAGATAAAAGACTCCTATGAGATGCCTTGCCCGAAATGTGGGATTGCGGTGACTAGGTCCATTTAAGAAACATAGTGAGGACTTTGTCATAGTGGGTTCCTTTTCGTTACAGGAGACACCTAGCTTGAGCGGGTAATTAAAGTCAGATGAGATAGATCTTCCGAGAGTATCTTTTAGGGAATGACGCCCCGGCACGCACCAACTGGCATGGAAATTTCTCTTTTCTCGCGTTCGCCTTGCGGAACACCACCACCGTATGTGATGGATGCTCAGAACACATCGTCATGCTTGAGGGCATCGTACACAAGAAATCGGATACGATATTCGTCGGCGAACTTGAAATGGATTGGTCCTTGGTTGTTTGTGAAGCAGATTGAACATGACAAGTTCAAGAAGAAATGGGGAGAACAACTTGTCGAGCCCCATGCAAAGGCGGATGTAATTGATTTGCTTTGACCGAGTTGAAAGCGAGTCCTTGGCGTAGATTGCATAGCATGCCGATGTGCTGTTTCCAGGATGTTTCTGTAGACTGCCACGGAAGTAAAACATCACACTTCGAAGCCAACAACTCGTCCCTCATTTCTCGTAGCTTTGAGGAGATACATCGAACTTCCATCCTCTGGTGCGTTATCCCTGATAACAGACTTGTCGTTTGTATCAGATGCCCAAGCCGCAAACACAAGTACCTTTAGGATAACAACACTGTCCGCGATACCAATGTAGTTAGTTGATGAGGAAGAGGAGGACGAGGGTATGCTGTATATGGCGCCGCGGTAGGGGCGGGTGATAATGTGGTGGCAACGACTGCTTAAGGTGCGGCATGTTGGCGGTTGAGTAGGATGGAAGATGGAGAAGTCTTTGCGAAGGTAGACGACGCCTCCGTATAGCTTCTAGACTAGGCTTCGGGTGCGCGTTGCCGGAGAAGGCTTTCATGGCTCAGAGCATGACACGCTTGCTCTGGAGTATATAGGTAAACAGGACTCACAACTGACAGGCCCCATCGCCCGCACATCCGTCTTCTGGTGATATACCCTGCCTTTAAGAGGAGCGGGATTCATACGAAATCGGTCTCAGTTGGCTCAGTTGTGCTGAGGTAGAGACATCCCAGATTCGCTTTAGATTCCATGCCTTGTGAGGGATACGGACGGATCCCGACTCAATGGTTCTATATACCAATCACAGAGATCTGTTTCTGTCCAATGCCTCTGCACTCTGCGGAGTATAAGGGATTATGCCCTATCGGGTAGTGGTCTCGAATATTGCTCTGTGAAAGCAGAAGTTGTCAGTTGAATGGCTAAGCGTCTGTCAACGAGGGCGTAAGACTTACTCGGCTAGAGATCTTCACTCTGAACTGTATACAACGGCTTGCTCAACCCTGCTTGTCATGGACGCAAACGAAATGTGCTTGCTCGTGATCTATATGGGCCACCATTGCCTGAGTCCCAGGCCGACATGTGTGACCCAATCTGGCAGATGAGTAGCCAAGGTCTCATCATCCCTTTCCAAAGATATGAAGAGCAATGCCCGGAGATGAGATGTGCTCTGCCACAGAGCTTTTGAACGCCAAAATGTAAACAGGATGCATGATTTCATCTTCAGCTTTGCGGGTTCGCGACTCATAGTCGGATAGGGAATCAGAGGGCAGTAATAATGTAGAAAAGATGCCGGAAGTATTAGGTCCGTTATTATGGCGCCGCTTTCCCTTGGGGCTTGCATGGGTATGACAGAAAGTCGGTAAGAAGACTAAACAAAGGTCCGCGGTAGTATTGATTCGAGCATTTCCATATCAAGGCGTTGCTGCCTGCGAACAACACCAGGCAAGTGCAGTAATCTTTCTTGCGCATCCTGGAAAGTTGTGTCGTGCGCATAAAGCGAGTAAGATAACGAATCATATAATCGAAGAATATATACTATCCTGCATATGATAACCGCTTTCTTTGGCATGTCTCACAAGCTACAAGCAAGTGGAACCTTGGTCTAGGTCAAGAACAAATTCGACCTGGACATGTCGCCACACCATGTCTAAGCTTCTCGAAATCAAAGGGCGGTCTTGTGAGAAGGTCGTCATCAAGTAGAGCATGCGAGACACACATGCGATTCCCGATGTCATGGATAGCATCTCAGTATATTGTTTGTTATAACACCCAGTCGATTCGTACTTGGTCACTGAAATGGTTGCTGATCATGCATACAGCCCACCGGACAGTGTAATCCCACTGTGGCGGGTACTCTGTTAGAAAGTAATCTGGTGTCTGTAGATGCTCCTGTTGTTCACTCATAAGACATCATTGCTCTGCAGCACCCAGCTTCGACCGATGTGGTGTTGGCTTTACAGCGATGCTGCGACGCCAGATTCCATTCTTGGGAAGCAACCGATTTGCTGGGAAAGGTGCATGGGTATAATTAGCTGGCACCGGATGTTACCGAGATTGTCACCTTTGACTTGTGTGAACTGGTCTGGCAGGCTGTGAAGCGTTCTCAAGACGCATAATATCCCAGCGATCTTCAATAGCCGATTATCGGCTGCTCCGTTAGACATTCCAAGGAGCTAGTGGGATAATGTAGAGGAAAGTCACACGCAGAGCTTCTTCTCTGGGATATCGCCTTCAGTAACCCACTGCCTAGATCTCTTAGTACATTGTCAGTATGAGAATATTTGTGAGAGTTAGATGCAAGAAAAGGACGGCTGACTTACCTATCAGTCACAAGAGTCTGATATTTGGAGCTGAAGCGAAATAGTATAGAGTAAGCTAGGGATCTCGATGCGATGGCGAGACCCGTCATATGATCAGTATGCTAGTGTTGCTGCTCCTTAGCGATAATATAATGAAGGGTGTGCCAGGACACGTTCGATAAAGATGTATAAAGGATTTAGTAAGCGGAGCATTGTAACTGTCAGTTGCGACGGTTGCTACCACTTGAGGCTTGGAGAGCTGATCCACGGAAGCTTGGGCTTGCATGATCTTCAACATTATATTAGCAGTTCTGAACTTATGCATCTTCCTGGGATATAATGCAAAGTGAGTAGCGCATACTAACACACTCCAGGAATGAGGTGTAGATGATGCTGCAAGCGCCAGCGTTATGAGAAAAGGTATAGGCCATCCACAGTGTAGCCATTAAAAATATAGAGAAGCAGCTGGCACGCACTATAACCAGGGCTCGAAGAGAAAGACATGCTGTGTTCCTCCTGAGGTGAGAGCTTGACAGGAAACACCAACAAATGGGGATAGAAGGCAAGTTAAAGAAGATCAGAGATGAGAATATGGTAAGCCATGAAGTGTGAGTCGCGTCAAACGAGCTCCAGACACAGTAAAGATGTAAAGAGAGTAGTATGTGTACCCAGTGAAGTGTATATAGTTTAGATGATAGTATAAAATGGCTCATGAGATGAGGGACATTTCAGGGTAGTCATAGTCGAGATCCCCTTTTGCGCTTCAGTTTTTTCTTGTGTAATGAGAAGAATAAGAAAGGAAGAAGAGAGCGTCAGACGAGAGAAAACTTAGGACCCGTATTTATAGCTGCTCGTCACAGTTCGAAATGGAATAAAATCGCCGCAGTGACGGTTGATTACAGTGACGAGGATACCGAGTGACGGGGACATCCAGTGACGGCCTCAACGGGATGTAGTAATCATAGGTATAGGGTGGCGTTTTTACGTTAATAGATGAGGTGAAGAGATGGACAGCCCAGTGGGCCTTTGATCGTGAAGTAGTATAATCGTGAAGTTGCAAATTCACAATATCTACGAAAGGTAATATCCCTACATTACTGTCTATATCAAGCGAATGATCACATTCATCGCCAATAGGCTACGAGGAAGGAATTGTGTGCAAGTCCGAGACCGGAAAGACTTTTATTCCATGTGTCTGACCAAACTCCTTAAAACATTGCTGCCCAATACTATATACAGTACAAAAGGGTGATCCACAGATGACAAACGAAATATAGTTCTTTCAAAAGAGTGGACGGGACAAGCCCAAGATCATCTGTGTCATGCCACATGCACACATGCACGGGCATTTGTCAAGTATCTGACAAAAGAAAGTAAACGAGTGGTAGGTTGCAGAGCCATCCAGTATGGCTTCTCAGCAGACCCAGATCGAATCATCATCGCAACATAGACATTAACAGGCATCCCACATCCCAAATCATAAAACATGTCAATCATATCATAACAATCATAGCAAATGCCACTGCAGCCCAACCTATTCCCCACGCGATGCACGCAAAACTAAAAGAAGATCAAAAACCACGACGATTCAAGAGCAAGAAAACAAAAACCCGAATCCAAGTCATATGCAAAATGTAAGCAAGCGCTCGATATGTTCCGTCCCGTTGTTCCGTTGGACTGCCTGCGACGCGCAGGCAATGTCCCATGGTGAAAAAGTCAAAAGATGCCATCCGTGAAAGAAAGTCATGAAAATCGACGAGGAGGTGTGGAGGTAGATGTAAACGACTGCAACATATTTCAGTTGCTCGAGAAATCCACACTCAACTCGGAGAAGGAGAAAACGCTGGTACGCCGATAAAGCCGAAGGAGTGCAAAACGTAGAACAACATCGCTAAATTGTCAGACGAGGTCATCATGAAGCTAGTCCGTAAGATATATCCAGTCGAAGTGAATGGTAAGCTGTCTATGTATGTATATGGCTAAATCTGGCTAAAACTGGCCAACAGTCGTATGTCGTTAAAGCATGTAGAGAGAAGGTGTACGTCTGTCTAACTGTAGACGACGTAAAGGAGGCGGAGGTGGAAGCACAGAACTCGATCATTTTGCTTGTTTGGATGCAGAAGAAACGCAGGCAATGTAACTTTGTCTGGGCACGGTGGAGAGAGAGAGAAGAGAGAGGAGAGAGCTGAGATGGGCGATGTACGGTCGGCGTGACCCAACCATCACGGGGCTAAACTACTGGCTGAAGCCGGAGTCTTCCTCCTTTACGGGGGCGACACCATATTCCTGAACCATGCGTCTGAAGTCTCGGATTACCTTTTCAGGAACTCGGTCCCACATTAGGGAGCGAGAGTAGACTTCAGAGGTAGCCTTGTTCGGAAGCTTGTGGGCAACGTTACCACGCATCGCAGCGAGCGCCTGCTGCAGATTAGAAGGCTGCTGCTGCTGCTTGTAGTCGACACCCGCATCATCAAAAGTCGTCAAGGAGTTGTACTGGTCCGCGTTGAGAGCGAAAACCTGCTCCTGTTCCTGCTGCTTGGAGGGCATGGCCAGAGTGTTGTGGAGTTCATCCAAGTTCGACGGTGCCGCTGTGCCGGTCATCTGAGCCATCTCGGCTCCAGTGATGGTGGTAGGCATGGGCATGGCCGACGAGGAGGCCACAGCGCCTTGGCCCTGAGCAAGCTCAGGCGGAGAGGAAGACAGTACAGCCCGGAGGACATTCGCGGACTCGGCGCGATACTCCTCCGAGAGCTGAGGCATGGAGCGAGCCGACAGCGTAGAGCTGTTGGAGGCAATGAATGCTCCAAACAGAAGGCACATGTAAAAGGCGTTCCAGCTGAAGGGGTAGTCGCTGGTCGCAGACTTCTCCTTGTCGTTCGTGGAGACCACCAACGAGGAAGAGTGTGCCGTCGAAGTGGGAACAGACTCAGCGTCAAGGGAGAGGCTGTTCACCATAGTAAAGTCTTCCCAGGGACTGCTGTCCATGGTCAAGTTCTCGAAGTCCGAGAACTCGGTGGTCATCGCAGGGGCGGCGGTTCGTGCGTGTCTCTCAAGCTTCTCCACGGTCTCCTTGAGGATGTTGTTCTTCTTTCGAAGATCAGCAGACTCCAAGGTGTGCACCCGGATCAGTTCATCCTTCTCCATGTGCATGGTGTTGATGTACTGGGTGATTTCCTGTTGGGCGGCCATCCATTCGCTCTTCTCGCGAAGGAGTTCGGCCTCCCGTAGGCGCATGTTCTGCAGTTCTTCCTCGAGGTCGCTGATGACCTGGGTGAACTGCTTCTTCTCCTCTTCCAATTTCTCGGTGTGGAGCTTCTTGCGCTGACGGGAATCCAAACTAGAGGACAAGGTTAGATATGGGCTGATGTCATCCATGTAAGGGGGGAGGGGGAAGGCAGTGGGTACTTACGCAGCTTGACGGTTCCTCAGCAGCCGCTTCTGCTGTTTGAGTTCTTTGATCTCCTCCTCATTGGTCGACTGGCTGATCAGCTGGTCGATGTTGCTCAACGTCCGTTCTGCAGGAATCTCAAAGCGAGCGTTCTTCTTCCGGATCCCATCCCGGCGCACACTCAAGGGGGAACTGTTGCGGTAGGTCGGGCTCTTGGTTGGCCGCGACATGGCATCAGGCAGATCCGTTGCAGCGGGCATCCAGCCCTGACTGGACTGCGGCGACATAGCCACAGTGGCAGGGTGCGCAAAGGCCATGCCGGGACGGTAGGACATAGAAGGGATGTTGATGGTGCTGACAGGACCGACGGCACCGCCAGCAAAGGGGGCTGACGAAGCGTGATCCAACTCGGAGGGAAAGTGATCGTACATGGCGGTAGGAGTGCAGGAGCCCGATTCCTTTGCAAGCTGCCAGGAAGCCTGGTGGCCGTATGGAGCGGATGGATGAGCGCCGTCTACCCGCATAAAAGGATTGGGGGCGGTTTCAAAGAAAGCGTGGCCGACTTGGGAGTTGTGACGGGACTGTGTGCTAGAAACGGATTGGGAGAAATCAGACCAGACGGAATCTCGATGCGCAAATGCATCGGGTGCATGGTCATATGAGGTTCTCCGGTGGTCGGCAACAGTGGAAGGAAGTTCGGGGGAAGTAGAATCGAGGATCTTATCATCAAGTACACTCATGTCGTCTTCTTCTGAATATGACGGTTTGGCATCCAATGTAGAGGGGGATTGTTGGTAGAAGTCAAAGGATTGTTGAGAATACCTTGCCATAACTGTGAATGTGTATATGACGAAGATAAAGATGAAAAAAGGTGGCTTTGATCAAGGAAAAAAGCCTGTGGTGCTTGTAGAGCAGTCAAGAGGCGGTGTGTAAAATAGAGGTTCGGGAAAAAAACAGGTCAAGAGGTGCGGGGTTTTGGGGTGGTTGGTGAGAGTATTCAGAAGTCTCAAGTGTGCAGAATGGGAGGATTGAAGATATAACCCGTGAGAAGAAAAACGAGAGAGTATGTTCTCGAAAAAGTCTCAAGGGAGGAGGAATGGGGAGTGTAAAAATAAGATAAGGTGAGAAGAGAAGTAGATCGATCGGGTGGTGGTCAAGGTGTAGTAGAGTAACTAGCGAAGTGGAGGCAGAAGAGGAGTAGGGGAGGAAAAGAAGCGGAATAAGTATAATATGAAGGAGGAGGGGGGTAAAGGTAAAATCGAGGTCTCTTGTGATCAGACAGAAACCTCTCGCGAAGAGAGTTTGAAGTTCAGTATATTGATTGATTGTGATGGAGGACAAGAGCAAGTGACAAGCGGGAGGGGGAGTCCATATATCCTTCGGGGCTGAATCAGGAAACATGCGATGAGGGAGTCCCTGACCAAGTTCAGAATAGTAAGACTGCTTTTCGACCCAGCACGAAAATCTTAGGATGAGTGAATATTTTTTTTTTCTACCCAGAAATTAAAAATAAAATAAAGAGAAAATAATAATATTCAGAATAAAATCCCAAGAAAAAAAATGCGAATAAAAATAAAATCACTAACTATAATCATAACCATACTTTCTCACTGGGACCTGACCCATAACCTACAGACAGACCAACAGCGGCAATCATGGGGGGGAACAAAAAAAAAGGCACTAGGAAAAACAAGGGGAGAAAAAAAAAATAAACAAAAATAACAAAAAAAGGGAAAAGGAAGAGAAGCAGTGAGTGAGCCCAAGAAAAACCCCCCCCCCCCCCCCCCCCCAAAAAAAAACTAAAACCAAAAATCCCACCTAAATCCCGTGCCCATGATTTTCCCACGGCCGTCTTCTCTCCCATCTCCATCGGCCCTAAACAAAGTAGTAGGTAGACCACAGACCACAGACCCATCGCTCGCACTCTCGCTCACTAATCGGCCGCACCCAAAAACCACCCAACGAGCATCCGGCGGTCAGCGGAAAAGTCAAAAGACGAGGCGACATTTCTGACTGCTCCCGAAATTAACGAGGAGCGACCATTGGATGCTTCGTTGGGCAGACGTGCAGCTGGCAGGGGAACCTTTGGGACGAGAAGGGTGGATGAATAATCATCGTTCCTGGCTGGTTACTCGCCCAGTGCTTTTGACTAGAGACGAATCATGATCGTGACGCTTCTTGTGTAGTACCCATGATGATTGATCCTATCCCCTAGGTTGGTAAAGGTTGAGGTTATTCACATCGTCAAATGTAGGTACTAATGAACGAACTAAGGAGGCTAACTAGCGAGATTGTTGCTGCCCTGGAAGAAATCCGATGATCGCCTCGCCGGTAAGCAGTCTACTATCTACTTACTGTAGTACTTTATTGTAGGCCTAACCTTTTTTATTTCAGTTCCCAATTACATCAGGAGAGTACCACCATTATCCGTGAGAATTTATTTACTATTTACTACCTAAGCCATCTAGCAGCAGTCGGTAGAAACTATCAAGTAGGAGATACCTACCAACCTTAGTAACTAAGTATGCTTTTCGCTAGACGCGACTCATACATAGTGCAGGATGTGATAGATGATAGGCCGAAGGAATTCGGTGGGATCTGCCCCCCAACTGTCGCATAATTAGAACATAAGAATAATCAACCCTAACCGCCAAACCTAACCAACAATATCGACAAAGAACCATCGCCCGTCAATAACAACGGCGGCTATATGCCGTTGCCTGTCTCAGCTAACCTTAACTATCTGACTTTTGGAATACCAACATCAGTTAATCATCCGGACCGATGGATTGCCGCTCGGGATAAGTTCTCAACTGGGACCTTTGTTCCTTTTGGAACAAACATTCTCGTAGATACTACCCTTCCCAGTGAGTGCCGGTCTCCGGGTAGGAAGTGGGTTAGAGACCGGAGTCGTACTAAGTAAGTCCGTAGCGGTAGGGACCATAAGTTTCCATGCTAGTATAGTTAGTTTAGATGTCTGTAAGTAGTACTCCGTAGTGGGTGCAGAGTAGTCGGTATCAGAACCATGGTTAGTATTACGGGTGGGGCCACAAATCGGATATCGAGAGCCTATCGATTCGATCATTCCTGACAGTACGACCCCTCCATCCGATACAGTCGAAACTTCCGTTAATCCATGTGCTTGTCCGTCTCTGTGTCTTTCTGTGTGTCTGTCTCTCTCTGCCAGTCGCTTATCCCGTAGCAGCCCGAACTCAGGCAGGCGGTTCCCTTTCCTATCCCTTCCTACAGTAATCACATCCGGGAACGCAAAACGATTGATTGGTACCTGAGGTCCAGCACACTGGGTTGGTTTCAAGCACACACCACACCACAACTCAACCCCCCCCCCCCCCCCCTCCTCCTCATCCTCAGGTTCGATGATGATCCCACAATGTACGTACATCATGTAGGTGGGTAGGTACCTGAACAACAGGCCCATCCATCCTACCAGGACCTGGGGAGGATGGGGACTCTCTCGGCTCCTCGGTGTTTTGGATTTGGGAAAGATGATGCCCAAAAGAGGAGATCGTCTGTGCGCTCAGTCAGTGTGCATCCATCCCATGATCGACCCCTAGGATAGGGCGAGTCGTGAGTTACAGGACGATACCAAGGATACCAGACGATGAGGCCATACCCCCTCCCTCCCCCTCATACTTTTTTCCCTTCCGGTGGGAGGAAGGGAGGGAGGGCTTGGGATCAGATGGACTCGATGTCATACAATACATACGGAACACCACCAACCCCCCTCCCACACCCCCGGACATTCCCTAACTTGAGAGCAGCGTATCGCCCACCAGCCCTCACTGGGAGCAAGACCAATCATTCGCGCGCGCGACAGTGCGACATCCCTCATGGGCCAAGAGGAAACTATTTCCATTGTGATCATCAGCTTTGCACGCCAGAACGCTGGGAACAAAAGCTCCTGGGGCTGGATCAGGCTGTTATTCCTGATGAAGAAGTACGGAGTGTTTCCTACTAAGACCGGCTTAGAGGAGAGAATGATCCGATGGGCTAGCATCGCATCCTTCATTGAAGCCTCGTTCTTATCGTGATCCTTATTGTTGGTGAGATATGCCCGTGACAGCAGCCTCTCCCAAGCCTAGATGTTTGCTTGCTTTCTCTCTCGCTTGCTATCATTATTATCCATCATTATCCTAAACACATGTTTGTATTTCGCTCTTCCCCTCCATGACACCTAGACAGAGAACCTAGAAAACCACAACGAATTCATCTTTGGTACCGGTAGGGCCGGCCCGTAGAACGAGATCCATCCATCCATCCAGAGCGTGATCCACATCCACCACCACAAAGAAACAAAGCCCGCCAGTAAATCCATGGGTGGACAAGACAAAAAAACAAAACAAAGGGCCCTTTTGCCATTTCGGTTAGACTGGGTCTTCACCTGCCCGCGCGGCCCCTTCAATCGGCGCGCGCGCATCGCATGCACACCCGTTCTGTTGCGACACACACTCACACACCCGCGCGCCCGCCCGTGCTTTTCGAACCAATTCCATGACAGATACTGAAATGCACATACCGCACGGAAGCTGCAACTCAGATGCAGAAACAAAGCACGGACACTCTCATCGGATTTCATCTTGGACTGGCTGGCCTCGAGTCAGATATTGATCAGGTTTAGTAAAATCTACTTTTTGATTGATTTGTTCTCTTTTTGGGGATGATTGCTGCCGGGCTTTTTTCTTTGCTTTTCTTTTTGGCGTTGATGCCGCCCTCTTTTAGTCCTTAGTCACTGTACTCTGTAAGTAAGCAAGTCAGTGACTTACCTACCCACCTCCACTGTGCTTCACTAGTCAGGCAGGTAGTAGTCAGTTAATTTACCTCTTTTGGTATAAGCACCACCACACCTATGGAGCTTAATCCACTTTTGACGGTTCACCTGCATTTTTTTCTTTCTTTTCTCTTTCTCGTGTGGCGGTTGATACTTTCTATCTAGGCTAGCCATATCCACTCACCTACGGGTCTTGTCCTTAGGTAACCATCTTACCTAAGTACTAAGTAAGTAACCTCAACGGCCAGAGTCACGAGATGGGAGTCAGTCAGTCAGTCAGTCAGTGTCTATCGACCGAAAGGAAGGACAAGAAAAAAAACTTAATGTTTGGTAATTTCCCCATTAGGAAAGATACACAGAGTACGCCGTAGTACTCCGTTAAATTAGCATCAACGCATCCCATCCCGTCCCTCCTCCTGTGACCCCATCACTATTAACAGAATTCGTCATCTACCGTACTTTACTTTACTTCCCAATTACTCAACTAAATACCTACTCATACTCCAAAGAAACCAAAAAGAAATAAAACAAGAATAATTGCCAGTAATTAACCCCAGGTAAGGCATCAGTGCTTCCTTTTCTTTCTTGACTTTCCCTGCGGGGAACCAATCCAATCGATGTCATCGCATCTCGCTCGGATCCTTGCTGTGCGCGCACCGCACGATCTGGGTTCTCATGCAGAGACAGGGCGAGTTTGGGTTGAAGCATATGGCCATGGGCCAAGGCAAGAAAGCGGTTTGGCCTATCTGTGCTTGGCTTGGCATGAAGCAGAAGCTAGAGCTAGAGCTAGAGCTCGAGCTCTCGAGCTCTCGAGCCAGAGTTTGAATGAGAGCTACGATGTGATGTGAGGCTGTTGTTGGTGTAATTGTGATTTTCTGCAGATAAGGTGAGGTAGATTGGTATGTGATGAGGGGGGTGTGTGCCTTAGTTAGTTCGCTAGGTAGCTGGCTGGCTATGTGTGCCTTGCCTTGCCTTGTTTTGTCTGCTTGGGTGTTGCCATATGGCTTTTGTTGTTTCAGATCATGTAGGTACTACTAGGTAGGTAACTGGATAGACCTAGTTAGTAATGAGTAAGTAGTTAGCAGGCATTTGCTTACCCATCCTCTATGATTGGCTTAATGCAGTGATGCTACAATACATATCCTCTAACACTATAGCATCATAACTACTACCAGTGAAGAACAACAGCAACAACAAACGATGTCCGAGAATCTTCCCTCCAATTCGGCCGATACTAAGTAGCAGCACACCACACCCGCACCATCCTGTGCAGCACAGCATTTACCTCATTTCCCCAAACCAACGTGTCCCGACCCCCATGATTCGAGAAACCCAATACCCCGAAGTCCTCCATATGTAGTCAATCAAATCAAGAGCCAGTGAATAAGCATAGTATTGAGAACGACAGACAATGCCTGCGATGATCCACCGCCATGATGGAATAAACAAAGTCCCCGAAATTTTATGCACATGGACAAAAGTAGCAAGTCCACTTACCGCCAACTCTCCAACTACTACTCTGTGCTAGTCTACTATCGATAAGATGAAACAGACCAGAAGAATCCAAGACCCACTGCACTATACTACTTATTAGATAGTACGTAGTAGAGTCGGCAAGCTTGGACATCCGTCACCGACCACTCGGTGGTCAGGTTACTTACTGTGTATCTAGTACTGACGTCTCCGGCGGAGGTTTGTTGGTATGTGCGCTGCGTAGTGTAGCTTGCGAGCAACAGAGAAAGAGGGAGAGGGTGTGTGACTCACTCATTCATTTCCCGCCCCCCCCCCCCTCCGAATTTTTCTCGAAGCCTTACCAATCTAGATGATTTCCTGATTGGGATATCTATCCGTGCTTGACTGACATCCCCTTGATGACTTGGTGTTTCAGGTTGTGGATGAATTAGGATCCGTTGGGGTTGTATGTGTGTTGATGTCATGGGTTGGTGGTTTCTACTCCGTAGCCTTAGCCTTACTATCTGTGTTTGGGTGAGATTGAAGCTTAGCTGAAGCTCCTAGTGTCAAATAGAGGAGCAATTGTAGTAAGAGTTGATGCCACGTTTTACAGGAAGATAGGCGATTTGACTTGTGGCACGTATAATCAAGGACGGAAGAAAGAAATAATGTATCGATCATCTCATCTACGCAGTATCTACTCCTATTCTTACCGATGTGCATTGTTATCGGGTACGCATGGAGAGCAAAGCAAGAGTCATTCGTAAGCATGTCATATTCAGGGCCGCGAGCAGCGGTGCCCGCTATTCGCGACAATCGCGTGGAACGTGAAATGCAAAAGAAGGACAGAAAAAAGCAATTAACTTGCCCTACATATGCCTGCTAGCAGCTGCTGCTACTACTACTGCTGATGCAATGCATGAACTTTGCCGGTGTTCAGATCATCTCATGCACCAAGTGAAGGGGTCGAAGGAGCAGATTGCATCCGATATCGATTCACAAGCAAATCAGCAGTGAACAACAAAGACAAAGGAAGCAAGCCCAATCGGATACGAGCCAAAAAGACAACTTGAAACAATACCTAGAAGCAGTTTTCTTTCATGTATTTTTTTTCTCATTGAGTTAAAGCGAATCCTCATGGTGATTTGGAATTGCAGCAAAGAGGCGAACATGTACGGTGTGCAGGTGTGGGTGGAAGGGAAAGTTGGGTGGGTATGGAATCTGACCGTTATTCAACCCGGGGTCCTGGATAGGATCAGGCCGGGGGATAGGGGTGATGGTGGTCAGCGGCAGACAGACACGTGAATGCAGCCGACAAGTCTAAATCTGATTTCTCATTTCGAAATTTGCCATCAGACAAGGAGAGGAGCATCTCGGGCCTGCCGTGACTGGCGACGACCTCCATTCCGGGTAATCGCTCGTCTTGCGATGACGATGCCGAGTGGCCATTCTGGCGGTGTACACCAGCCCCGGGTCCAATTGAAAGAGGCGAGAGAAGCGACCGGTGGAGTGGTGCTAACTGAACGGAAATTAAGACTTCGCCTCTTGAAGAATCAGCGCATGCGGGCTGCTATCTAGGGAATGGCCGTCAGCAATGGGTTGAGGTGACTTTTTGGCTCTTACAAGGTGTCGGATTGGACGTGCTGGTGGCTCTACCACAATCATAAACCACACTGCTCAGAAGCCAATGGCTTACGGACGATCAACGACGATAGGCTTATTCAGAGAAGATGCATAAAGTGTGAGAGTATTGTCATACTCAAATAAATGAATAAAGGGAGCTCTCGGGTCAGTGGGCCGATCAGTCTCGTTCTCGAAGATTGGCTTTCTCGGACTCGGTTGCATGATACCATTGTTGCCCAACGGAGGCTGCTGATCGTATAAATTTAGTAGTTTGCATTACGAAGCCGGTAGAGGAGAGCGATGAAATGAGGTAATTCTGAGTGCTAAGTGACTTGCAGTTGGAAATGGAAATAGGATAGGATAGTAAGAATAGCATCAACTCCTCTGAATTGGAATGGTTCACTGCTAGGCACCAGAGTTGTAGTTGGAAGTCAGTCAGTTCCAACAAAACAAAGCAACTTCCAGCAGCGACAAACACCGCCCCAAGTCACGTTTCCCGGCCTGATCTACGGCTTTCCGTCAATCAGCAGTGGGCTGGGCATCCAAAGGAACAAAAGAGCCCTGGTCGACGACTGTACACCACGACTACTAAGTAACTAAGTGGCTAGTAGTAAATAGTAAATATCATGTGCGGTATCATCTCCAGTTCGGTCCTCAACTGCAGTATCTCCATCAAGGAACAAACGAAATTAACATAGTGGACCCCGTCGACCATTCTCGAAGACTCTGCCTATCGGATTCCGCTTGCGTCTTCCCCAGAAAGCTAAACGAGGGGCACCTCATCGGGTAGATACAAAGTAACTAACTTACTAGATACTAAAGATGCAAAATATCGGTGTTGAAGGAATGGCGGTCATTGGGCCCTTCCCCTCTCAACTGGTCCATCTAAGCCAATTGGCGGTGCGGTGATGCTTGTCATCAGGCACAGACTGCACCGGTCCGTGATCTGATCGCCTTTCTTTTTTCTTTTTCTTTTGCCTTATTCCTTCATCCTAGTCGTCCATCTAGTACCTAGTTAGTTAGTGAGTAGGGAGTATGTTCCCCATGCATATAGACTACGGCTTGTGGCATGTGGCGGTAGGTCGCTAAGGCCCCCTCCCCTCCTCACCCCGGAACAAACATCGTGCCACTGAGACCCTCCAAGGAGCATTTATTGATTATCGCCTAAGCAAGGTCCCCCTGCCGGTAGTAGTAGGGACGGAGCAAATATTGTGCTTACAGATATGTACATGTATGTAGTCTGTACGTGTGTAGGAGGATTGATGATAGGTGCCATGACATCCGGCCCCCGGCCAGGGCAGTAATAGCAAGCCACGAGGCAATGGAAAGTCGGGACTAACAAACATGAAACAAGACCCCAGGACAGGTGTTTCAACTCGACTTGCTTAGACTCAACTACTAACAGCCTGGCTGGCAGCTTTTCGTTGGTGTCCGCAGTCCGCATCCGCATCAGCACGGTTCAAGGCATGGCATGGCATGGCGGGTGTCGCGTCTCATCGTCCTCCCGGCCGGCCCTGATCGCTCCAACCGGCACAAAGAACGCCCGTGCCATCCCGGAACACGCGGTAAGTAAGAGTTGGGTTAGGTAGGAAGACAGAAAGAGGAACCCGGAAAGGGAAAGAGAGAAAAAAGCAGCGTGGCTCGCCTTGGTCCATGCGAACCATATGGGTAAAGCAGCCATTGACATGGCTAGGATTTTGCAGTGCACCAGCCAGAGACCAGGTACCTCCCCTTAGCTGGTTATCTTCACCGTTAGTCGCTAGACTAAAGAGCTAGCTTGCATTGCATTGCATCGGACGGGGATCCACGCTGTGGGGGTCGTCGGCTTTTGATCGTCTTCGACCTGACTTCCTGTCACGTTGGGGGTGTATGACTCACACGTCTGTCTGCCTCTGTCTCTCTCTTGGGGTCGCCAGGTGAGGACACAGGGGGATGGGTACTGCCTGACGCCCCGGACTCACCCTGGGCAGCACGTGTGGCTAGTCTGAAGCAAATTCTGCAGCAAGGAAGTAAGTGAGATGTAGCATGGTACAGTAAACAGAAACAGAAATAGAAAAAAATGATATTCATTTCCATTGGTATGCTACCTATGGCTTCACGTCTCAAGACACGACGTCATCATGTAGCGCTACAATTCGAAGTGTCACCCCTTACCAACCCTTGAAATTTATCCAAGATCGTCAAACAGACTCGTATACACACCGTCTGCGAGTAAATAACACGTTGAACGCATATGGGTATCTTCATCTGCGACTGGAACACGACAGTCCGTAAGGCATCAATCTTTCAAGGCAGGCATTAATTGGCCACTATGTAATGATATATTTCCCTCTTATTCTGTGTTTCTTTCTTTCTGATTTATTTGCATTTCTTTCCTTTTGCCATTGCCCTTTTCTTGCTCTGTTTGGGGTATCCGTAAATCCAAGCCAACTTCAATTACAGTCTGTAGTAAGGTTAGTGGGTATGAATGTTTAGAGACGGATGTAGTCCTGTTGTTGCGACACCTCGCCAGTATCTGACTCGGCCGCGATGAGTTGGGGCTCATCCTCATCGAGATCGTCCGAATCGACGTCATCCGTGTCAATCTCATCGTACTCTTCCTCCTCGCTAGATGCATCAGACTCCTCCGCTTGGGCCATAGCATCGGTCTTAGAAGCGGCGTTTTTCCTGATCTGTCCGGCCCGATCAACATGGGGAAGGCGGCAGCGCTTCTTGTTGCAAACGCCCTCATTCGCATAGTCTGGGCATTCGTGAACGTGTCGTTGGTCGCATTCGGCACCTTTTTCGCAGTATCCTAGAACCGCAAAGTCCCTGCACACAGGAGCGCCCGGGGTCACGCGAACATGGGCATAGCGACATTCGGGGTTGGAGCAGCGCCCTCGCAGAAAATGCACGCAGGCAGGGGATCTGTGGGGCGAAGGCTCGTGAGAGAGATCACAACTTATACCTGCATTGCATTGACCAGTCTGAAGGAAGTCCTTGCACATTGCAACCTTGTTCGGGTCGTGAATATAGGGGCATGTTGGTCCTTTGTAGCAGCTGCCTAAACGGTTGAAGATCCTGATCAGCGTGATCCCGCAGAAGATGAAACAAATAATGAGATGGGGGCAAGTGCCACTCAGGGCCTCGTGTAGGGAAAGCATTGGTACCCGTCGTAGTAAATCGCTGGCAAAGCGCGTTCTTCTTCTTGACCGTCATTGGTTTTCTATAAATGAAGTAAGCTTCCAAACTCGCCACATGGACAACACAGCCGCCACCTTTTTGATGTAACAGCACCCAAACGGTGGAGATTTCCGTTCTTGCTCCGGACAAAAGCGACGCCTGCCACTGTCACTCGTTTTGGCGTAGCGTTGGCAGTATTCGGATTATCTATAACCGGTAAGCTAGTTCGCTTGACCAGAGTATCTACAGCGCACGCACCAGACACCCGGATTAGCTTGCCACCACCACGCGACACTCGGAACGGTATATCGTTGACGAAAACCTGATACTCCGCTGACGGGTCTGCAGTAGACACCTGAGGAGCCGCGAAGCCCGTAGGATGCACTCGGCCAACACCCTGTGCGTAATTCAAAACTCTAGCCTGCTCGACCTGTGCTCTCTTTTGCGCCTTGGCCTGGCGACTCTCCTCCATTGCCTTCGTCCTCGCTTGTGTCTCTTTGTCGTATATCGAAGTGTTGATGAGCTGCATATGACGATCGCGTTTCACAACCCATTCGTTTGGTGTTGCAGATCGCGCCTCACCGTCTGTATCAGTCCCCGTGCCAGCTGGAGTAGCCGATCCAGGTGTACCTGATGTTGCGTTGTTGAGGATGAGGGTACGGTGGCGATGGGGGGCTACATGACGTCCTCGTGCGTAGTGTCGTCCACGATAAGGCGCCCACCCGCGACCTCGGTAAGGAACATGTCGTGAGACGTGGTGGCCTGGAGCTATTTCACTACTGTAGGGGGACTCAGGTTGAGATTGTTGGGTTTTGTGCCTATTAATCTGGCCTGGATGAGGTTAGAGGCTGGCACGGTTACGGATAGCTAGAATGCGCTTACCAGCAAGCTGGCTGATTTTGGCCATCAGATCCTGATCTTCTGTCATTTTAACCTGAGTAGGCGGCAAAAAGCCACGTTAGCAAGTCACTCAAAGTAGAATCTCTCGTTTATACTGTGTAGTTGAATGACAGACGCCGCTGAGTTGTAAGTAATGAGCTTGTGTTGATGAGGCGGGTGATGAAATGACGAACGCGGTGTGTGGCGGCCGATGGTCACGTGTTGCGGCGCTTTGTATGGATGTCATCGTTGTCTATGGCCTTACAAGGACTACGGTATGAGATTCTACTTCGAACAAAGAGATAATTAATGACTTGCAATTCAGCCGATGATATTGGCTCTGGAAAATGCGTGTTAGATGTCGGGCCTGTCATCTAAGCGCTCATGATATACTATCTAAACAGCCTGTATCAAATCGCCCAAACCCCAAAGAAACGCCATGGCCCTTATGCTACATAGGATTTATATCCTTAGACAACGTTCTCGAACTGTCCTTCGTCATTATCTGTCATCATACCGGAAGGCGTGGCTTCCTCTTCAGAGCCGTCCTCGAAGTTGTAGTCTCCCGGAGCGAGTTCATCCTTAGCATCGTTGTACATCGCATTGGCGTAGTTGCTTTCCCTCGCCTCGGGCTTCAGCTCCCAGGTCATAGCAAAGTCACCAGCTTTAACCAAATGCGCAACCATTTCCAGAGTTTGTTTGAGATAAGCCTCGGGCTGTCGCAGTCTCGCTTTGAGGTTCTTAAATGGCCAGTACTTGTATTCCCTGAAGCACTGGTAGATAAGATCCAACAGCTCGTTTTGAGGCATACGAGTGGTTTTGTTCTCCTGGGCCTTGGGCTTGACTGGCCTTGTTGCTTGCTGGAATGAAAAGTGTTTGGTAAGTAAAGTAGGACTAATGAGCACGGCAAAGGCACACTTACCACAAAAGCACCCTTCTCTCCGGGCAATGCATTCCGCGGCTGGAGCATCTTGCCCGGAATCTTATCGATAAATACAGTCTCACGCTTCGGTTTGAGTGCCTCCAGAGCCTTCTTCTCCGACAACCGCCGGAATTCCTCATTCTCAACCGGAAGGCAGTTGAACTCTTCACTCACGCTCCCCACCAAAGCGGTTTGTTCTATTACAATGTGAGCAAGATCTCCTTTGTCGCAGTAACAGATGGTACATACTCGGTACCGTTTTCCTGACGTAGGGCTCCCATTTCTTCTTGCGCTCCTTCTTCCTCATATCCCGCTTCATCGACTCATAGAGCGCCGAACGCGCCTCGCCAAAAACCACCATACGATTCTCATGACCCGGGAGGTCCCTCTCCGTGAAAAGGTACGTATTTTGCGTCAAGTGCGAAACATTCTCTGAGGTTATCGTTTGCCGTTGCAGTAGATAGTCTTTAGGAATATCGCGATTGTCTTCTCGTGCGTTTATGCGCAAACTGACCTGCAAAAGGTCGCAAGTGTCAGTCCGTGTGTAACACAAACCGAGGTCCCTCGACAAAGTTCATCGCATTTAGAGACCTACCCGTTTGAGATCATTCTGTGTACCCTCAATCCTCATTGTCCCAATCTGAATCTCCTCGTCGTCATCGCCGGCGCTGTTTGACAAATGCGCCCAATGTTCCCATAGTGACCGGGGAAGCCGTGAAAGCCAGACGCTCTGGTTCGCAGCCGAGAAGTCTAGATCGCCCGCATCCTCATATAGATCTTCATCGTCGATATCAGCGAGTACTGTATCCTTGCTGTCGGGATCCTGTTTGATATATGGGTCGGGTTTGATGTATGGTGTCTGGGAATCAGGCTCCTGTTTGACCTGGGGGACCATGGCGCCACACAGCCTAATATTGGCGCGAAGAAAGGGTTGACGAGTAGCCCAGCTTTCCGAGGCTAACAGAGCGATCGTAACTGAGGCGTAAATGAGCGACAAATCAAAGGACTAGATGACTTCCAGAGAAATCGTCAGTGACGTACGCGATGTTGAAGCTTTGAATGGGGAAGATGCGTCGCCGCAAGCAAGAAAGCTGCCGCCCGAGCGGGTCGCCAAAGGCGGTGGCGGCAGGAAAACATTAACACTCTTGCATTCATTATACTGTCTCAGCGTCGAGGATGCACTCACTGCTAGATTCGTCTAGCGCTTAAACATTTACACTCATCTAGAGGTTATTTGGATATTCTGCTTATTCTACTGGAAACAAGCCATTAATTCAGCCCGCACAATACTTGAAATTTTCTTTCCTGAGGCGGAGATTCCCGTCAATAGGAATATCTTTCTTGGGGATGATGTGCAAGACGTAGTTTTAGTATACCATGGAATTACAGAGTGCTCAAGCATCAGACAGGAATACTCCGTATTTTGCCCAAGGTTTAGAGTCAAATTGTGTTGCGAATCTCTACTACAGATGTGCTGCATTGAGTGCTGTGCTTGTAGTCCCTTATCGATAAGCCCCCCCAGCTTCACCTCTGCTTCATCGGCATCCACGCCATGTTCTTGACGTACATCACCCCATCAACCCCTCTGCCCATCAAGAACACTACTTCCACCCACAATTACCTACCTATTCCGAGTGCCATATCTCACATCAATCTCACAGTCAACTTCTAGGCACCTCACCAACCCACCCATGGCTTCCCAAAAAATCACCTCCGCCCTCGCGGAGATCGAATCCTCCGCGAACCCCCAAAACAAGCTGCAGCTCTACAACAACCTCCTCAGCGACATCGTATCGACGTCCACAGAACCCCAGATTTCTAGAGACCTAATTTACTTTCTTGACTCCGTCCTCAGCGAAGACATCAGCATCGTCGCCGCCCGCCCCATCCTCGACTCCTTCATCGTCGTCCTCCGCAAACTCACCCAAGAAACCCAAATCAGCGTCGGCCAACACGCCATCACCCTCCTCCAATCCCGATCCACCTCTGTCGAAGAACAAGACGCGCAGATCCGCGAGCTCCTCGCAGATGCCTACGAAGCCGAAGGCCAGTACACCGACGCCGCAAAAGCCCTGCAGGGCATCCACATCGACAGTTCGCAGCGTCTGGTCTCCGACGCAGCCAAGGTGCGGCTATGGATCCGGATTGTGAGATACTACCTCGAGGAAGACGATACCACAAGTGCGGAGGCTTTCTTGAACCGCATCAAGAACCTACCGAGTAAGATCGAGGATCATGAGTTGAAGCTACATTTCAAGCTATCCCAGGCTCGTATATTGGATGCTCGCCGACGCTTTCTCGATGCTAGTCAGGAATACTTCAATGTTAGCCTTGCGGCGGGAGTGGATGAAGCGGATCGATTGCAGGCCTTGGCGGCTGCTATTCGGTGTGCGGTGCTCGCTCCGGCCGGGCCGCAGCGGTCTCGGATCCTCGCGACGTTGTATAAGGATGATCGGTCGACGTCGGTGGATGAGTTTGCTATCCTGGAGAAAATGTTCCTGGATCGGTTGCTGACTCCAGAGGAGGTGGCTGCGTTCGCGCAGCGGTTGGCGCCGCATCAGTTGGCTGTGACGGCTGATGGGTCTACGGTGCTTGATAAGGCTGTTGTTGAACACAATTTGGTTGCGGCCAGCAAACTTTACGAAAATATTACGACTGATGCGTTGGGTGCGATCCTGGGGCTTCAAGGGAGCGGGGACTTCACGGCGGGGGAGAAGGCGGAAGATTATGCGGCGAGGATGGTCGAGCAGGGTCGATTGAAGGGGAGTATTGATCAGATTGACGGGATAATATACTTCGATGGAGGAAATGCGACTACAGGACAGCATATCCGGCAGTGGGATGCTGGGGTGCAGGGTTTGGCCGAGGACGTGGAGAGAGTGGCTACCAGCATTACCAATGCGTTTCCAGTGAGTACTATCATTTCAGTACAATTGTGGTCTACAGTGAGCTAACATAAGAGTAGGAATTCGCAGCTGGACAGCCAGCAGTGCATTGAGGGTATGGAACGATACACCATGAATCGGAAATTAGCTAGCGACATGTTTGTTTCACAGGCGTAACGAGAATAAGTTGCGCAGAATGCATGATAAATGATACCATGTGAGTGATGGTCATTAGAAGCGTATGTCATATCGTGCGTCCAATGTACGTGGGTGAAGATCAGGAGCTGTATTTCTGTATCGAGGGCAGTGCGTGGAGATACCCCGATAAAGTAAGTTGGCCATATCTCAAGCCAAAGTGGCATCCAAGTCTGTGTACCCACGGGATGCCGAAGTGTCCCTCTGTGTGTATGCAGAGAAACAAATCTATCTGCTGTGGCAGGTAGTAGGATGCGCACGCGCAGGGATACAGCTGCCATATAGCCACACTGGTATCCAAGCAGTGCGCAACACTGCTATGCGGATAGGTCTGTACCGATTCAGGCATAGAATCGAAGCTCAGAAGGACGTAAAGCATCCCAACATCGTCACTCATACAGGAGTTGCTCGCCACAAGAGCATCCAGCTCGATTGGCGTATAAGCTGAGACGAAATATGAAAACATGTAAATCCATGCTCTCAAAGCTCAGTCTCCCTCATCTGAAATACCGCGGCAGATCATCTTGCCTGACATCAATCTCCGTGCGGACAGTTATATCCAACCAGCTAGTATCATTACTCTTAACACTAGACGGCAGCCCGCCTTCACTCGAATTCGACCTTCTCGGGGCACCATCCTCCAACTTAATAGACTCCGCAGTGGGCGTCTTGCGACCCGTAGCCACAAAGTTCGAGGTGCTGACATCCGTATTCCCATAATATGGCACCTCATTTTGATATTTATGAGATTTATTGCTCCCGAGCTTTCCTCTCGGAAACAAGCCTCGAATAGTCGGCAAACAAGAACAGATAAGCCCAATAGACGGCTCAATATGCGTCCAAAGCGTAGCTTGATAGACGGTATACGTCATGTCTGAATCCTTGATCCAGAAGAGGACCACAACGCGGAATATACTCGCGAAGCAAACGAAGCCACCGAGAGCGAAGACGCCGTTGATGGCGAGTTTGTCTTGCCAGGCGCGGTGGAGACCCCAAATGAGGGGGATGGGGAGGGCGAGGAGGACGAAATCCATGAACACGTTGAATATCTGGTTGACGACGATCAGGGTGTAGCCGTCTATGCATTGGCCGTCGACGCTTTGGTCCCAGTAGGCTCTTAGGGGGCGGCATTGGAGAGCGCAGGCTAGGAAGACGCCTAGACCCCAGAGGATTATGAGGGTGTTGATGCTGAAGGAGGTCCATTGGAAGGTTCGGGTGGTGAAAATGCGGCGGTAGAAGCAAACGATTGAGACTTTGATGAGGGGACAGAGGGAGAAGTAGGTGAATTGGTTGGCGAGGAAGATCTGGAGTGGTTCGTTGGTAAAGATTGGGTGTGGTTGGGAGGGGTGGTTAGTACCTTGTAGAAGTTCATCATTGTTTCGCTGCTTAACTTGCTTTGATGAGATCCGTTGCCGCCGATGGTGACCCCTTGGGTTGATTATTAGCAAGGTTGAATACTCTAAATTATTGAATAATCTTTAGGATAACCCACAAAGAGACAATTCAATGAGCATGCCAATGAGCAGGAGCATGCATGCAAAACAAAGGTAGTCGTCCACACCGAAATGAACTTTGCGTTTGAATCGGGCAACTATGCGTAAAATGACTGCTAGAAATGCGAGACTAACAAGCACCGTAACGATGCTTATCATTTCAGCTCCCCTCGATGTGGGAGCCATGTTGGATGCTTTGTTACTGGGAATGACGGTTTTAGAACTGGCAGGATGAATATGAATGAGTGTTTAATTGAGCGAGAGTAAGCAAGTTGATGCCTGCGATTATTACGCTTCGTGGTCCATTTGGACGGTGGATATAGAAAAGGGTCTTGATAATAGATATGCAAGTAAGACGAGGAGTGTGCTGAGATATAACGAAGGAACCCCCGAGTATATGCCGAACATGGACTATGTAGACTGGGGGGAAAGAAGACAGAACTACAAAATAAGGTGGAAGCTTATTGAATATGTATCGAGTGGACCAAGGACATACCTCGAACGCTCGATCGCAGCGAAAAGTGGGAGATCTAGATATGGGTCCCTCTTCCGTATGAGGATACTCGGCGCGCCCATAGAGCAGGGAGACAAAGGACCCTCATCTTGCGAGCTTAAAATCGAGCCCTCTTATTTGTGGGTGCGAATTCAACTGCACAGTCCACAAACTGGATTTTTGATTCGTTTGAAACGCAATTGAAAATTATTCACCAGTGCACGCTCATAGTTTCCATGGTGTGCTAAGCAAGTGGAGCCGGTCGTATGACTTGAGTCGAACTGGTCCCAGTGTGGCCACTCTGTTGTTGAAGAGCAGACCACCCTCGTGGCAAGGGACGAGCCATCATTAGATGTGTAGCCAGTAACCCTGGTAGGCTGGATAGTATAGATAAAAGTATTTCGGTTGGCGACTTAAGTATAGCAATTCCTGACTTATGCTTCAAACCCGATTCATCAGGGTCATGCAAAGTAATTTCCAGCGTAATATCAGTTAATATAAATCTCAATCCACCCTTCAGCTAGTTCACTCGCACTTTGCACCACAGTATCCGGATCGCGGGATCCACGGCCCAGGAACCCTGGCTCCAAATGTGTTAATAGTGGCGAGCATACGCAATGGGCGGTGATAGCGGCCGAGTGTTTCACTTCCATCACGTTGATAGCAGATCGTTTAAGAAACCCCCCAGGTTTGGGGAATTTAGAAGTCTAATCTTCTGCTATTGAATTGGTTGATCTGCAATGTCTTCTTCATCCGACAATCTGCAGTGTAGAACAAGTTACTCAGGACGATCACGTCTTCAGGTGCACTTACTGTTGGGTGCGCATTCCGTGTTTCCGCAAAAGCGGATCAGGCGATGGCTGACGAGCAGGAAGTGGGTATAGAAGCGCCTATCGGAAACCCTAAGAAACTCAGATGGGTTTACTCAGCTCCGTGCTCCTTGAAACTGGAGAACTGTGGTTTCAACTCCTCCAATCATAGACGACCCTGCATATTTGAAGTCGTTCAGAAATTTTCTCTCATCGCAGTAATCAGCCGGACTCTCCCAGCCGCTCCACCGCCCTGAATGAGGTGGTAATTCCTGACTCGCAATGAGGCATGTAGAACACACACTGGTCTTCATCCAGAAAAGCGATTTAGGTGTAGTTAATCCAGTTAAGCAGCGTACGGGTGTCGTTTAACTTTCCTTTCTTTCAGCTTTCTTTCCCGCTTCTCTTTCCGTTCCATGTCTGTTTGATCCAAATGCTTCTGTTAGCCGAACCACGGGTGGCTTCCCTGATCGACAGCCGTCGGTTCCCAAAAGGGCCGAGCGTTACCTAAACTCAACGATCAACCTCGGCGGTTCAGGGGAAGGGTACGTGGAAGGCAACAGTCTTAAGTCGTTCACGTCAGCGAGCACATGGCTTGCAATGCATAAAGTTGCGGCTATTGGAATAGTTTCCTCAATGGTTTCTTGAAGTGGATTGGAGGGCCACCTTAACTGGCCCAGTATCAACAAGGTTCAATCCCTGTTCGTGTGCAGCACGCATGCATAACATTGATCGACTATAAATGTAGTGAGACGAGTCTTAGCATTATTAGTTGTCTACTTTTCATACTGGGTAGCCAGCCGCAGTCCAGTAAAACACCAGGGGTATGGAGTATGGAGTAGCTAGTAGTAGTAACTAGTGAATTTGAACTTGCCGTGGCATGAGACCGTAAAGTATAACCCCTGTCTGGAAATCGGTCTCCTTCCAAGTTTTATGTCCTTCACCATCAGTGGAAATGGTGGCACGCCCTCAACGTAGCGAGTTTCACTTGTGTATAGGATAGTGATTTTGACTTTAGGGAGAATGCATTGATCCTGGGATCAATCCTCAGACAGCTCACACGTGGCTGGAGGGAGACTAACCCCCCGCCGAGCTGGAAAGGTGGGGTCATGTTTGGATAGTTGGCTTTGTTTGTGTAATCAATTGACTCCTCGGCCGACTCCCACCAGATGCAGGGTCTTCGATTATGGTTCAGTCCCTGAATTTACGTCTTGCCTATTAATTCCGATTGATAACCCCTGGCGAGATACCCCTATTGCCTGAGTGTTTCGTTCGTGAACACATACTATCGTTTGTTTCTACCCGCGCCCATACTTTTACAGAACCAACCATGACTGCACCTCCCCGCCCTCCGGTGATCCCTTTGATCATCAACGGTCAAGAGGAATGCACGGGCTCTACCTTCGACGTCATTAGCCCATACACCAACCAGACCTGTTGGACAACAGCATCAGCCTCGGCTCAAGATGCAATCCGCGCAGTTGAGGCCGCAGAGGCAGCTTTCCCTTCCTGGTCGCAAACAAAACCCACAGTTCGGCGTGATATCCTGTTGAAGGCAGCCGACATTTTGGAGAGCCGCCTCGAGCAGAATGCCGAATATATGCGAACTGAGATGGGTGCAGATGTGGGTGCGTCACAGCATTTCATCGTTCCACTCGGGATCCGCATGCTGAGGGATATCGCGGGGCGCATCACTTCCATTTGTGGCAGCGTCCCCGTTGTCGAAGAGGAGGGGCAAAGTGCCATGATCTACAAGGAGCCTATGGGGGTGATCCTCGGGATTGTGCCCTGGTATGTCCGAAACCATGCATACATGTGAATTGGCGACTGACTTAGCAGGAATGCTCCATATGTTTTTGGGGTCCGTTCTGCAGCCTGTGCACTTGCGGCGGGCAACACAACTATCCTGAAATCCTCTGAGCTCTCTCCTTGCTCGTACTGGGCACTTGCGCGAGCTTTCCACGATGCAGGTCTACCTGCTGGTTGTCTGAACCTGGTGTCGTGTCGACCCCAGGATGCCCCCGAAGTGGTTAACGCTATGATTGAGCACCCAGCCGTGCGCAAGATTAACTTCACAGGCAGTACGGCCGTTGGCAGAAAGATCGCGGGCGCTTGTGGCCAGAACCTCAAGCCATGCTTGATGGAATTGGGAGGCAAGAACAGCGCCATCGTATGTGCGGACGCTGATATCAAAACGGCTGTGAAGGGAGTAGTTGGGGGCGCTTATCTGAACGTAGGTGACTCGCTTTCACGGTCTTTCTTTGCCGCCTTATTCTCGGTTTTGATGACTGATATTGGATAGTCTGGCCAAATCTGCATGGCAACTGATCGCATTCTTGTTCACTCCTCCATTGCACCCGTCTTCATTGAGGCGCTTAAGGAAGCACTCACCTCCGGCGTGGACCCTGCGTCTCAGCCTCCGACTTTGGTGAACATGGCTTCAAAAGCACGAGTTAACAAGCTCGTCAAGGATGCATTGGCAGGTGGGGCGCACTTGATCCACGGATCGGTAGACGAGGAGTCCGCTCAGTCAGACAATGGTGTTCGGATGGCGCCTGTGCTCCTCGGCGGCGTCAATGAAAAGATGAACGCTTGGCAAGAAGAGGCCTTTGCCTCCTTGGCAGCATGCATGATTGTTGAGAGCGATGAAGAGGCAATCAAGATCGCCAATAGTAGTGGCTATGGTTTGTCCGCGGCCGTCTTCACCGAGGATCTGCGAAAGGGCCTGGCGATGGCACGCAAGATCCAGTCAGGGTAAGCCATCACTCCTCTATGTGTCTGTCTCTTGAGGGTAGAGGAAGTAACTGATATTTTGCAGTGCTGTCCACATCAACAGTATGACCATTCACGACGAAGCTGTCCTGCCGCACGGTGGAGTCAAGAACAGTGGTTGGGGACGGTTCAATGCATCCCAGGGACTGGAGGAATTCTTGGTTACCAAGAGTGTGACGTGGATGGATTAATTGAAATTGTGGAGCATTCATCTACGTGCAAAATTGATTTTAAGCTAGCATGTAAGACATTATGGTATTTGCTGCCTTGAAGGCATTACATGGGAAATGAAAAGTCCTTGAGTTTTATACCTTCAACCACATCTACCCAATTTTGAATAATTCTCTTAGATGTCATACTCTATTGACATGGCCGCCGTTGCCACTGCAAAGATCACTAGTGCCCACATACTCTCACTCATATATACCTCTCAGATATACAAACTTATCCCTTAACAGGCAAATAAATTCCCTGGTTGAACTGCTATATGAGGCCACCAATAAGTCGCACAAATACTACCTGGGTGGGCTTTTGACCATGTGCCACGTACTGCCAAGAGGTTTGTTTTGTGAACCTCAAATTCAACTTGTTCTCCATTAACAAAATCTCAGAAGCCAAACACTGACAAATACAGCGTCGAATGGGATAGTGGAACACTTCGAGGATGACGGACCTCTCATCTTCTGTATTTGCTGACCATACTGATCCATCTGTCTTTGATTAATGGGGATTTCGCAGGCCGCTCCATGTTGTGTGCATATGAAGAACGATGTGAACGTCACCCTTGGCCATCAGTCGGAGTATAAAGTGAGTATTCTCTATGGCCAATATTACATACAGTTGCTAAAATAAGCTACAATTACATTCTTTGAGTACCTACAAAGCTAACTTCTACCAAACATGGCATAGCACAATAATAAAGAGCCGCGGAAAAGCTGCATTATGGTTTGAGTCCATGCGTGGTCAACCTGGCTCTGTACACACGCCTACATAACAAAGTAGGTTGCATATCTTCGCAGCCTCCGGTTCGAGGGGGGCCTGCTGAGCCATGTCTCTCCGCCGGCTGGTTGGATAAACGCGATATTCCGGTTGAGTCTGCTTATTAGTGCGTTGACAGGTTATCGTATGCATATGTGCATCTTCTGACTCATGTTGACAGGGAGCGTTACCTACGAGGTGGGCAGGTAGGAAGGACAAACGGCGCGACGGGCCTTACATTGGCCCAGAGATACACCAGATCTACAGAGTACTGGCTTCACTGGGATTGAGGTAATACGATATGACTTTGATGCGCCTTACCAATCTTCAGCAACCAAGATCACGGGGCTTATGCCCAGCTCAACAATCAAGTCATCTATTTCATTGCTGATTGCCGACCGGCAGTCTCCAGGTGTCTGGGCGAATACTGTTCGTTCTAAGCTTACAGACCTAGGATATATGGTGGAAAGGGACTAACTACCCTGGCTGATCCGTCTACTGATAAGAAGTGCATTATATTCTTGCGTGACCAGGAGGTCCCGCTCCTTTTCAGTTGACAGAGAATAATTTCCAAGCTTTGAGGGAGTCTCTAGCATAGATCAGCCAGTGTGACAAGGAATGGGTTACAGAGAGTACGCAAGTCACTTGTGAAGACCCAAACTTTTGTCTGACACAGGGTCTTGTGCGATCAGTGACGCAAGAGCTGATCATTAATATAAGCATACTCAAGGTCGATCCATTTGAGCAAGATGCTGCAGATGCGATTAAGAGAGTTGTTGAAAAGATATTACGGTCCCAAGAGGCGGCACATCAGTATCTAGATCGCGAGTTTGCCTTCCATGATGATACCATATACACTAGCCGATGCTATTGGCCTCTTGATGGTCAGAACATTCCAGAGTTGAAGGGATATACTCTCAAGAAGATACATGTTGGCAAAGCTGGTCTGCTTGACCGTCTGAAGTGGTTGGAATCTTGTGAAGTGGGCCTGCATGATGATGAGGTTGATGTTCATCTTCAGTATGTTGGTTTAGTCTATTTACTCTACAGAGTTTGTGCTCCTCAGCGTGTACAAACCCGGCATATAATTAACAGTTATAGGATGTCCTGGTCGCTTTGAGATATGTTGGAAGCACAAATGAGCTGGACCTAGAGGAATGAGGATCCGTTCAGCGAGTTGGCAAGCATGTCAGCAACCTCGTGGCAAGCGATGAAGTGTCAGTAGTGAGTCCTGGAGTCCTTCGTAACCATTTTGTGGTCGATCAGAAACACTGTAGAAAGCTTTTCAGCAGGTCTTTGATAAGAGATGCAGCAGGCATGGCGCTGGCGTACTTGACAGCAATCTACTCGCTGGATCACGTCGGACATGTACAGAAGGACCAGGTATGACCTGACTTTATCCTGGGTTATACAACTACCTGATAATAGTACATAGACTGCCCTCATTCACTCTGCATGTGGGGGTGTCGGTCTAGCCGCTGTTCAAATATGCAAGATGCACGGTGCCAAAGTATGTGAGGCAATAAGGATTGCCCCCTGATACTTCCTCACTAATGAGAACCGATGTATGCAACCGTTGGGACTCAATTGAAAGGAGACTATCTCGTGCATGATATGGGCACCCCCTCTTCTCATATATTCGATTCTAGGAGTACAAGCTTTCTGCAGTCCCTTGATGGAAGCAACGGGCGGCCGTGGCGCAGATATTGTTTCGAACTCGCTTGCTGGGCCCCTGCTGCATGCCTCGTGGGCGTGCGTTGCCCCATTTGGGAAGATTATTGAACCGGGGAAGTGGAACTTTCTTCTCAACGACATGCTCACTCTATAGTCATTCATTCAAAATCGCTTTCTTTGGTATGGGCCTCTTCCAGATATATCTGGATAATGTGATGATATATGACAGGTCAGTATTCCGACCATCAAACCTTTGTTAAATCTTTTCCGGCTAATGCTACGGCCAGTGTAATCAAAAGAATCACGGAATTGTACAATCAGGGCAATATCATTCCCATTCGCCCGGTCACACTGTTCGAAGCGCACGACATAGCAGAAGCCTTCCGGTATATGCAGCAAGGCAACCCTATTGGAAAGATAAATTTAAAGAATGCCTGATGGCTCTTGTCAGTTATCAAACTCGATAATAAAGAGGTTGGTGTCATTCCAGCCGAATGCATCCTATCTTCTGGTTGGTGGGCTCGGAAGATTGGGGCGAGCAGTGTCCATATTGATGATAGAGAGAGGGGCGCGTCACCTAGTGTTTTCTTCTCGAAACGCAGGCGTACCGGAAAGTGATAAGGAGATTATATGCGAGCATGAGGCTGCAGGGTGCCATGTGCAGTTTCCTCGTCTCTAATCGGATGTCAAAATCTCGACGAGACACAGGAAAGGGAGATGCCGATTGATTCCCTTGCTTCACTCGAGATTAAGAGCTGGGTACTGCGGAACATGAATCTCGAGGTCAGTGTCTCTGAGATTGCCAAATCGCGAACAGTTGGAGGGCTGGCGATTACGGCTGCAGATCGCGTGGTAGCGCATTACAAGGCGAAGCTTGAGAACCCGAATGGCGTGCATAATGAAGGGACAGCAGAGGTGTCTGCTAGTTGAGAAAAACACAGTATGTGAAACAGGTAATTGGACAGGATATGGACAGATTGTGTTGCGGATTTCCGCTTTCTTCGGGGCAGTATGTCTAGATTGCTGTGAATGGCTACTAATACAATTCCACACTAATAGTTACACTGCACCAATGAAATTGACAAGACCATCTGAGAATACATAATCCATCTTCCTCTCTGCGCAAAAGCAAACCCGAAAATCCATTCCTTCGGTGTATCTAGTTGCCAATAACTCCGAGAGTATTCAAGCTCAGAGCTACTGAATCTCTCGGGCTATCTTTTCCCGAACTCTTCACTCTCTCTCGCCCGTCCGTCATCACCGTCAACCCCGTACTGACCAGGTCCATACATACATCGATACGACGCTAAGAAAACGAATCTTAGATCTAATTTATTTAGGCGGTAGACAGCAAACAAAATGCGGCGTCATTTATTCTGCAGAAGGTAGTGACTAGTGAGTGCAGACTCCTAGATAATGAATGGATGAAAGGGCGGCGGCAATCGAACCTTCCCGAAAAGGAAAGTTCATTAAACGACCGCTTTACGTCATTAGTGAGAGTCGGAATTCAATCACGGCATGCTAATTGGTGGGAATGCTTTGTTTTCAGGTGGTGGTCAATTGCCGGGGTCAGGTGACGTGGGAAGGATCGGTTGTTGGGGGGATTTGGTATGTACGTTTTGTATTTATGTATTGTATGCTGGGGCTTTATTGTTTTCAGTATGGTTTGTTGTTGACGTTTTGAATGTGTGTCTTCAAGGATTTAATTTAGTTAGTGGCGTTGTAGTGAGTTGAGGTATGGGCTGATTTTGTTCAAGGTGATCGGTGATGATGATGGGGTCTCGGTCCGAGGTAAGTGATCGAGGCCTGGGGGGGGGGTATTGGATGTATTGAAGTTTTGTTGCCATTCTTCAAGGTCCCTGTCTTTGTGTGTATGTATGTATGGGGTAATTCGGATACTTAAATAAGGTGTATTGAATACTAATTATGATAGTTCTTATTGATAGTGTTTGTGTTTGTTGTTGTAGTGAATGTATATATATATAATGTGAGATCAACCAGTTCCAGGTACTATCTAAGCTTCAGATGAAAAGCTACCTTCACTTCACTAAATAGACATCTCATTCATGAAATCTAGATGGAGCAGACATCCCGATCATCTAGGTAACCCCAAAATTGAGACGAATCTGAATCCGGGGACAGAGTTTAAATCGAAGAGCATGACGTGCCGCGCTGACTTAAGCCTACGATTTCATTTGCTGAAAGGCTGCTGCTGGGGTTTCCAGGCATGTGAAAGCCTGGGAGTCTCTCTCTTGCCCTCAGGTATGCTTGTAGTATAATATGTCATGGGAAGGAACCGCAGGGTCAGCTTGCAGCTCCTGGTGACGCTCTGCATGTGATGGACCCCTGGTCTGCTGGAAACTCACTAGTATTCTGTCAACGACAGGGGAGTGATTTTTGAATGTCTACTGCCTATTGATAACTCGACTGTAGTACCTATACTAAGTAGAACCCGTCATTCAGTCAGTCAAGAAGCACAGGCCAGAGACAGACAAAAGAAGGACCCATCGAATCCACTTAAGACAGGCTGAACATTCGTTGATCCCCTCAAAAAGTAGAAGAGAAGATACCGGACCGGAAAAGGGAGAGGAGGGAGGAGGGGGTCATAGAACGGTAATCGTACGGTACATACCCGAGTTGAATGAATTGAATGGGGAAGAAATGAGCCTCGGCCGAGTGAGTGAGTCTCTCCCCCGTCGGCTTCTGAATGCCTGGCTCTACTCTTCTTCCCCCGGATCTCCTGGTGCTTAAAGATCTACTTGTTCCTACCTGCTTTTTGACCCTTTAATCTCCTCTTCTCATCTCTCCCCCATTCATCTTTGAATTTCTCTTCTCATCCTTGTCTCCCTTCCCTCTACATCTTCCTCCCACACGATGGCAACCGCCCCTAGAGTAATCGTTGTTGGCGGTGGACGTGAGTTGATCTTCACCGCCAGGAAACAGCTTTCCCCGCATTGCTGACCATTGTCTCGTCTCTCAGTGTCCGGGCTTAGTGCCGCCCACACCGTCTACCTTAACGGTGGAAATGTTCTCGTTCTAGACAAGCAGGGTATGTCGACAAGCCGTAGCTCCCGGCGATAATTGCAGTCGCATCATTATCGTTCGGTATTATCGTCTGGAAACTAACTCCAGACAGCCTTCTTCGGTGGCAACTCCACCAAGGCCACTTCCGGCATCAACGGTGCCCTGACGCGTACCCAGGTCGACTTGGGCATCGCCGACAGCGTCAAGCAATTTTACGATGATACCCTCAAATCTGCTAGAGACAAGGCTCGTCCCGAGCTGATCAAGGTCCTCACATACAAGTCCGCTGCTGCCGTCGAGTGGTTGCAGGATGTTTTCAACCTCGATCTCACCCTTGTTTCCCGGCTAGGGTAAGCATTGCGCTTTAAATGTCACTACAGCGTCTGTCGCGCAACCTTATGCTAATTCGTGCAGCGGTCACTCCCAGCCCCGTACGCATCGTGGCCACGATGCCAAGTTCCCTGGAATGGCCATCACATACGCCCTCATGCAACGGTTAGAAGAGCTCACCGAGTCTGAGCCCGACCGTGTTCAGATCATCAAGAAGGCTCGTGTGACCTCCATCAACAAGTCCGGAAACAATGTGACGGGAGTTACGTACGAGTACGATGGCGAGACGCATACTGCTGATGGTGTGGTCGTTCTGGCCACTGGTGGTTACGCTGCTGACTTCGGCGATGGCTCTCTCCTGAAGCAGCACCGCCCCGACACCTTCGGTCTGTCCAGCACCAACGGCACTCACGCCACTGGTGATGGTCAGAAGATGCTGATGGAGATCGGTGCCAACGGCATCGACATGGACAAGGTTCAGGTGCACCCCACAGGTCTCGTCGACCCTAAGGACCCGACCGCCAAATTCAAGTTCCTGGCTGCTGAAGCCCTGCGTGGTGAGGGTGGTCTCCTTCTCAACTCGGACGGCCAGCGGTTCTCGGATGAACTGGGCCACCGTGACTACGTCTCGGGACAGATGTGGAAGGAGAAGGAGAAGGGCAAGTGGCCCATCCGTCTCATCCTCAACAGCAAGGCATCCAATGTCCTGGACTTCCACACCCGCCACTACTCTGGCCGTGGTCTGATGAAGAAGATGACCGGCAAGGAGCTCGCCAAGGAGATCGGTTGCGGCGAGGCAGCCCTCAAGAAGACTTTCGACGACTACAACCTGATCGCCGAGGGCAAGAAGAAGGACCCTTGGAACAAGCGTTTCTTTCACAACCTGCCCTTCAGCATCGATGACGACTTCCACGTGGCTCTGATGGAGCCTGTTCTGCACTTCACCATGGGTGGTATTGAGATCAACGAGCACGCCCAGGTTCTCAACTCCGAGAAGGAAGCCTTCGACGGCCTCTACGCTTGTGGTGAGCTGGCTGGTGGTGTCCACGGTGCTAACCGTCTGGGTGGTTCTTCTCTGCTGGGTTGTGTCGTATACGGTCGCGTTGCGGGTGACAGCGCTAGCCAGTACCTCTTCCAGAAGCTGCTTTCCGGCGGTGCCTCCACGGCCGCCCAGCGACTGGGCCAGATCTCCCTGCACATCGACCCGTCAACCCCCGGCAAGATCTCCGTTGAATGGGGCGGCTCCGGCGCCGCTGGTGGCCAGATCGCCGCCGGTGCTGGAACCCCAGCTGCCGCGGCCCAGGGCGCCAAGTCGGCAGCCACCCCTGCCGGTGCCGCTGAGACAGCCAAGCCCAAGGAGCCCGCCAAGTTCAGCATTCCCGAGAAGGAATACTCCATGGAGGAGATCGCCAAGCACAACAAGAAGGACGACCTGTGGATTGTCGTCAAGGGTGTCGTGCTGGACGTGACCAACTGGCTCGATGAGCACCCTGGTGGAGCTAACGCTCTCTTCAACTTCATGGGCCGCGATGCCACAGAAGGTATGTCTTCCCCAACTTTGTCTCATCTCCAGAATATATATATACTAACTTCAATCCCCAATCACAGAGTTCGCAATGCTCCACGACGACGAGGTCATCCCCAAGTACGCTGGTCACATTGTGATCGGCCGTGTCAAGGGCCAGACCCCTTAGCCTAGAGCTGTAAAAACCCCGTGAAAATTTAGAATCGGAGACATATACGTTGGAGAAGAGAAAGTAACCAGGAAGAGATCACATACCCATTTTCTTTATCTATTTACCTGTTTGTTTTGTCGAGCATGTTCATGTCCACGTCCTTGGTGATGATGAGTAGGCTCTTTTATCCGGAGTCACTATGTGTCTAGTATGTAAGATACAATCCTAGTCAATTGTTCTTAGACATAGTCGCTGCCAGATATGTAAGACTTAAAGGTAAAAATAGCAGCAAACAATAGACAGCTGCAACGACACCAGTAATGAACAGTACATATCCGAAACCAGCGAAGAAAGAAACAATGATGTAAATGTATCCTAGCTTCAGTGATCCAATTATCCGATCATTATAATACAATTGAACAATATGAGTAAGCCGAGTCCTCGGCAAGTCCGGGTCATTGCTGCATGTGCCTCAAGATCATCTTCAGACGTCGCACGGCAGGCCCCTCTTCCGTGCTTCCGGAGTCCTTATTGGATTCCATTTCCTTGGCCGCAGCCTCTAGCGTAGGGCGAAGGTAGCCCCAGACCTCGTCATGGTATCGGTCCTCGACACTAAGCCAGTCCGCTGCGCCCGGGAGACCGGTCAGGACGGTTTCCCGCAGGGTGGCTACGTCTGAATGGCCTTGTGATGGAACGGTGTCTAGGAATTCGCCAATGTCTGGGACCAGACTGTGGGATGTCAATGTATTATTGTCGTGTGAGGGCAGCGCTGTGGACGATGTTGGGGGTGTAAGACGACGGAAGGACTCGATCATTTCCTTTTCTTCGGGTGTGAGTTGCATTGGAAGCAGCTCTGTTTCGACTATGTCGGCGGGCTCGTCGGCCGTGGGAGGGAATTCGGGATCGAAGCTCTGATCAGAGAGGAGGGATACGACTGCGTCACCGTCGGATGGGAGGAGAGAGGGTCGGTCGGGTTGGAACCTTTGTTCGGTTGAAACTGGATTAGTATAGTCGCCGGAGAGCAAATCCGTTGCAGTATCTCTCCCTTTCCCTTTCCCTTTGCCCGTAGATTCGTCCGCGTTTAGACCTGCAATGAAGCTGTCATTGTTTCCGACCAGGGATTCCGCGCCGTAAGTGCGTTGGAATTCATCTTCCGAGAGTGGAGGGAGCTGGAACCCTCCCTGTTGCACGGTGGTAGCTGAGCGAAATGCTTCAGCAGGGGCAGGTAGTGAAGAATTCCCAGTCGAGGGAGAGGCAGAAGTAGTAGAACTTTCTGTGTAATGCTGGGCTGCTGCTAGCGCCGAGTGTGACGATGAGTGGCCGGCCTTACTGCTGCCAGCCAGCAGTTGAGCGGAATCTGCGGACGAGCCAGGAGCGGAAAAAACATTCTTTGCAAGGCCCGAAGCTGAGTTTTGGATTCGAGTAGCTAGAGAAGGACTTTCCGGGCGTTCATTGGTACTTGGGGAGGAATTGGCCTCGTTGCGGTGAGTGTTTGCGATCTTGTCGTCACTGCCCCGCTTCTTCTTGTCGGACATGGCGGGCGGGGAGAGTCAGTGCTACTGCCAGTAGGTCCTAGGTCGCCAACAACAGAAAGAGGAATGCGGATAACTCGAAAGAAATTCTAGATCGAGCAGAACAAGGAAAAATAGGAGAGGCTAGTTTTCTCGTCGATATTCCGGGTGACCATGATTAGTGTTCGGCCCAAGGGAGTCGGGATCAGTAGGAAGTCGTGCATGTGAAGAACCTCAGGCCAGAAAGGTGCGGGAGTGCGTCCTGAAATTCCAGGCAACGCGGCACCATGAAGCTGCGACGGCTTCGTTGGAGACCAGATCTTGTAAGAAAAATGAGTGGCAGAGGCCGAGCTTAGAACGATTAATTCCTCAATGTGAAAATATATGTCCCATTTCTGGCTGCAGTGTATATGGTTCAAACCAGATCCAACTACCAGTGAGCCCCTCAAACCTTTGTTGGCCTCAATAGCAGTCAGTAGTATATCTTTGCTAGGCGAGCTTCATGCTGGATCAGCAGAAAGGCAACCGCCAGGACAATCTTATGCCTGAAGAGAGGGGAGACCAGGTTAATTATGGAATTGTTTTCGGGAGCCTTTCTTCAACCCTGAAGAAGACTCTTCACGGAGAAGGGTGGCATGCATATTACAATGGCTGCCGGTAGTAAGTAGATAAAAAAACAACAATGGTTGCAATGGAGGGGATAGTGGTTGATGTCAGCGCCCGGCAGCGAGTGAGGGAGTTAAGTTGGGTTGAAGCAGCGTGTGGGTTTACGGGCAGCCACTTGCTCCCCACCACCGATTGAACGGGTCTTGCCAAACCACCGCCTCACCTCAACCACCACCACATCGTTCTCTCTCCTCCACCACTTCCTCCTCCATCTCGCTCCATCATCGTCATCCTCTTCTCCCTCCCACTTTACCCGCCTCGACTACTCTTTCCCCCTCCCCCCTCCTCTCCCCCTCTTCTTTTTTACCCTTTCAAACCGACCGTCGTCTCTTAGTACGGCTGGTCTGTGCTTGTCCTTGGGTTTTCCATTATTATTAGACACTAACACAAACACACCCACTATTAAATCCTCAAGAAGAGAAGGGTGTCTGTTCCCGACTTCAAAGTTAAAATCCAAAAAGACCAAAAACAAAATCCCTCTCTCCCACCCCACCACTCATCTTACCCTCCTCTTCTTCTTATCCTGATCAGCTCCTGGCTGTCAATCATTCGTCTTCTCCAGCCTGCAAGTGACTCAGCCCCGGTTCTCCGCCTCTCACGTTGCTGTCGGACGTTGCGGCCTTGCTTCCTTCCTCCCCCTCTCCGCCTCTGCCATTCCCTAGTCGGATATTCCAGACCTTCCTTGTTTCCACTTGGGACTCACTTCGATCTCGATTCCTCGTCGCCTGTCCGTCATTCCCACTGCTGCCCCTCCTCTTTTCGCTTCGAACGAAATTAGACAGTCGTGTGAAAAAAAGTTTCTCCAACTCGAATCTTCGCAGTACGAGACCGCTATCTGCAGACCCCGCCTTAGCCGTCGCAAACGAGATTCTCGATTTGCGCCCCTAGACCCTTTCTTTCTTGGTCGCTGATAGATAACCCCGACAAAGGGTGATTGCGAAAGAAAATGGTAGACAGGGAACCAGGTACCCCTACCTGGAAGTTCACCCAGTGAGTAGATCCCTTGCATGTCTGTGCTGCAGTGATGCCAGTTCTTTAACTGTGGATGCGCCGGATTTCGATCTTTGTTGTGTTTTCTTCTATATTGGGGTTAGAATCGGGCGGGTGTCGGCATATTGTGGGGGTTCTTTTGTGTCCCGCCTGTTCTCGAGGAAATGGCATGCCCGCAATATCCGGTTCTTGCTAATCATTATATAGATGTTTTGGTGACAAGGGAGATGTGGAAGATATCACGGAAGGTATGTCCAAACACCTCTCATTCCTGAATATCGAGCTCCCGCTCGACAACCCCGCACCATATCCGTTCAGAGCCGACTAACATTGCTCGCTCGCTCGCTCACCAGCGGATATCATCTCAACCGTCGAGTTTGACCACACCGGAAACTACCTAGCTACGGGTGACAAGGGAGGACGAGTGGTGTTATTTGAGAGAAACGAAACGGTAGCAATGCCCTCGCCTTCTTTGTGTCCTCAGGACAGACGTTTCTAACAGTCTGTCAGAAAAAAACCTGCGAGTATAAATTTCACACCGAATTCCAATCGCACGAGCCGGAGTTTGACTACTTAAAATCTTTGGAGATCGAAGAGAAGATCAACAAAATCAAGTGGTGCAGACGGTCAAACGCCTCCCACTTCCTCCTCTCGACCAACGATAAGACGATAAAGCTTTGGAAGGTCTTTGACAAGTCATTGAAGGTTGTCGCAGAGAACAACCTCTCGAGTGAGCTGACTCCTGCGGGTGTCGGTGGTGGAGGGGCTCCCCGTGCGCCCCGTGCATCGTTCAAGGATCCCTCGATGTTGAAGCTGCCGCGCATGACACATCATGACACTGTTGTAGCGGCTGTACCTCGGCGGACGTACGCTAACGCGCACGCATACCACATCAACAGCATCTCCGTCAACAGTGACGGCGAGACGTTTATCAGCAGCGACGATCTTCGGATCAACCTCTGGAACCTTAATATCCAGGATCAGAGCTTTAACATTGTGGACATCAAACCTGCGAACATGGAGGAGCTCACGGAAGTCATCACGGCTGCAGAGTTTCACCCGCAAAGTTGCAACTGGTTCATGTACGCCAGTTCCAAGGGCACAATCAAGCTTGCCGACATGCGGCAGCGAGCATTGTGCGACGAGCATTCCAAACGTATGTTATCTTCTGCAATCATTCCCCTTTTGCCTGCAAGGCACCCTCTTCTGACATGGTTTCGTTTGAATAGTCTTCGAGCAAGAAGAGGATGCCTCCTCCCGTTCCTTCTTTTCAGAGATCATATCATCCATTTCCGACGTCCGGTTTTCACACGACGGTCGCTACATTGTGTCGAGGGATTACTTGACTGTTAAGATCTGGGATGTCAACATGGAAAAGCAACCCGTCAAAACGATCCCCATCCACGAGCACTTGCGACCGCGTTTGTGTGACACATATGAGAATGACAGCATTTTCGACAAGTTCGAGGTTGTTTTCTCGGGCGACGCAGAGAATGTGATGACTGGAAGTTACAACAACAACTTCATGATCTACCCCACCGACCCTAGCAAGGAGACGGAGATCGTACTGCAGGCAGATAAGTCTGCTTTCAAGGCGAAGAAGGTTGGCGTCCCAACGCCGATGAACAAGGGTGCGAATGGAAAGAAGAATGGGTCCAGAGCAGGCAGCCCCGTTGGCGTGGGCGGGCGCATGAAGAAGGAGACCGACGCGGATCAGATCGACTTTAACAAGAAGATCTTGCACATGAGCTGGCATCCTTATGAGGATAGCATTGCAATTGCTGCTACAAATAACGTACGTTTTCCCCGCCTTTCGATAATATGCGGCCATGATGCTGACCCTGATGCGTACACAGCTGTTTGTCTTCTCTGCGTTGTAAGTATGTGACAAAGTGGCCATAATTTCTAATGGACAAACATGTCATTATGTGATTCAAAGATGAGACAGGTATAAGACAATTAAGGTTTCCTAGCAGCAGCAGTCGCAAATCCAAAATTAAGTTGCCAGTTCCGGTTAAGCATCCATTTCTTGTGCTGTTTTCTGTTGGAGTTGGTTGTGAAGTCCTTCGTCGTCCCTCCGTTTCTCTTTAGCCCATCTTTCTTACTATCTCCACCCTGGGACGAGATGTCCGTGTTATTCTGTCTGTTTCAAGGAACATTGTGATGTTCAGTGCTTGTTTTGGGGAGGCGTTTAGTGGGAACTTGATATAGAGAAAGACAAACGTGGAGCCTGCAGAGGATATCCGGTCCATTTTGCTGCCCGACGCCTGTTCAACTAATATGCCGCTGCAACGAGGCCATGGTCTCTGCTAGCTATTAGGGAGGCATCGGGCGATTTGACTGCTTATGGCGTGATGAATCCACATCCGGTGCTAGTGGAGCAAGACTTCAAATGGCCCGGACTCGATGGTGATGCTACCTTAGTGCTTAGTGCCCCTGAGTAGATACTGAATCTATGGGAAGTTTGAGAATTAGTTGCTAGTAGTAGTTATTTCATTCATATTGGTAGTGCGTACTACTCGGATTCATTACTAGAACATTGATCAGTCTAGGCCTGGTATAATTATTGTGATCTAGTTATTGAAGTTGGTTACTATTGTATTGTACCCATTATCACTGCAGGTCAGTAGTATATAGTGGGTGAGCGATGCCAAGTATGTAGGCGAAAATCCGGAGACAACCCCAAGAATTCAAAAATTTCCACACAACTGTTACACAGACATGTCTTGCATAAATATTATGGTTCCTATCGGACGTTTCTACAGTAGAGCACACCTGATGCGGAGTAAAAACCTACAGCCCAAACTGCCACTCAGCAGCTAGTACGAAAGGCTCAACTCGGACCGTCTCCAAATCTGTGTTACCGAGAATTAGGAACTCAGAAGAGACAAGAGACCGTCAGTCAATGACGTCGGAGCCACACCCACGGGGATGCATCAGTGTCGAGCCAATCAGCTTGCAGTGACTGTCGCGACCGGAAAATCATGAACCCGAGAGGCGGCACTATTGACTGGAAAGGGGTTAGTGCCATCAAAGGCCTCTCCGCCTTCTGTCGGGAGACCATCCGTGATCGGTTGCGCGCAAACCATCATCACCTACTGGATCTGCTGCTCGCTGGCTCTTCACCTCTTGTTTCGCTTGCCTATCTCTTTCCTCTCCCCCCGGATCCTATTCATCGCTCCTGCTGATCGTCGTTTCGTGGCCCCCTGCGTCTGTTTTTCCCGTCTGCTATTGGCAGAATCTCTAGCACAGTGATGTCGCTGTGAAATCCAGCTCGAGGAAGAGATACCCCAAGCCGTGTGTAGAGGAACCACAGTGCGAGACCCTCATCCGCAGGCTCACTACCTTGTTTCAACTTTGACCTGCAGTTGCCTAGTGCTCTGAGCAGGTATCAGTACTGTCAACATTTTATTCATGTGCCACAGACCATGAACTCTTCTGGCAACGATAACTGGCACCCCGGTGGCCCGCCAGCACACCCGGGGATGGATCAGATGAACCAGGGACCTCGTCCTCTGGGCTCCTTCAGGTATGTCTCTACCGTCTCTTGCCACTTTTGCATCTGTGCCAAGTAGCGATGACTGACTGGTGTCTCTTTCGCGATCTAGCCAAAACCCACCGCCTCAGCAAGGCCCGTCTTCGCAGCCCACGGGACCGGTTCTGCCCCCTCCAGCTGGTTAGGCTCCTCACTTTCCTCCTGATTGGTCTCGCGATATGGTTTACAGAGCATTTCCGGACGTTTGGCTGACCCCCTGCGCTGCTGTTAGGTCCTTATCACCCTGCGAATCAACCTGGCGGACACTCTCTTCCCGGACTGGCGGAGCTGAGCCAGGGCCATGCTGGTCCGCATCAGCCTCCCGCTTACGGCCAACACCCTGCGGCTCCCGGTCATAATGCTGGTCACTCGCTCCCGGGTATCGGGCAAGCGATGCAACATCCCTCGCCCCAGTCCATCAACCGGGAACGCGAGCGGGACTCCAGAGAACGCGAGCTGATGGAGAGACAGCGCCAGGAGGAGATGGCCCACAGAGAGCGCGAACAACGTGAACGCGAACAGATCGAGAGACAGCAGCTGGAGCGACAACGTGAACAGCAGCACCACCCGGTCCAGAGCCATACAGGGTCAATCCCTATCCACCAGCCGGTGGCCTCGAAAGTGCCAAACTCCATTCACGGCCCCAATGGTCTGCTGTCGAACCTTGGGTCTAACCCGGCAAATGGCCCGCAAGGTTCTATGCCGACGCCTGGAGGACCTGGCGGCATCTATGGGCCACAGATGCAACATGGTGAGGGTACACCCAGGTCATACATGCAACATCCAGGTGGTCCCCCGGGCCAACCCATGATGGGATTCAACGGCTCTGGCCCTCAGATTCCAGGCAATGTGGCGGCACTTGCCCAGGGCCAGCAGCCAATCCTCAACGTGAGTTACAGCACGCCGCGTGGATCAGTGCTCCACATCACGAAGCCGTGGCTTACGATTCCTTCACAGGATGCGCTTAGTTATCTAGACCAGGTGAAGGTTCGCTTCGTCGACCAACCTGATGTGTACAACAGATTTTTGGATATCATGAAAGACTTTAAGAGCCAAGCGTGAGCGTTATACCGCCGTGGGAACCGTGCCTGGCTAACTTGGCAGCAGGATCGATACGCCCGGAGTCATCCAACGCGTTTCTACTCTTTTCAATGGACATCCAGCTCTTATCCAAGGGTTCAACACGTTCTTGCCTCCTGGATATCGGATCGAGTGTGGCACAGAGGATAATCCAGACGCGATTCGAGTGACCACGCCTTCGGGTACCAATACCTTGAGCATGCCCCGTGCTAGACACTCTCTGGATTCCTCTGGAGAGCTTGGTCCATCTGGTGGCATGGGCCCTCACGGACGCGCTGAGTACTATGACCAGTCTCGACCTGGGTGGCAACAGCCCCAGCCTCAGCAGCAGCAAGGCAATCTTCCAGGATCATACTCTCCTGGGTCCCGCATGATGGGGCCTGGCATGTTTGGACAGCAAGGTGGTCAGGGACAAGCTCAAGAGCATCACTTCGATTACCCAACCCAGCAAGAGCAACAAGCAGCAGCTGGAGCGGCCGCTATGGCTCATCAGCAGGATCAGCGAGGAGTTTCCCAGCTTCAAGGTGCTGCCTCTGCTGCTTCTGCGGGTCTCACGCGTCCTTCCTTATTGCAGGTATCAGCAGCGTCTCAACAGGGACCTAGCCTGACTCAGCCTATGAACAATCTAGCCGGCGTCGGCACCGGCATGCTGCAAGGCTCTCAGGATCTGACCAAGCGTGGACCGGTGGAGTTCAACCATGCCATTAGTTATGTCAACAAGATAAAGGTGGGTACAGAACAGCCATCCCCGCTATTTGATAAACCAACTGACATTGAAATTTTTGATAGAACCGCTTTGCAAGTGCGCCTGAGATCTACAAACAATTCCTTGAGATACTACAGACTTATCAGCGCGAGTCCAAACCAATCGGGGATGTGTATGCCCAGGTCACCCAGCTCTTCAATACGGCTCCCGATTTGTTGGAAGACTTCAAGCAATTTCTCCCTGAATCTGCAGCGCACGCAAAGCAGCAGGCCGCAGCTCGACAGGCAGAGGAAGCAGCTCCCATGAGTAATGTTCGTGGCGAGCCGAGCTATCCCAACGCCAATGCTCTTCCTTCTCAGACTCCGAGCCGTGACGTCAAGATGCCCCCATTGGGTCAGTTCAATGTCAAGGACTCTGCAAAGGATGGCAAGAAACGTCGGAATGGACCAGGCGCTCCATCTTCCATGGGTTCTTCGATGTCTGGTCCTTCGGCTGCGGATGCGGCGCGCATGGGAGATATGCAGGCTAGGACCTCAGCTCTTCAAGCTGGTAATGCCAACAAGAGGGCTAAAGTCCATCATACGAAGCCTTCCCAGGCAGAAGTACCCGCTGTCTCTCCCACCCTCGTTCCCGCTTTACCAGAACCGATCCAGCCGACTTTCTCCCTGACCCCAACTCAGGAGGAATTTGCTTTCTTTGACCGCGTCAAGAAGTATATTGGCAACAAGCAGACATTCAGCGAGTTCTTGAAGCTCTGCAATCTGTATTCCACAGATCTCATCGATAGGCATGTGCTCGTGAAACGGGCAGCTAGTTACATTGGCTCGAACCCGGAACTGATGGCTTGGTTCAAGCGCTTCATGCATGTCGACGAGCCAGAAGACAAGATCATTGATGTCAAAGCGAAACAAGACTCTGGACTTGTTAATCTGTCTCATTGCCGGTCTCTCGGGCCTAGCTATCGTCTGTTACCGAAACGTGAGCGCCAGAAGCCTTGTAGTGGCCGTGATCAGCTGTGCTATAGTGTGCTTAATGATGAATGGGCTTCCCATCCCACATGGGCGTCGGAAGACTCTGGATTCGTTGCCCACCGTAAAAACCAGTTTGAAGATGCCCTGCATCGCATCGAAGAGGATAGGCATGACTATGACCACCATATCGAGGCGTGCACGCGCACGATTCAGCTTATCGAGCCGATTGTGCAGCAGTTCCTCGTTATGTCGGAAGCCGAGTGCGCCGCGTTCAAGCTTCCGCCTGGCCTTGGTGGACAGAGTGAGGCAATCTACCAGCGGGTGATCAAAAAGATCTACGACAGACAACGCGGGGAGAAGATCATCAAGGAGATGTTCGAGCGACCAACCCATGTTTTGCCCATTGTTCTTTTCCGTCTCAAGCAGAAGTGTGAGGAGTGGAAAGCTAGTCAGGTAAGGCACAAGGAAAACTCCTCTTATGTTGGTGCATTAGCTAACCTTGCAATAGCGTGAATGGGATAAAATTTGGCGCGAGCAGATGCAGAAGGCATACTGGCGGAGTCTGGACCACCAGGCGATTGCCAGCAAACAAGTGGACAAGAAGTTGTTCGTGGCGAAGCATATCCATACAGAAATCCAGAACAAATTCGAGGAGAGTCGGAATCTGCGCAAGAGTGGGTATCAGACCGCCAAGCATCAGTTTGAGTTCACCTTTGATGATCCTGCTGTCATCATTGATGCCACGCACCTGCTACTTACTTTCATTGACCGTAACTCTGCTGGGTTTGGCGCCGACCCACAGAAGGTCATGACTTTCATCAAGGACTTCGTTCCCGTGTTCTTCGGCATGGACCGTGATACTTTCCACGTGTATATGAATGAACTTTCGAGTGGCGCATCCCCGATCGATGAAGGTGACGATGAGAGTCTGGCCGCAGAGGAGTCTTCAACGCCGCGCAGTCGGAAGGGCATCAATGGCAAGAAGATTGACCTTCTCCGCGATGTTCTCGAGCGTCGTAGTGAGAAGGTACGTCGTGGTGACAAGGAAGGCAGTACGCCAGCCAGCCGCGATGGCACGCCTGATGCTGTTCTGGTTCCGTCGACTCCGGTGCCTGATCCGACCGAGCCGTTCGATGTGGCCGAGCTGAAGTGGATGGAGCACCCCGGGCAGGGCAATTTCAACCAACAGCGGGAGTACAACCTGAATGAGACGTATGAGAAGAAGGCTCATCACTTGTACGCCAACCTGAACATCTACTGCTTCTTCCGCACATTCGAGGTCCTTTACTCGCGGCTGCTGCGCATCAAGCTGCATGAAAAGGATGCCCACGACGATGTCCGTCGCGCGCTGGTGAGCAAACCGGCGCAGGAGCTCAACCTCATTGACAAGTTCCCTACGGAGTTTTTCTACGACTGTGATCCCAAGGCGAACCTGTACCAGCAGATCGTGCGCATGTGCGAAGAGGTCATCAAGGGGGATATGGAACCTTCCCACTTAGAAGAGACCCTTCGTCGGTATTACTTGCGGAGCGGGTATCAATTATACAACCTGGAGAAGATGTTTGCTGGAATCTCCAAATTTGCGGGGGCGATCTTCAACGGGGACTCGAAAGACCGCAGCTCGGATATTATGAACCTTTTCTTCAAGGAGCGGGACAGGGAGGAGACCACGCACAACCAGGAAATCCAGTACCGCAAGCAAGTGGAACGGCTGGTCAAGGACGGGGACATTTATCGCATTACCTACGTAAGTGCTTCTATCTTGAGCTATTTAACCTGCCATCTAACACGAGTTGCCTTAGAACCCTACCACCAAGAAGACGACGCTGCAGCTGTTGACGCCCGAGGATGCCACACTGGAGAATGAGGAGCTGAGCCAAGAGGCGCGCTGGTCATACTATGTCTCTGCGTACACGATGCGGGATCCGACCGAGGGGGTGCCGTTCTCTCAGATGCGCATGCCGTTCCTGAAGCGCAACCTGCCGGCCAAGCTGGAGCAGGAGGAAGAGTACAACCGCTACTACCGACCGCTGGTGCACCAGGACGGGCTGATCATCCGCATCTGCGCCAACAGTTATCACATTCTGTACGAGCCTGGCAGCTACGACTGGTGGTGGCGGCCGACGGCGCCGACGGAGGAAACGGCGGAGGAGGTAGCCAAGGAGGAGGCGGCGGTGAAGGAGCGACGCCGGGACCGGTTTACGGAGAAGTTTGTCAATAACCCGCACTGGGCGCATGGCCTGAGCAAGGATCAAGTAGACGAATCGAACCAGCGATTCCGGTCTTGGATCAAGGGCTCTGAAGGGGAGGCGGCTGCTGCTGCTACTGCTGCTGCTCCGGCGGAAGGCACCGAAACCGAGTCGAAGAACGACAAGGAAGATACCGAGATGCCTGATGTCGAGCAGTCTGCAGTGGAGTCGAAAGAGCAATGAACAGTGCTTTCGAATAGAACAGCGCATGTCTGCAGCGTGCGGGCAAGTCCGCGAGCGTCTCTGGGGTCGCTTGCGCCCGCGCGCCTTCACACTGCACGATGCGTATGACGAATACAGGGGACCTCCTCTCTACATAAACGGTACATAGTGTCTCTACGGTTGCACGAATGGGAATTTCTGCTTGTTGGAAAAAATGAATCCTCCTGGTGGATGGCGAGGGGATGCGATCGGTCTGGTGGACTGGCGCGCGCCTCGTGACCGGCAGGGGGAAATTGTCTGGCGTGGGGTCGGGGGATTGTGATTCTGGGACGGGGTCATCTTGGGATGTTTTCTTTTCTTTTCTTTTCTTTTCTTTTTTTTATTCCTCCTATTATTTGCTGCGATTTCAAATTCTTCTTCACTGTGTATGTGTAACTAGGACTATGGGAGTTGTTGATCAACCGATATTGAATGTTTCGATTTGGATTGAAGTGGAGTCTAGATCAATTGGTTTGGTTCAGTATTTAGTTAGTAATGGACGGGTGCTCGCTGGAAGCAGAAGAGGAGCTCAGCCCAGTCCCCTTCAGTCCACTTCAGTCCACTTCCAGATCCGTTCAGCTTAGCTTCCGTGTGGCCGAACAGCAGATAACCGATACGGGCCGAGACTAGTCCGTCGGCGCATTCCTGGACGAAGCTCGGTGTTGCCTGCTTCTTCTCAATTGAAGTGCATTTATCGCAATGATATAGGGGGGGAAGGGTATATAATTGATGTCAATTCAATCGTCCCTGTCAGTAGAGTCATCTTTCTCCAGGGAGAACAAGAAACGGTTGAGTTCAAAGTGACGTGGGAGAGGCAACGCTGGACGAAGCAGAACTATGTTTGGCCGAGTGTTTGCCGGCGTGACGTCAGCATGAATGAAAAGGGAATCCCTTGAAGATGCAGACACCAGATGAGAGAAAAAAATCCAGATGAAACCCACCAGCAACTGAGACAGGACACTGTCAGACCCATTCATCGTACTGTAGAAGAGTTTGCGACTCAGTTCCAGCACCATTGACCCTCCCTTCCCCAGAGGGAAGTGGTCCAGCAGCTGGCAAGACCTTAAATACACCCAGCTGGATGCAGGCTGTCTAGACTGCTCCGACCTCAGCATCGGAGTAATATACACCCTCCTGCATGCCCTTCCTGCAGCGCTGGTCGATCGACAGCCACTCAGCATCCGGCTATCCCCAGCGATCCCCCATAGTCCATGCGGGATCCATATTGCAGTCGCTCCTTATCCCCGAAGACGCGCTGCTGCTCGCCTCGTCTGGACCGGGGTAAGTGGAACGTGGCGGGGGTTCCGTACCGTATTTCTACCTCACGACGACCCTCGTCTGCTTTCTTCCCCCAGTTCTTTTTTTCTCCCTCTTAATCTTCCTCTTCCTCTTCTTCTACTCTTCATTCTTCTCTTCTTTTCCCCTCTCCACTCTTCTTCCTCCCTCTCCTGATCAGCCTGTCCTTCCTTCCTCTTCTCATCCCTCTACCTCCCTCACAATGGCTGCTTCAGCCCTCTTAAGAAGCCGTGTCCGCCGGCCTTCCTACCTCAACCGGTTGGCCAAGGCTGAAGATCTCATCGACCTCTTCCCCAATGGATCGTATATCGGCTGGTCCGGATTCACGGGGGTGGGTTATCCCAAGTAGGTTGCGCCCGTTGTCCCCGCGTGGCAGCCAGAGGCTAACCTAGTTTGTTCCCGGTTCACAGGAAAGTTCCCACGGCGCTGGCCGATCACGTTGAGAAAAACAAGTTGGAGGGACAGCTAAAATACACCCTGTTTGTCGGCGCTTCTTCCGGCGCGGAAACAGAGAACCGCTGGGCTAAATTGAACATGATTGATCGCCGGAGCCCTCACCAGGTCGGCAAGGAGATTGCCAAGGGTATCAACAATGGTCAGATCAACTTCTTCGACAAGCATCTGAGCATGTTCCCGTCGGATCTGGTCTACGTAAGTTTCCATCGGATGTGTTTCTGTGGATGGTGACTAATAGTGTTGGGTAGGGTTGGTACACAATGAACAAGCCCAAGAACCGCTTGGATGTCGCGGTTATTGAGGCATCCGCTATCACGGAGGATGGTGGCATCATCCCCGGTGCTTCCGTCGGTGCATCTCCGGAGCTGATCCAGATGGCCGATAAGATCATCATTGAAGTCAACACTGCTAGCCCGTCATTTGAGGGTCTGCATGATATTGTCATGTCGGACAAGCCGCCCCTCCGCAAGCCCTACCTGATCATGCAGCCCGAGGACCGTATCGGTACTCCCCACATCCCGGTTGACCCTGAGAAGGTCGTGGCCATTGTGGAGTCCGACTATCCCGATCAGACTCAGCCCAACGCCCCCGAGGATGAGGGCTCCCAGGCCATTGCCAGCAACCTGATTGAGTTCCTGAAGCACGAGGTCAAGCACGGCCGCCTGCCTGAGAACCTGCTGCCCATCCAGTCCGGCATTGGAAACATTGCCAACGCAGTCATTGGTGGTCTGAGCAAGGGTGGTGCCGACTTCACCAACCTCAAGGTGTGGACCGAGGTGCTCCAGGACTCGTTCCTGGACCTGTTCGACAGTGGCAACCTGGACTTTGCCACGGCCACCTCCATCCGCTTCTCTCCGGATGGCTTCAAGCGTTTCTACGACAACTGGGAGCGTTACGCCGGTAAGCTCCTCCTGCGCCCGCAGCAGGTCTCCAACTCGCCCGAAATCATCCGTCGTTTGGGCTGCATCGGTATGAACACTCCGGTGGAGGTGGATATCTATGCCCACGCCAACAGCACCTGTGTCATGGGCTCTCGCATGCTTAACGGACTGGGTGGATCTGCCGACTTCCTGCGCAGCTCCAAGTACAGTATCATGCACACCCCCAGTACCCGGCCCAGCAAGGTCGACCCGACCGGTGTCAGCTGCATTGTTCCCATGTGTACCCACGTTGACCAGACTGAGCACGATCTCGACGTGGTTGTGACTGAGCAGGTAAGGGTTATCTCCCCCGCTACTTCAATTCTTTTGCTAACAAAGCATAGGGTCTGGCCGACGTGCGTGGTCTTGCTCCTCGTGAGCGTGCCCGGGTGATCATTGACAAGTGCTCTCACCCCGACTACAAGCCCATCCTACAGGACTACATGGACCGGGCTGAGTTTGAGTGCCTGAAGAAGGGCATGGGCCATGAGCCTCACCTGCTGTTCCAGGCGTTCAAGATGCACCAGAACTTGCAGGAGAAGGGCACGATGAAGATTACCAGCTGGGAGTAAAGATAAAGAGAAAGGAAGAGTAGAGATATGAGTTATGTACAGAGGCGTATTTATTTGCCATACTACTAGGTATCTATTTCTGCTGGCTTGGAGTATAGTGTACAGTTGGTTGCAAAATAGTTAACTGATAATAAGTGACAATTTCTCATTCAAATGGTTGCTCCGTAGAGATCGTTATTCAATTATTTGCGGAATACTAATTGAATGCTCTTTACTTGTTAAACTCGACTTCACTATGAAAGCAATATCATATACCTTACTTTCCAGACTAATTTCTATCCTTATTTATGCAGTTTTATGACCAGGTCTACCTTGAATGTGGAGAAATCAAACACATCCGACGCCAGTCCCAAACCTCCAACGACTTGTAGACATTGCCGTGACAGCGTCGACACATCTTGTCCATTTATATAACTCCAATTATTGTCTATGTATGGCCGTGTCACATCCTACCATGCTACTACTATCAGCTTTCCAGGAAGAGAGGTTATAACAGCAATAACAACTCATTATATTGAGCCAGTCACTTTGTACTTGGAACCGCGTACATGAGATATACCGACTGCTTCTATACCCCACTCCAAATCCCTCCTTCGTATTTGATGGATATGCTTCTCACCTGACCGGACATTACCTAAACCTGCGCGGAGGTCCGCTTTTACTGGGGGGCTATTACCAGTAGAATATAGTGAATCCTTCACCTCTGGACTGTAGCTGTCATGTAGTGGATTTGTAATGATCAATTCTGTGATTTGAAGAGACTGAGCTAGATTGAGTAACTACCAACGTGATAGATTTTATCACACTATTGCAACAGCTATACCTTGTTATCCGGCCCTGTCAGGTTATCCAATCTACATAAGAAGAATAGCACGCCATCCATACACATTAATAATACATCAATATCTCCGATAGTTATCTCCGCCGGAACCTAAATCTTATCCCCAGTTACTTAACTCCCATGTCGGACTTAGCGGACATAACCTTCATAGACGAATATACGAGTAGTACTATTTCATTCATATTGCTCAATTATATATAGTACTAACCAGGAATGCGCCCCTGCTACAGTCACCACCACGAAACCAAAAAAGACCCCTTTCAAAAAAACAATCCAACCTGAACAACCACCAAAAAAATGTCTCAATCAACCAACAACTTCATCTCCATCAACAAACTCACCAACACTCGCGTCCTCCTCATCGGCGGAACCTCAGGCATCGGCTTCGTCGTCGCCCGCGCCGCCCTCGAACACGGCGCCAACATCATCCTCTCCAGCTCCAACCCGGAGAGACTCGCCTCCGCTATATCCCGTCTGAAGACCCTCTACCCAGACCCATCCTTCACCTCCCGCATCACCGGCAAGGCATATGACCTAAGCGATGAATCTACCCTAGAGACCAATATCATCTCCTTACTCGACTACGCTACCTCTCCATCCATCTTCCCCAACACCACCACCAATACCGAAGGGAAAATCCTTCTAAACCACATATCCTACACCTCCGGCACACGCCCCTCCCGCGCCCCCATCACCCCTACCTCCTCCCTCACGCCCCAAACCTATACATCCAGCCAAACCCTCCGCGTCCTGGCCCCCCTCATGCTGGGCAAACATGCCAAGACCTACATGGTGGATTCGCATACCTCGTCGTTGACGTTCACGTCCGGCGTGTTGGCGAGTAAGCCGGTGGTGGGGACGACGTTGAGTGCGATGGCGGGGAGTGCGCTGGGAGGGCTGGTCAGGGGACTGGCGGTCGAGTTGGCGCCCATTAGGGCGAATGTTGTGGCACCGGGGGCGGTGGAGACGGAGATTTTTGATGCTCTTGGGGAGCAGAAGGACATGTATATGGAGATGTTTAGGAAGGGGACGGTCTTGGGGAGGGTTGGAGCCCCGGAGGATGTGGCGGAGGCGTATTTGTGGTGTATGAAGGATGGGTTTGTTACGGGGTTGTGGGTGGGGAGTGATGGGGGGGCTTTACTTAAGTAGCTCATATAGTTCATATACATGATATATGTATAGGGGGTGTGAGAGAGAGAGGGAGAGAGTTAGTAGTCGGGGATGGTGGCATGGGTATGAGGGAGAGAGTTGTTGTTGATAGTAAGATTATGTTAGTATTCAGTTGATAGTTAGTGAGTATTATTGACATTGATTTAGTGGTATGTGCTATCAGTAACTTACATCCAAATCCTCAGTAAGAATGTAGACAGTAATATCAAGTCTAAGCAAGTTAAATTACTTCCTCAAATACATATTAGCACTAGTACAGATACATATACTACACTGCGAACACTCTTCAAAAGAACACTGTTTCACAATGACTATAATCTAACGCTATAACGAATCCCAAACACCAAACAAAAACCATAGATACATCATAAATCCGTCAAACACTCCCCATAACCGTCAGTCAATGCATCTAATCAGTAGGAGGCTTATACGATCCCCCAATGAACCTAACCACAATCTTTCGTTAACAACCACAACAACAACCACAGAAATAAAATCAGGAGACTTACCGGCTCAACAAACTCCCCAAAAACCCCTGACTCTCCACATTGCTGCGCTTCGCCCAGCCCGACTCGACATTATAGTTCTTAGTGTCTTGAAGCCCAGCGAAAAGGCCGCGTCCTGCCGTGGGATGCTTCATTTAATTAGCATTGTATGAAAAAGAGGGAGAAAAGTATATACTCACATGCTTAGGCGGATTCTTCACCCACAGATCGGCTCCAAAGTCATTCTGGAGACGGGCGGAGGAAGTAGTAGTAGTAGATTTCATGATGTGTGAGATGTAAAGTATATATATCCTTATAGAGAGTAGTAATGATTGTTCTGGTTTCTTGATATCTTTATCAAAGATGCGAATAGTATCGTTTGAGGTGATTCAGAATAATATCATCACCATCATCTGCATCTACTATCTACTATATATACTACACACCTACCAGCACATCCAACAACAATACTAATCAATAGTAGTATACGGCATCAATCGGAATCCCAATTCCCGTTCCAACAAAGAACAATTACTATCGCACCATACTCCATCTCAACTTTCTGGCATCTCTTCATCCGAATCACCTCACCCTCTTTTCCATCCATCGTCGGGGTGAGTGTATCCGGGGTAGAGGCATCACGTGTAGGTGCATGGGACTCGGATGATCCGAGCGAGGGAATATGGTAGATGGGGATGACCAATGAGATAGGCTGGATTTGTAGAATTTTTCACTTTGAAGGATGAATTCGGGGTGGTGGCATGATCCCGGTGTATAGTTCGTGACTTTAGTGGTTAGTAGTGGGAGGTAACATGATCTGGGTGGTGGTGGTGAGATGTTGGCGCAGCTGGGTGGTACGATCTATTTGCTTGGACTACGTAGTAGGTGTTGGGAGATAAGATCTTGGGGATTGTTGGCGGGTAAATATTATGTAAATTATCGATGGAGTACATAGGGTAGAGAGGTATATAAAGGCTTTGGATTGCTCTGCTTATTGTATTGTGTTGAATGGATTTTATTCTTGAGGGGGAGGTGTGGTGATGTGGTGATGGGTATGTACTGTGGCGACCGGTCGGTCGGGTTCAGCCTTGTGGTTTTTGAACCACGAGTACAGAGTACAGAGTACGGGGTACTCATGTAGGGGATATCATTGACATTTATTGAGAATTATACATGTCCTGTCAAGTCATGTCGTGTCATCCTTTAACTCTGGAAAGAATGTGAGATTATGTGGTGTAAGTGTGTGGGTGTGTCAAACTGACACATTCCTCGGATCGGTCAGCCCAACTCTACTCTCACATCCGTCCCCAAGTGTCGGTCTGGCAGACACGTAGCTGCACAACCAGCAACTCAACCCCATGACTCTACTCAGTAACTTATCTAAGCGGGCATCGGTAATATCCGAATCTTCCAGAAACCCGTCAGCACTACAATACGAGTCATCGCCCCCAAGCCTACTACTTATTATATCCTCAAGGTCGAACCCCCAAATTCAGGGGTCAATAGATACACCATCATGTCTCACACCCCAACGCGACTATTGAAAATTAGCCAAATTCATCCAAGACAACAACCACACCTCGACCATTTCCCATATTTTCAGCTCCGCCTTTCAGCCTTCCAAAATCAGCGCGCTCAACGACTCGCTCTCAGATAGGCTCAAGCCAAGCCTGGTCAGGGGCAAATCGGTCCGCAGTGGAGGAGACTCTGCACTGACCGGTCGAGACCGGGCGGGCGATGATCAATTTCTGTGTAGGAATGATTTGTGGTCGCTAACGGATAGTTCGGTGAGGTTCTTCTATAGGAATTTTTCTTGTTTCCATAGTCAATAGTTTTGGACGTTCGCCTCGTACTTATGTAGTCGAGGGATCCTGGATCTGGGGTAAGGGTAAAGTGATAGATCGAGTGGTCAGGGGTCTGAGGCGTGAGCACGAGGGGCGGTTACGTTGGCTGCCACTGACAGACCCTGACTCGTGTGGAAATGAGCAGACCGTACGGAGTAAGTAGTCAGATACTGTGTGGTCAAGCCAAGACAGTGAAAAAGGCCAGGCCTCGTCTTGGTTCTCGGCATTGCTGGAAGCCATCGAGAGACATCCCCACAGAGGAAGAATGACTGTGAACACTCTGAACGGATTGAATTGATCTGATCGGCGTGCGGTTGCTAGGACGGTGAAAGTGAAAGTGAAGGTAAATCCAGATGGATCAGCGAGTCGAAGATTGATAGTTAGCTAAGTGAATCCATGGATTTATTGATCAATTATTGACTAAGAGATGATGCGGAGAGATTTGAACCTTGCGCCTGGGTGATAAACTCAGTCACTGTAGTTGGAGAACTATTCTGATCATATTACTATGGATAGCAGGATCTCAGTAAGCAGACACAGTAATTTCCCAGGGGGCAAAGCCGGATCGTAGCCGAACGGTGGCTGTCAGACCGAAAAGTTAACCGGGGCTGTTTCTATTCTTATGAACTCGCCTCTTTGCTGATTCCTGCTGGGCTGCACTGCTTTTGCCTCTTGTCTGCTTGTTTCATCCAGCCTTTCAGACCCCGTACCTGAAATAACGCTCTCCTATTAACCGTGGAGAGGCTGAGTCCAACCATGGGACGGTTTCTGGGCCATCCATTATTGCGCCCGAATTATGGTCATTTCTGGCTGTGTTGCCCTTCTGTCGCTAATCCGGGCTGCAGTGGGTCTCCGGAAATTAAGGTGATTGCAGCAGCCAATGACCTCCCGCAAAGTCAGACAGTGGAGGCAGCCACTGTACCTGATCGGGCAAAGCCACAACACCTCCTGCAGGCTGGGTGGACCCCAGACTTTCCAGTGTTCCTTGCAGCTGCACAAAGCAGCCTCTCTCTCTTTTCTCTGTTGCCCACACTCTCATTTCCCTGGTGTGTGTGTGTGTGAGTGGTTGCCACTCTGCTAGATGGCTGTGACTGCTCTGAATATTGGTTGTGCGGTATTGTTGAATTCTTTACATTATATACACAGCAATATCCGAGTCCTGAATGATGGATTACCTGTCATCAGGAGAAGCAACAGATGTGATCAGGAGTGGTGCCTACGTAGGAGGTATTGCAATAGAGTTTTCCTTCCATCACCGGAAAATCTTAATCCAAATCATCCATGCCCGGGGTCAGTTTCTGGGTACAGCAACAAGTAGACTAGACAGGTCGTTCATGTCCTCGTCCAGTCTCATCGATGGTCCCTCTCCATGGATCCGAACAGTAGCCAGACCCTGAATGTCAGGATTGCAGCTAACGGTCACCGTCACCGCATTTAGGCACAACCACATCTCTTGGAACAAAATGATATTCTGAAACCCCCAAGAAGGGAATGGACGACGTGCGACTCCACCAGGCTATCCGAGCCGTGCGGACATCCAGTCCAATAGCGGCCAGTGGGTGCCTGGCATCCCCAATCCACTCCCGCCCCCTTTTGTTTGCTTGGGGGCTTTTTCCCTGCTGGGCCAGACTTGCCTCTTTTCCCCTTCTGCTGCTGCTGCTTCGGCTTCTTCTTGGTCTGCTTTTTCCCTTTCCTTTTTCTTTTCCTTTTCTCCCCCTCCCCTCTTTCTTTTTCCCTCTCGGGTTTGTTTTGCAGATCGTTTGTTCCTCTTTCTCCTCCCAGAGAAAGATATCAAAAAG